GCTATTTCTGGATCTGCGGCACTGAAAATGTTCGAGGAAATAGAGGCTAAAAAGGCTGCTGAATTGGTTGAAAAGTTAAAAAGAAAAGAAGAAAAAGAAAAGAAAAAACTAGAAAAGGAGAAAATGAAAGAAGAAAAAAGATTTCAAAGAGAAGAAGCCGGAAAAAGATTTAAACAAAAACAGAAATGTTCAAGAAGAGACAGTAGTAGTTCATCAGAGAGTGATACAGTGCGAGTACAGTTTATGGATTCTGATGACGCCTTTGACTAATCTAAACTCTGCCCCTGATGTAAAGCACCAGAGAGCGTTGATGATGATGATGAATGGGTAAAGTGCCTAAAATGCCCACGACAGTGGCACATGCTTTGTACCGGGGATGCCATGTGTCTTGAAATTCCAGCAAATCAGCTTGCAAACTATCCTTTCTATTGCGAGTACTGTATTTAAAGGGAAAATTATGACGAAATAAAGTAATGTCACTTACTTGTTCTCACAGATTGTTACAAGTAATGAAATAAACTAATGTTATCATCATTTTTCAGGTTTAACATATTTTTTTCTAAAATTTACTTCACCTGTTGACAAATGCCTTCAATAGTTGGTAACTGTCTCACATAGTCTTTGTACTGTTAGAACGTTATTGCATTTAATAAACAAAGTTAGTATACAAACATATGATTTTGTTTTACAGTAAAGGCAAACTGAATCATCTAAAATAAACTTGGGGTCTAAACGGGAAATTCAGTTTATTTATTATCAAATGATGCTCAACCTGTCGATGATACCCGACATTGCTATATTGTCCAGATTGAAAGATGGAAAAGTTCATTTCAGATATTTAGTGAGAAAAGGTTCAATGTAGGGGTGTCAAGGTTAGAAAAAATGCTAACCATTTAAATGGCGAAGTAATAACCATGTTAAACGTTTAACCGACCATACTAATAAAATTCTTAGATTATCAACTTTAACTTTGATTCTTTATGACAAGATATGACATTTTGTTAATATTTTGTTGTACTCAAAAAGATTACAATACATATCCGAATATAGAGTAACTATTTTCCTCTAGGGTCGTACCGTTTTCGATCAGATCGGAAAAAAAACATTGTTAAGTACAATACATTGTTACGTACAACTAAAATACAAACAATTGTCATATCTTGTCATAAAAAACTAAGAAAATATTTAGAATAAATTAAAAACTTTTCTGCCCCTTGGTCAAATACTAACCTCGGTTACCGGTTACTGAATTTTCTAACCGGTTTTTAGCTAAAAACCAACTGTACCCGTTGAATCAGATAAACGCGACACCCTTAGTTTAATCATAAGTATACTTGTTTTCACTACAAAAATGCTGCAGTAAGACAGCTAACATTGGAGTCAGTAGTAATGCAATGAATGTACCATCCATCCATCCACCCATCTATCTTCCATTAATGTCAAACACCTCACGGGACATAGACATGACATTAGACTTCAATGAACAGCAATGGGATACAAGGGATTCCAGGAACTAGTCCCTAGCTCTTACTGAAAAGACCCCTTGGTTCTTTTACATGCCCAGTGTATAGCACTGATACATGCAAGGATTACATGGATTTCTTACCATTACACCTATAGGTAGGTGGGAAACACTGAAAAAGTCTCTGAAAAATCCCAAGGGTGTTACCCAGGATCGAACCCGGGACCTGATGAGTGAAAGTCAGTCGTCTAACCAACGAAGCTACCACCTTATCTTCTTTAATTAAAGGTGCATTAACAAATTGTTCAAGAAACAAGAGCTGTCACAGGAGACAGCGAAGCTCGACTAATACTAGAACTACGAGAGTCGGATGTGTCGCCTTGTGAACAATATAGTTTAGGAGAAATGGCCAGGACAAAAATGAAATAAGAAAACTAACAAAGGGCAATAGCTCAAAAAATAGTAAGTGCAGAGCAGCAGTTTCTATGCACTGCACTTCTTATCAATAAGATCTATCATTCTATGAAGTTTCAAGTCCATATCTTTTATAATTTATGAGAAATGACCTGGACAAAAGTTAAATATGAAAATATATAAAGGGAAATAACTCAAAAAATAAGAAATGCAGAGTACTGGTTCTTGTACACTGTACTTTTTCTTAATGAGATCTATCATCCTATGAAGTTTCATGTCTATAGCTTTCATACTTGAGGTGAAATGACCTGGACAAAAATAAAGTAAGAAAATTAACAAAGGGCAATAACTCAAAAAATAAGAAATGCAGAGTACCGGTTCTTGTGCACTGCACTTCTTCTTGATGAGATCTATCATCCTATGAAGTTTCAAGTCCATAGCTTTTATACTTTTGGAGAAATGGCCTGGACAAAAATAAAGTATGTTAATTAACAAAGGGCAATAACTCAAAAAATAAGAAATGCAGAGTACCTGTTTTTGTGCACTGCACTTCTTCTTAATGAGATCTATCATCGTATGAAGTTTCAAGTACATAGCTGTTATACATTAGGAGAAATGGCCCGGACAAAAATAAAGTATGAAAATTAACAAAGGGCAATAACTCAAAAATCAGGAAGTGCAGAGTACCTATTTTTGTGCACTGCACTTCTTTTTGATAAGATCTATCATCATATGAAGTTTCAAGTCCATAGCTGTTATACATAAGAGAGAAATGGCCCGGACAAAATTAGAGAATGAAAATTTACAAAGGGCAATAAATAATGAAAGAAGCATGGATACCAAGTTTGAAGTCAATCTGACTTAAAGTGACTGAGTTATGCTCTGGACAAGCTTTAGGGAACGCCAACACCGCCGACAAAAGTAATCCCTATATGTCGCCTTTTCAAGGCGACACAAAAAGAAGCATGCATACCAAGTTTGAAGTCAATCCGACTTAAAGTGACTGAGTTATGCTCTGGACAAGCTTAAGGGGACGCCGACACCGCCGACGCCAAAAGTAATCCCTATATGTCGCCTTTTCAAGGCCACACAAAAATACTGGACGCAGTAAGGAGGACAAAACTATGAAAGAAAAATCAATTATGTATAATTATGTATTAAGTTATAGAAAAAAATAACATTTGATAACATTAATTCCAAGATCAAGGGGAATAATTCTAGAAATATTCACGCTAGAGTTATGAACCTTGTCACACAACATGTGTGTTATGATAGAAATATATATTTGAAGTTTGAAGGAGATACCTTAAAAAGTAAAGAAGTTATAATATTTCTTAAAGAAAATCCTAAGTTCAAAGAGAGATAAATCTGTTAATATTGCTTCAAGACGTATGAACATTGTCACATAAAATGTAATTGATGATAAGGAATAAGTATTTGAAGTTTGAGGTAGATACCTTTAAAACTAAAAAAGTTATAGTAAAAAATAGCATTTTTCTAGTAAAAAAATCTAAGTTTATGGGGAGATAATTCTTGCAATATTGGTGCTAGAGTTATGAACCTTGTCACATAAGATGTGGATGATGATAAGGTACATATATTTGAAGTATGAAGTATGATCCCTTTAAAAATGAAAAAGTAACAGTAAAAAAAAGTATTTTTTCAGGAAAATTCTAAGTTCAAGGGGAAATAAATCTGAAAATATTAGTGCTAGAGTTATGAACCTTGTCACATAAGATTGGGATGATGATAAGGTACATATATTTGAAGTATGAGGTTGATCCCTTAAGAAATAAAGAAGTTACAGTAAAAAATAGTATTTTTAGGGGACGCCGACACCGCTGACGCCAAAAGTAATCCCTATATGTTGCCTTTTCAAGGCGACACAAAAATACTGGACGCAGTAAGGAGGACAAAACAATGAAAGAAAAATCAATTATGTATAATTATGTATTAAGTTATAGAAAAAAATAACATTTGATAACATTAATTCCAAGATCAAGGGGAATAATTCTAGAAATATTCACGCTAGAGTTATGAACCTTGTCACACAACATGTGTGTTATGATAGAAATATATATTTGAAGTTTGAAGTAGATACCTTAAAAAGTAAAGAAGTTATAATATTTCTTAAAGAAAATCCTAAGTGCAAAGAGAGATAAATCTGTTAATATTGCTTCAAGACTTATGAACATTGTCACATAAAATGTAAATGATGATAAGGAATAAGTATTTGAAATTGAGGTAGATACCTTTAAAACTAAAAAAGTTATAGTAAAAAATAGCATTTTCTAGTAAAAAAATCTAAGTTTATGGGGAGATAATTCTTGCAATATTGGTGCTAGAGTTATGAACCTTGTCACATAAGATGTGGATGATGATAAGGTACATATATTTGAAGTATGAAGTATGATCCCTTTAGAAATTAAAAAGTAACAGTAAAAAATAGTATTTTTTCAGGAAAATTCTAAGTTCAAGGGGAAATAAATCTGAAAATATTAGTGCTAGAGTTATGAAACTTGTCACATAAGATTGGGATGATGATAAGGTACATATATTTCAAGTATGAGGTTGATCCCTTAAGAAATAAAGAAGTTACAGTAAAAAATAGTATTTTTTCAGGAAAATTCTAAGTTAAAGGGGAGATAAATCTGAAAATATTGGTGCTAGAGTTATGAACCTTAACACATAAGATGGGGATGATGATAAGGAACACATGTTTGAAGTATGAGGTTGATCCCTTTAGAAATGAAGAAGTTACAGTAAAAAATAGTATTTTTTAAGGAAAAATCTAAGTTCAAGGGGAGATAAATCTGGAAATATTGGTGCTAGAGTTATGAACCTTGTCACATAAGATGTGGTTGATGATAAGGAACATATATTTGAAGCTTGAAGTTGATATCTTAAGAAATGACAAAGTTATAGTGAAAAATATTTTACTGCACCAAAACTTTAATCTGAAATCTTGAAGCGGAAGCCGACGTCGACTCTGGGGGCGAGTAGGACAGCTCTTCATATACTTTGTATAGTCAAGCTAAAAATGATTTGATACTCTTTACAATATTCAAATATTTAATTTCTTACACATTATTTAAAACCATGCTGGACTTGTGTAATAATTTACCTTGGAATTTATTTTCTATCTGGTTCTGTAGTTCCCCCACTTGTTTCTCAATCTGTTTTTTCTCAATGCCATACTGTGCTGTAATTTAACACATATATTGAAGCATATGTAACAGCAAACAAGAGGGCCATGATGGCCCTTGATCGCTCCCCTGACCCATCAACTGCATCCAAGCAATGTCTTAGACAAGCATCCTGGCCAAGTTTGAAGACAATTGAGTAAAAAATGTGACCTCTATTGTGTTAAAAAGGTTTTCAATATTTGGGCAATGTGACCTAATTTTTGACTGGAGACGACCCATATTCAAACTTGACCTAGAAATCATCAAAACAACTTTCCTAACAAATTTCCTGAATATTTGAACCAAAACTGCAGCCAGTAGAGTGTTAACAAGCTTTTTCTATTTTTAGCTCCTGTGACCTAGTTTTTGACCGGAGATAACCCATCTTCGAACTTGACCTAGAAATTATCAAAACAATCTTCCTGACTAATTTTTAGAATATTTGGATCAAAACTGCAGTCACTAGAGTTTTAACAAACTTTTTCTATTTTTAGCTCCTGTGACCTAGTTTTTGACCGGAGATGACCCATCTTCAAAATTGACCTAGAAATCATCAAAACAACCTTCCTGACAAATTTCCAAAATATCTTGATAAAAACTGCAGCCACTAGAGTGTTAACAAGCTTTTTTCTATTTTTAGCTCCTGTGACCTAGTTTTTGACCGGAGATGACCCATCTTAAAACTTGACCTAGAAATCATCAAAACAACCTTCCCAACAAATTTCAAGAATAATTGGACTAAATTGCAGCCACTAGAGTGTTAACAAGCTTTTCTATTTTTAGCTTCTGTGACCTAGTTTTTGACTGGAAATAACCCAGCTTCAAACTTGACCTAGAAATCATCAAAACAACCTGCCTGACATATTTCTGGAATATTTGGATTAAAACTTCTGCCACTAGAGTGTTAACAAGCTTTTTCTTTTTTTTTACTTGTGTGACCTAGTTTTTGACCGGAGATAACCCATCTTCGAACTTGACCTAGAAATCATTAAAACAACCTTACTGACAAATTTCCAGAATATTTGGATCAAAACTGCAGCACCTAGAGTGTTAACAAGCTTTTTCTATTGTTAGCTCCTGTGACCTAGTTTTTGACCGGAGATGACCCCGGAGATGACCCATCTTCAAACTTGACCTAGAAATCATCAAAACAACCTTCCTGACAAATTTCCAGAATATTTGGATCAAAACTGCAGCCACTAGAGTGTTAACAAGCTTTTTCTATTTTCAGCTCCTGTGACCTAGTTTTTGTCAGGAAGATTGTTTTAATGATTTCTAGGTCAAGTTCGAAGATGGGTTATCTCCGGTCAAAAACTAGGTCACAGGAGCTAAAAATAGAAAAAGCTTGTTAACACTCTAGTGGCTGAAGTTTTGCTCCAAATATTCCAGAAATTTGTCAGGAAGGTTGTTTAGATGATTTTTAGGTCAAGTTCAAAGATGGGTCAGACCCCAGGGCTTTTATTTGAACAAACTTTGTAGACACTCATTAGAAGATGTTTCATGCTTAATATCTAAACTCTAGCTATTTGGGTTTTTTCAAAGAAGACTTTTAAGTTTTTTCTATATGCATATAGGGAAAATCAAAGACCCCCTGGGGCGGGGCTATTTTGACCCAAGGGCTTTTATTTGAACAAATTTGGAAGACACTCACTAGAAGATATTTCATGCTTAATATCTAAACTCTAGCTATTTGGTTTTTTTCAAAAAAGATTTTTTAAGTTTTTACTATATGCATATAGGGAAAATCAATGACCCCCTGGGGCGGGGCCAATTTTGACCCCAGGGCTTTTATTTTAACAAACTTGGTAGACACTCATTAGAAGATGTTTCATGCTAAATATTTTAGCTCTAGCTCTTTGGGTTCTCTAAAAGAAGATTTTTTTAAGGTTTTACTATATGCATATAGGGAAAATCAAAGACCCCCTGGGGCGGGGCCAATTTTGACCCCTGGGATTTTATTTGAACAAACTTGGTAGACACTCATTAGAACATGTTTCATGCCAAATATCTTAGCTCTAGCTCTTGGGGTTTTTTAAGAGAAGATATTTAAAGTTTTTTCTTTAGGTTTCCATGGCAACCAGAGTTCTGCATGGAATTAAATTCTTTGAACAATTTTTAAAGGTGACCACCAAAGGATCATTCCTGTGAAGTTTGGATGAAATTGGCTTAGTGGTTTATGAGGAGATGTCATTAAAAGTAAAAATAAATGGACGGACGGTGGACGGACGGACGAAAAGCAATCACACAAAAAACTTTGTGACAGGTGAGCTAAAAAACTGCAGCCACTAGGGTGTTAACAAGCTTTTTCTATTTTTAGCTCCTGTGACCTAGTTTTTGACTGGAGATGACCCATCTTTCAACTTAACCTAGAAATCATCAAAACAACCTTCCCGACAAATTTCAAGAATAATTGGATCAAAACTGCAGCCACTAGATTGTTAACAAGCTTTTTCTATTTTTAGCTTCTGTGACCTAGTTCTTGACCGGAGATAACCCATCTTCGAACTTGATCTAAAAATTATCAAAACAAGTTTCCTGACAAATTTCTGGAATATTTGGATCAAAACTGCAGCTACTAGAGTGTTAAAAAACTTTTTCTATTTTTAGCTCCAGTGACCTAGTTTTTGACCGGAGATGACCCATCGTCGACCTTGACCTAGAAATCATCAAAATAACCTTCCTGACAAATTTATGGAATATTTGGCTCAAAACTTCAGCCACTAGAGTATTAACAACTTCGAACTTGACATAGAAATTATCAAAACAATCTTCCTAGTGTTAACAAACTTTTTCTATTTTGAGCTTCTGTGACCTAGTTTATGACTGGAGGTGACCCATCTTTGAACTTGACCTAGAAATCATCAAAACAACCTTCCTGACAAATTTCTGGAATATTTGGATCAAAACTTCAGCCACTAGAGTGTTAACAAGCTTTTTCTATTTTTAGCTCCTGTGACCTAGTTTTTGACCGGAGATAACCCATCTTCGAACATGACCTAGAAATCATTTAAACAACCTTCCTGACAAATTTCTGGAATATTTGGATCAAAACTTCAGCCACTAGAGTGTTAACAAGCTTTTTCTATTTTTAGCTCCTGTGGCCTAGTTTTTGACCAGAGATAACCCATCTTCGAACTTGACCTAGAAATCATTAAAACAATCTTCCTGACAAATTTCCAGAATATTTGGATCAAAACTGCAGCCACTTCAGTGTTAACAAACTTTTCCTTTTTTTAGCTCCTGTGACCTAGTTTTTGACTGGAGATGACCCATTGTCGAACTTGACCTAGAAATCATCAAAATAACCTTCCTGACAAATTTCTGGAATATTTGGATCAAAACTTCAGCCACTAGAGTGTTAACAAGCCTTATCTATTTTTAGCTCCTGTGACCTAGTTTTTGACCGGAGATAACCCATCTTCGAACTTGACATAGAAATTATCAAAACAATCTTCCTAGTGTTAACAAACTTTTTCTATTTTGAGCTTCTGTGACCTAGTTTTTGACTGGAGGTGACCCATCTTCAAACTTGACCTAGAAATCATCAAAACAACCTTCCTGACAAATTTCTGGAATATTTGGATCAAAACTTCAGCCACTAGAGTGTTAACAAGCTTTTTCTATTTTAAGCTCCTGTGACCTAATTTTTGACCGGAGATAACCTTTCTTCGAACTTGACCTAGAAATCATTAAAACAACCTTCCTGACAAATTTCCAGAATATTTGGATCAAAACTGCAGCCACTTCAGTGTTAACAAATTTTTTCTATTTTTAGCTCCTGTGACCTAGTTTTTTACCGGAGATGACCCATCTTTGAACTTGACATAGAAATCATCTAAACAACCTTCCTGACAAATTTCTGGGATATTTGGATCAAAACTGCAGCCACTAGAGTGTTAACAAGCTTTTTCTATTTTTAGCTCCTGCGACCTAGTTTTTGACTCGAGATAACCCATCTTCAAACTCGATCTGTATTTCATTGAGACAAACATTCTGAGAAAGTTGACAATGATCCAATCAAAACTGTGACTGCTAGACTGTTAACAACCCAAATGTTGACGACGAACTACACACGACGCACGACGACGGACATAGCCCCATCACTATACCTCACCTTGACCACTTGGTGGTCAGGTGAGCTAAAAAACTAAGTATGTAACAATATATTGTTCAACTCTTTACTGTTATTGTTGGTGATGGCTCGATTCACATTACAGCCTGTTTTCAGACTGTAACTGTTGGAATACAGACTAATTTGAACAGTTCACATTTTTATTGTTGGACCAGGGTTCAGTTTTTATTTCATATGACTTAATAGAAAGTAAACTATAATAATTGTTCAATACTAACTGATCTCCTTCTGGATTCCAAGTATTTCGGCATACTGTTCATCTATTTTTTTCATCTTATCCTATAATATATTTTAATGAATAAATCTAATATAATATTTATCAAGTTTTATAAATTGTATGCAATTTCATACATATTTATAGCATACATGTATGTCTAATTCTGGAACATAATATAATGGGACAAGCAATAAGTGATTAGCACCATGTTATGTTTTTGTTTAGTTAGGCATATGCTCCTCCATTTGTTTTCCTAATCATTGTGAAAAGGTACTTTTTTCTGTAGTAAACAGTTTAAATACAAGCAATTATCATAGTATTGCAAGGAATCCATAAGTCCCCTACCGGTTAGAACCCCAGCAATACACTGAAGGGCCATTGGCCATTCACTAATGTTTCAATTTTTCTCTATTTCAAGTAAATTTGTTGGAAAAGTTCTTTAAAAGTGATCACAGGAAACAGTTTTTATGAACAGACAGACAGACAGACTGAAGGACACTCTAAAGTTAATATTTAAAACATCTCTGTTACCAAAATATAACATTTTTAAAAGCAAAATTCTTAAAGAGGAGATAACTCTTGAAATAAAGATGCAATTTCATAAAAATGTTCAGCTCTTTTTTACTAATCACAAATATGATTATATTTGCCATGTTTTAAGCCTATTTGTTGCCATGGCAACCAATTTTTTCAAAATAGGAAGAAAAGATAAAGACATGCATAATCTCCAGACTGCCATCTACCCATATGTCAAGGTTCATAAAAATATTTCAAGTACTTTTTGAGTTATCACTGGATTACGTTTATTTGTGTAAAATTTGCCATATTTTCAGTCTATTTTCAACATAGGAAGAAAAGAAAAACACGTGCATAATCTCCAGACTGCCATCTATCCATATTTCATAAAAATATTTCCAGTACTTTTTGCGTTATCACTGGATTCAGTTTATGTGTAAAATTTGCCATATTTTCAGTCTATTTGTTGCCATAGCCACCAGAATTTTCAACATAGGAAGAAAAGAATAAGTCGTGCATAATCTCCATACTGCCATCTATCCATATATCAAGTTTCATAAAAATATGTTCAGTACTTTTTGTGTTATCGCGGGATCCAGTTTTGTGGACGGACTGACGGACGTAGTCACAAAATGGTACTTATGTGACTTTTCCTTTGATCTTTTTGGCCATTTTTAGTCACACAAGGCTTAAAAAAAGACACACAAGTAAAAACGGAATGAATAGGATCAAAGAAATTTTACTGTTACCCATGATTGTTCTCCAAGTCACACAAATACCTCTGGGTTCATATGGACTGACAGACAGATGGACAGATTGACGGAGGGTAAACCTAAAGTCCCCTCCGGTAAACCGGTAAGGGACTAATAAGAAATATAAGCCAACTTGCATAATATTTCAACAGTCATTTAGTATTTAAATGATATATTCATATGGTATTTTCATGGTATTCAAATGGCATTCATATGATTTTGTTTTTCTTTTTACAATAACAACATAAACCCTATGCTTATCTAACAGCTGTCAATAGGACCTAGGATAGTAAGCCAACTTCTCTAATCAGTAGCTGCTTATCTCATTATTTTATGTACCAGGTTAAGTTTTGGCCTCAAATTTCCTGGTATTAATGTACACAAAATTTTGAAAAATTTACAGTTCTAAATTAGGGTCATGGGAAATATACATGTTCCATGTTTTTAAATCTTGCCTTTTATTTCAAAGCAGAGAATCACTGCTTCATGGCTAACCTTTCAAGAAACTTGGTTTAAACATATTTATTTCATTTCCATTGCAAAACAAGTTCTTGCAACTTATATTAATCACTTTCAAGTCCGCTTCCTGGAACCAACAGTATTGGTGTCATATGAAGAAACATGGCAGTACCCAATTAAGGCTCGAACCCATGATCCCTGAGTTGAGAGGCAGACACCTTAACCACTTGGCCACAGCTCCCCATTAAATAACTCACATACTTCTAGATGAATGGCCGATAATGGTTACAAGTGGTGTCTATAAAGAATGGTGACAATAAAAAGCACTGTAAAAAGGCCACTATACCTGAGAGCGATATATATCAAGTAAAAATATTATGTATACATGTAAAAAGTCTTACCTTCCTGGGTTTCAGCTGACTGTTTACTTCGTTCACTGATTTTTTGGAAACCTTTAGTTTATCTTCTTGTTCTGCTAAATCACACTCAAGCTATCAAATAATTAGTCTTTAATTAGTCAGTATCCGAAGAAACAAATTCCTAAATAGCATGTTCTTGCATATGAATATTTATGTTTAAAATTTCAAAGATATTCCATTGCATAATAAAATGTTTCTTTTGAAGTAAACAACAAAAACTTTACAGAACATTATAAGCTATCTATAAAATTCTTTCCATAAAAATGAAAGGACATTTTTTAAAGTAAGAAACCCTAACTATTTGGGTATTGGCAGCAAAAGGACTTGACTGACAGCGACCAGTAAAGAGCCAGGAAAACTGCACTTACGTTAGGTCTGACTATACTCAAAACTGCTGGCTGTATAATTTCAAACTTTTGAAACCAAACTCCCTCCAACTGATAATGAACAGTTCAAATTCAAAGCAGGACATGTCTAAAGTAACAAGCAATTATCATAGTATTGCAAGCAATCCATAAGTCCCCTACCGGTTAGAACCCCAGCAACATTCTGATGGGCCATTGGCCATTCAATTTTACCAGTGAATGAATGACATGAATGAACTTAAATCTTTTTAGTTCTAAGTTTGTCTATATCACAGTAATGTGTTAAGTTTCCCTGCCTAGTAAGGAAATTATGTTTATACAACCTTGTCATATTATTACGATGTGGGATTTTAAAGTAAATCATAGGAATGAAGAAGTTGGAGTGAAAAATACCAATTTCTCGAAAAAAATCTAAGTTCAAGGGGGACATAATTCTGGAAATAGTCTTGCTAGAGTATTTAACCTTCTCAAAAGTGATAATAAGAAACATATATATGAAGTTTGAAGTAGATACATTAGGAAATAAAGAAGGTATTTAAAAAAGACAACATTTTTTTTTCATAAAAATTCTAAGTTCAAGGGAGGTAATACTGATAATTTTTGTGCTAGAGTTGTAAACCTTGTCACTTATGATGTGGTTGATGACAAGAAACTTACATTTAAATATTGATGTAAACACCTTAAGAAATAAAGAGCTTATAGTGAAAAAGCTGAAAAAATTAAATCAGAAATCTTGAAATTCAGGCTATTTGTTGCTATAGCAACCAGAATTTTCAACATAGGAAGAAAAGAAAAAGATGTGCATAATCTCCAGACTGCCATCTACCCATATTTCAAGATTCATAAAAATATTTTCAATACTTTTTGAGTTATCACTGGATCCAGTTTGTGTGTTAAATTTGCCATATTTTCAGACTATTTGTTGCCATAGCAACCAGAATGTTCAACATAGGAAGAAAAACAAAAGACGTGCATAATCTCCATACTGCCATCTATCCATATATCAAGTTTCATAAAAATATTTTCAGTACTTTTTGCTTTATCGCGGGATCCAGTTTTGTGGACGGACGGACGGACAGACAGACGGACGGACGGACAGACAGACGGATGGACAGACGGAGGGTAAACCTAAAGTCCCCTCCGGTTAAACTGGTAGGGGACTAAAAATTCATTGAGGGAATGGTTAAAAAATATATCATTTCTTTCCACAGTACATGTATATTGTACATAAAATATGAAGACAATGCAGAATACAAATAGATAAAAAAATTTCATGTTATTTCCATGCTTGTTCCAGTGACATCATCACATGCCACTTGTCTACTTTCTGAAATGCCCACAATTATAGGTAAACAAGAATTTGTAACAGAGTTACCAACGTCTCCCGCCTAGGGGAACTTTTATATGAAGCATAAACTTGTGCAATGTCAAAAGATTGAGGTATGATTTTCAGGGCTTTCAGTCTAAGATTATGATCAATGCTATATCTGCAAATGCAACAATAAATCTATTAATGAAATAAAATGAAACGAGTAATTTAAAAATCTATCATGTTAAGCTTTGACCTCTAAGTGTGACCTTGACCATGAAGGTAGGGGTGCATGACATATCGTCTTATTATTGTTACTATTTGTGCCAAGTATTTTCAAAATCCCTTGAACCATGAAGAAGTTATAGGTCGGACATAAAATATACCCTATAACAGACTATGTTAATCTTTCTTATCATTGTGATTATTTGTGCCAAGTATTTTCAAAATCCCTTGATCTATGAAGAAGTTATGGACGGGACACAAAATACACCATATAACAGACTCTGTTAACCTTTGACCTCTAAGTGTGACCTTGACCTTGGAGGTAGGGATGCAGGTGTTGTACTTGACATATCATCTTATTTTTGTGACTATTTGTGCCTAGTTATTTCAAAATCCCGAAGAAGTTCTAGATCGGACACAAAATATACCCTAAAACAGACTATGTTACTTTTTGACCTCTAAGTGTGACCTTGAACTTGGAGGTTGGGATGCAGGTGTTGCGCATGACACATTGTCTTATTGTAGTGACTATTTGTGGCAAGTATTTACAAAATCCTTTGATCTATGAAAAAGTTATGGACCGGACACAAAATATACCCTGTAATAGACTATGTTAATCTTTGACCTCCAAGTGTGACCTTGACCTTGGAGGTAGATGACCGGTTGTTGCCCATGACACATCGTCTCATTATTGTGAACAATTGTGGCAAGTATTTACAAAATTCCTTCATAGATAAGGAAGTTATGGACTGGACACGACATATACCCTCAAATAGGCAATGTTGACCTTGAATGAGCAAGTGCGACCTTGAACCTGGAGGTAGGGGTCTGGTTGTTGCACATGACACATCGTCTTATTATAACATACATTTGTGCCAAGTTATTTCAGATTCCTTTGATAAATGACAAAGTTATGGACCAGATACAAATTTTACCCTGTAATAGACTATGTTAATCTTTGACCTCCAAGTGTGACCTTGACCTTGGAGGTAGATGACCGGTTGTTGCCCATGACACATCGTCTCATTATTGTGAACAATTGTGGCAAGTATTTACAAAATCCCTTTAAATATAAGGAAGTTATGGACCGGACCTGACATATACCCTCAAATAGGCAATGACCTTGAATGAGCAAGTGTGACCTTGACCCTGGAGGTAGGGGTCTGGTTGTTGCGCATGAAACATTGCCTTATTATAACAAACATTTGTGCCAAGTTATTTCAGATTCCTTTGATAGATGACAAAGTTATGGACCGGACATGAAAGTGTGACGGACTGACGGAGCCTATTTCTATATCCCCCTTTTCTTCGAAAAGGCGGGGGACAATAAAGCATATGGTGATTTTTTTCCTTCTTGAAATGTGTCAAGCAAATGGACCTTTCATAATTGAAAATAATGACATAATCACCCTCCCCCACCCCACTCCACTAAAAATCTAAAAAAGAAATTGCTGGTATACCTGGTGAGCCTTTTCTTTATGTTGTATCAAATACTGAATATCACTTCTGTACATCTTTATCTTATCATCCTAGAAATAACAAAAATAACTTGTTGAAAAAAAAAAAAATGTTTCCATTCGACACAGACAACCCTCAAATTCCAACATTTTGTCAGACTATGAATGGACACAGAGAAGAATGGATAAGGGCAAATCTATATGCAACCCCCCTATCACATCCCCTGTGACAAGTAAACCTTTTTTAAAACTACAATATTTTTTTTCCAAGTGAAATATACTAGAGTAAAATGTACAATATATTTTTACAAGCAGTAACAAACAAATGAACACATTAGTTAAGTAACTATACCATACCCTATTAAATACATTGGTGACAGTAACAATTATAACAAGAAGCCTCAGGCAGACAACATGCCTGACTTTTCTGTGTTTGATAGTAAAACAATGACCAACCAGGGATCTTCCTTTTAACATACATTCAGTCAAAATACATCTTAGATCTTATGATTCTTGGAAAAAGAGCTTCAGGTTTGATCAAGAATAATGTGTGAAGTTTCAAGTAAATATCTGCAGTGATTGTAGATTTTCATATTCCATGCACAATTTTAATTAGGCATTTTTCAAGATAATAATGGGCAATAATAATTCAATCAAACTTCATGTCAGAGTTATTGTTCTTGGACAGAGACCTTCAATTATGATTCCAAAGATCATGTGTGACCTTAAATACAATCAATGAGATATGAAACTGTATGCAAAACGTCCTGGTGTTTTACCAAAGACAGGGTAGGTAAACAGCCTCACTATTATTTGAATAATCAAGCTAAAAATGACAGTTTCAAATAAAAATAAGAGCAAAACTTCAAACCAATTCTATAGTGAGAAATATTATATCAATGTAGTCATTAAAAGTACCTGATCTTTCTTAGTTTTCTTAATGCTGTCTAGAGCTTTCACATATCTTGTTGAAGCAAATATTGCATCAAACTTTTCCTTCAACTGCTTGCCTTCACTTAATGGCCTATAGAATAATAAATCTAGTTTTTAGATGTATGTAGAATTAATAATTCATATCAATTTTAAAAAATGTGTTGTATACTTTTTAACAATATTCAAAAACTATGATTATGTACATTCTAGCACAGAAGTGGATGGGCATATTTTTGGAATAGTATTCTATATAGGTGTTAATGTGTACAATACATTTTGTATTATATTATTTTTGCCTGGGTGTACATCACTCAGTGATATTGGCATTCTTGCAACTCCTGGCCTTATTGTCAGACACAACAGATTTATAATCCAGGTAGGCCTACCAACCAACTAAACTCTATTCAAAGTCACACATAGTAGAATTTCTTAAAGTTTATAAAGTTATATCTCTGCTGCCTTTTTGTTTTGAATTTTGAAAATAGATAATTCAAAAATACAAGTATGAAAAAATATGTACATATATTTCCTATATGGCACATACACAAAATCATTGACAAAGGTAAAACAAGGGTGCCATAGTCACAAAATACGCCCGTTTACGAAAGCTTTAGATTGAGATGGGGGCATTATGGATAAGTGTTATCTAGCAAGCATGTTTTTATCCTTGGCACTGTGTTGTTAAATGAACCTTGACTTGGTTCATGTGCAGGGCACTCATCTCATGGTGGTGAACAATTCTATAAAGTAACATTAAAATTCCTCCATGCATGTAGAAAATATGCTCCGGACAACATCTGGATATTTAATCATCTCCAGTGACCTTGACCTTGCAAATATTAACCTAAATTAAATGTGTCACACCTGTAGTCATGATAGTTACCATTTGTGCTACAATCCATCAATAAATGATGACTAAATGGTCCCTATACACATCTTCAAATTTTTATCTGAACTTTGACCTCTATGTGTAACCTTGACTTTGGTCGAAGGGATCTGAATTTTGCGTGCAACACTCAGCCTCACAATGGTGAACATTTGTGCCAAGTTTTATTGAAATCCCCCTATGAATCGTTTTTCAATGAGCTCTAAGTGTGACCTTGACCTTTGACCTGGAGACCTGGATCATGCATGGAGCAATACATATCATGGTGGTGAACATTTCCATAAAATATTATAAAAATTCTTCCATACATGTAGGAGATATGCTCCAAACAACATCTGGATATTTCACCATCTTTAGTGACCTTGACCTTGCATATATTGACCTAAAGTACATGTGTCATAGCTGTAGTCATGATAATGACCATTTGTGTTACATTCCCTCAATAAATGATGATTAAATCGTCCCTATACACATCTTCATATTTTTATCTAAACTTTGACCTCTATGTGTGGCCTTGACCTTGGCTGCAGGAACCTGAATTTTGTGCCTGACACTCCGCCTCACAATGGTGAACATTTGTGCCAAGTTATATTGAAATCCCTCTATGCATGTGGAAGTTTTGCTCCGGACAAGCATTTTTCAATGAGCTCTAAGTGTGACCTTGACCTTTTACCTAGAGACCTGGTTCATGTGCGTGACATGGCTTCTCATAATGGTGAACATTTCTATGAAATTTCATTAAAATCCCTCCATGCGTGTAGGAGATATGCTCCGGACAAAATCTGGATATTTCATCATCTTTAGTGACCTTGACCTTGTATATATTGACCTAAATTATATGTATCACAGCCATAGTCTTGATAATGACCATTTGTGTTACAATCCCTCAATAAATGATGACTAAATGGTCCATATACACATCTTCATATTTATATCTGAACTTTGACCTCTATGTGTGACCTTGACCTTGGCCGCAAGGACCTGAATCTTGCGCGCGACACTCCGCCTCACAATGGTGAACATTTGTGCCAAGTAATATTGAAATCCCTCTATGCATGTGGAAGTTTTGCTCCGGACAAGCATTTTTCAATGAGCTCTTAGTGTGACCTTGACCTTTGTCCTAGAGACCTGGTTCATGTGCGCGACACTGCTCCTCATAGTGGTGAACATTTCTATGAAGTTTCATTAAAATCCCTCCATACATGTAGGAGATATGCTCCGGACAAAATTGGACGCCGCCAGCACGCCCGACCGACCGCCCGCCCGCCCGACCGACCGCCCGCCCGCCAGGGGCGTTCCCATAATACGTCCCGTTTTTCAAACGGGCGTAATAAAAAAACAAATAAACTTAAAATTCTATGTTACAACTCTTAACAATGAACCATAAGATTCTGGAAATGACATAACTTTACTCTTTTTAAATTTTGTTAAAAAAAAAAAAGAAATGAAAAAAATATCAGATAAAGCTTTATTCCCTTTACCATTGCACAGATTTTAATAAATATGTGGTTTGGCTATTTTCCATGTGCAGGAAAAAGCAATAATAAAGTTCTCCTACAAATAATTATTTATTCAGTAGGTTAAAAAAACTACCAACTCTGAAGAATATTTTAGTGTAAATCTTACAATCCAATGTTCTTTTTGTTGAAAAATAAACCCCAAACAAACAACTAGGTGTAATACATACAATTACAATATCCCATGCATTAATTTTGTGACACCTACCAGTTAGCCTCCTCCTGGTGACAAAATATCACATTCTCTAGAACTGGCTTTGACACGCCAAGGGAGGTAATCATCTGTTTATAAATCAAATTAATACAATTATTCTTTACTATTTTGTATAATGTTAACACATGGAAAATCTCTCTGAATGCTAAAATACTGACTGGGATTTTCACCCTGATTAATCCTACATGTCAGATAAGGATCTTAAAACTCCACTGAGGTTTTTTGACATGGCGAGACTGAAAATAATTTTTCGAGATAAACGTTCCATTTGATGTTGATCAAGATCAATAACCTTTGTGCAAAATTTCAGATCATGAATCGCTCACTCCTTTTTTCTAGAATAATTATTCAAATTGTTAAATATGACCCCAAACTGCGTGGGGCCATTTCTTACATCTGGGAAATGATATATTTTTGTGGAGGACCAACTGACATTGCTCTAAAACATATATTTGTGTATTTTATCTGTGAATCTTGTAGTTTTAGAGAAGAAATTTTAAGCACTTTGTCACCTTTCAAACAAGTGATCCTAGGTTGGCGTCATTTTTTATCCATTATTTAAGGACATTAATATTTTCTATATCTAATTATATTAAAAACAAACTAGATCTATCACTAAATGTGATTTATACCCCCACAAGACTGCTTCAGAAATGAGGAAGTTACTAGTAACAGAATACCTTGCAAAAGAGCTGAAAAAGAGTTACAGTTGTGGGCAATTAAAGATAGTTGTGGTTCTGTATGTTGCATTTTCTTTCAATGTGGCTGACCATTGATGAAGTTTTTCATTAAATTCTAAACATTAGTTTTTAAGTTATGCACCTGACAAAGAAAAGTATCAAAGGTCAATAACTCTGTTATTTGTCAAATGGTGTTATTGTTTTTGTGCACTTCCTCTTTATGTGCTTGACGATTGTATGAAGTTGTATTGAATTCCAACTGGTAGTTTTTAAGTTATGCTCTGGACAAGTAAAAGTAACAAAGGGCAATAACTTTGTTATTAGTCAAGATTGAGTTATGGTTCTTGTGCATTGCACTTCCTCTCAATATGCTTGACCATTGTATGAAGTTATATTGAATTCCAACCATTAGTTTCCAAGCTATGCTCTGGACAAGGAAAATGCAACGAACGGCTGGACTGACCGACCGACCACTGAGTGACTCCTATATACCCCCAAACCCCCCCCCCCCACCCCCGAATCGATAATGACCCAAAGACAGACTGAATTTCAACAATAGTTGCATAATTTATACAACACATATAGTGTAGGAGACCACTAGAGACCAAGTGTTTTGGAATAAGATTTTGCTTAAAGAAAAGGATGGACAAAAAAACCAGATACTGGACATCATGCAATAGAAAAAGGTCATCAATAAACATATTTTTCACAGCTAAAAAACAAAATAAAAACAAACACAGACAGACATGAACAGACAAATTGAAAGTCTCACCTGTCTGTCAAGATCAGCACATTTAGGGTTCATACTCTGTTTTTCACCAGCAGCATCCAACCAAGTTATAAAATTATCCAATGTCCTCATTTCTACCTTCTTTGCCTAAAATATAAATAAATCAAACATGCATGAACCATACTGAATTATAACAACCATCTTCATTTCTACCTTCTTTAACTAAAATATAAATATATCATACATGCAATTAATTTGTTTAGAAAATGATTTCCTCTATTCATGCAATGTTTAAGAAAAATCTCTGCACTTATTTTAATTTTCCTTCTTAGCTTTTGTAAACTAGAAATGTGTCCATAGGACACCGGTGCCCCCACCCTCCACCGATTTGCCAATCTTATGTCTCTAGGTCAAATTTTTTTTTTTGGCTACATGTGCCCAAGTTGAAAACTAAAATTCTTTTATTAAGTAAAGGGCAAATACTACAAATACTGAATAAATCCACAAGAAAACCCCAAGGTGCATAAGTACACATGCTGACCAACATTCTTGCAAACCTTTAGGCCTACAGGTCAAATACTTTTAGAGTTACGTGCAACACAACTTGAAAATTGCAAATTTTTACTAAGTCAAGGGCAATAACTCTAAAAATACTAAAAATAATCTCACGAAAATACCCAGGTGCACAACTAAACATGCTGAGCAACATTCCTGTAACTTTTCATGACTCTAGGTCAAATACTTTTTAGTTATGTGCGACACAAGTTGAAAATTGGAAATTTCTACTAATTCAAGGGCAATAACTCTAAAATACTAAATATATCCAAACAAAAATACCCAAATGCACAACTAGACATGCTTATCAACATTCCTGTAAGGTTTCATGACTCTAGGTCAAATATATTTTGAGTTACGTGTGACACAAGTTGAAAATTGAAAAGTTTTACTAACTCAAGGGCAATAACTCTAAAAATACTAAATATATCCACACAAAAATACCCAAATGCACAACTAGACATGCTAATCAACATTCCTGTAAGGTATGACTCTAGGTTAAATATTTTTTGAGTTACGTGCGACACAAGTTGAAAATTTCAAATTTTTACTAATTCAAGGGCAATAATTCTAAAAGCACAAAATATATCCACATAAAAATACCCAGGTGCACAACTTCACATGCTGATGAACATTTCTGTAAGGTTTCATGACTGTAGGTCAATTACTTTTTGAGCTACATGCGACACAAAAAGAGAACGGACGGCCGGATAGAAGGACGGACGGACAAGGGTAAATCTAAACGCCCCCCTAATACTTTTCAGGTCAGCACATCGTAATGGTTATATGTTTTGCCTCCGACATCATCCATCTTTTGTTCTATTTTGCTTCACTAAAACTAATCAATATATGTGATGCAAACTAAAATCAGTGTGGCCAACCTAAAATTCCAAGAAATTCCAGGTCAGCACATCAGTACATACAATCATAATGGTTATATGTTTTGCCTCCCACATCATCCATCTTTTGTTCTATTTTGCCTGACTGAAACTAATCAATATATGATGCAAATTAAAATCAGTGTGGCCAACCTAAAATTCCAAGAAATTCCCCAAGTTTTCTTGAACTATAAATGTATTATATGAATCTTACACCGGCTGCCGGTACAGACCGGAATATCTAGCTTGAGGGTGACTGTTTACGGCGGTAACGAGAGCTAGATATTCCCGTCTGCACTGACAGCAGGTGTTTGATTTTTTTTTCTTGCATATTACAATTCAATTATTTTCAGAACAGAAACTACGAAAACTGATATTCTCAGTAGGATATGAACTTATATCTTCATTCATAATGGTTAAGTGACGTCATCCTAAGAATGCAATTCATACATAAAATGCGCGCAGCAATGATGTCATTTAAAGCATGCGACTTGTCTTACATGGAGGGTGTATGACAGGGTTTTCTAGCACCGGTGTAAAGGGTAGATAATCCTGTCTATTATGCAAGAAACAGTTTTCTCATACTTTAAAATTAAACTTACTGATCCGATCACATTACCTACATCGCAACTTATTGTAAATTCTATCTATATAGACTTATATAGTATGAAATTTATTTTAGTTCGCTAAAAAATGAGGGAGAAATTGGGAACATGTCTGATTTCAAAGGTACCAAACCAATGCTCATATATTTTGGAAAAAAAAGTAATGGTACAGGGTATATCATCTGCTAATTGCAAAATTCAAACCTATACCTTAACCCATTACCAGATATATACACCTTTCTACGCCTTTTTCACCCCCCCCCCTTTTTTTGCTTTTCTCAAATGGTGAAAAAATGCCTTATTTAGGCTCCCAAAAACTTATTTTGTTTGAGAGATGTTGTTTAAAAAAGTGACCACTTTATCGGCGTCGTCCCCCATCCAATAGATACATCAGGGGTTTGCCAGAAGGGGGATGTGCCCCCTTCTGTTTAGGGGGTTTGAAGGTGGGCGGTAGTCCCCCTCATCGCCAAGAAAATTTTGGACTTGTGAGAGGCTAAAAATGACCCCAGGTTGATCATAAGGTAATGTTTAACCCAACGCTGAAAAGCCTTTGACTCTATCTCAATCCATTGAGAAGTGGCAGCACTTTGAAATCAATTTTGATGGAAAAATGAACACAAAATAGTGATTTTTGGCAATTTTGAGATGTCCCCTAGTTGCCATGGTAACAGGAAATTTAAGACTTAGCATGTTGTTACAAAGGCAATGGTCCAGTCAACATTTGTGGCAAGTTTGTTTAATATTGAAGCAGTTTTTATAGTTTTATAGCAACTTGAACTTGTAACGGGAGACTTTTCAACGAAAACAGCCATTTTTCACAAAATTCTCATGCGGTAATGGGTTAAAAGTTTAAACCATTTTAACACTGTCATCCATTACTCATCATGTAAGGAAATAATGTTGGGTTTAGAGTACACCAAAGTTGTAAAGGTCATATGGTGACTTTCTAGCTTTACTAGTGGAGGACGACCTAAAGTGTCCCTCTGTGCATTATTTCAGGCACAAATAGCCACCTGATTAAAACCACTGATATTCAAGCAAGCTTCCTCACAATAAAATATCCAAAATCCCTGGTAGGATTCGAACACAAAGGGATGAGGGGCAAGTGGTTTAAGTCAATAACCTTAACCACTTGGCTTTGGACACTCCCCTGATAAATATTTCCTGCCACTCAGCAAAATGCTCATCTGTAGAGTAATAACATCTTAATATGTTTTCTTTTAGGATATATTTCCATTGTACTGTAGTTAACATTCAACAGTAAATTTAATCAATCAAGGAGAATCAACTTACCTTTTGTGTAGCTGTTAATGACCTCTGTACAATAACTAGTTTTTGTGATATGTCACGCAACTGTAACCTCACTTGACCTCTGACCTCACTCTCATGAGCAATCTAAACATGATATTGTAAATATATATATATATATATATATATATATATATATATATATATATATATATATATAAAATTATATATATATATATATATATTTTTTTTTTTTGTTAGATTAGATTTGCATCGCAACAAAACAGAACAGGCTATACGCAATTTTCTAGCTTTGCTGGTGGGGGAAGTCCTCAAGTGAATGTGTATTATTTCAGGCACAAATAGCAACCTGAGTAGAACCACTAACATTCCATAAGGTAGCTGGATAGCTTTCTTACTCGAAAGAATCCAAAGTCACTTGCCGGTTTTAAACCTACAGCAGTGAGGGCAAGTGGTTTGAAGTCAACATCCTGAACCACTTGGGCCACAGATGGCCCTAATTGGAAGTGTCTGTTCAAGGTCAATGGATTTTAAAATCAAAATACAACAAGAATAAATTTGTGAAAAATGCTATGCCACCGCATTAATACAACACTAAATAGTAGTGTAGGAACAGATAATTTTTGTTTCTACACAATTGAAGATTGTCATAATGCACAGATCCCTGACCTATCTAATTCTTAGTATCAGATTAGTGGTTAAATCTATTGTTATTCAAATAAAAGATCAGAGCAGGTATATATCGATGCAGTTGAGTGTAGTGAATTTGGTGGTGAAGGTTATATTTCACACAGCCTAATTTCATGACTACATCAAACAACAACATAATAAGACACTTTGTCAAAATCTAGGCCAGCTGATATTAAAGTTCACTTTACATCTTAATCTGTGCCCATGGTTCAAATTTCATAGCTGCACATCAAAGGACAAAAAAGTAGGTCACATCATCAAAATCCAGGTCACCTGATATCAAAGTTCAATTTTACAAATAAAAATGTGCACATTCCAAATTTCATGGCTGTACATCAAAGGACAAGAAAGTATGTCACTGTCCCCTTGGGCAAGGCAAAGTTTTGACCAAAGGGTTTAATTCAAACAATCTTGATACAGGTCCACCAAACATCATTTCATGTCAAATATCTAAGCTGTAGCTTTCTCCAAATCAGAAACCATTTGTTTTACTATGTGTACATAATGAAAATCAATGCCGAGCAGGGCCAATTTTGACACCAGGGGAAAAATTTGAACAACTTTGGTAGAGGACTTATAGATGATTTTATAAAGAAAACATCAAAGCTCTTAGCCTTGTACTTTCAGACAATAAGATTTTTTAATTTTTTACTATATGTACATAGTGAAAATCAATGACCCCTGGGGACGGGCCAATTTTGATGCCAGGGCTATTAATTTGAACATCTTGGTAGAGGTTCACTACACAAAGTCTCATGCCAAATATATAACCTTTAGCCTTTGTCAATGTAGAGAAGAAGATTTTTAAGTTTTTACTATATACATATAAGGAAGACTATCCCCTCTGGGGCAGGGCAATTTTAACACTAGTGGCATAATTTAAATAAGTTTGGTAGAGGACCCGTAGATGATATTATATACAAAATATCAACCTTCAGGCAAAAAGATTTTAAATTTTTACTATATGTACTTTATAAGTGACTGAAAATCAATGACCCCCGGGGCGGGGCCAATTTTGACCCCAGGGCTATAATTTGAACAATCTTGCTAGAGGTTCACTACACAATGTTTCATGCAAAATATCTAACCTCTAGCATTTGTCAATTTAGAGAAGATGATTTTTTTAAGTTTTTACTATATACATATAAGAAAAACCTATGACCCCCGGGGCGGGGCTAATTTTGACACTAGAGGCAAAATTTGAACAACTTTGGTAGAGTACCTATAGATGATATCATATACCAAATATCAAAGCTCTAAGCCTTGTACCTTCAGACAATAAGATTTTTTTTTTTCCCTATATTAAATAGTGAAAATCAATGACCCCCGGGGCGGGGGCCAATTTTGACCCCATGGCTTTAATTTGAACAATCTTGCTAGAGGTTCACTACACAATGTTTCATGCAAAATATCTAACCTCTAGCCTTTGTCAATTTCAAGAAGATGATTTTTTAAGTTTTTACTATATACATATAAGGAAAACCTATGACCCCCGGGGCGGGGCTAATTTTGACGCTAGAGGCAAAATTTGAACATCTTTGGTAGAGATGATATTATTTAAGAAATATCAAAGCTCTAAGCCATGTACCTTCAGACAGGAAGGTATTTTAGTTTTTACTAAATGTACATATAGTGAAAATCAATGACCCCCGGGCGGGGCAAATTTTAACCCCAGGGCTATAATTTGAACAATCTTGGTAGAGGCCTACCAGACAATGCCTTATGCAAAATATCTATGCTCTAGGCCTTGTGGGTCTTTACAAGAAGATTTTTTCAATTTATTCTTATAATTCCTTTTGGTTGCCATGGCAACCAGATTTCTGCATGGAATGAAATTCTTTGAACAACTTTGGAAGCCCTTCACCCAAGGATCAATCCTGGTTGAAATTGGACTAGTGGTTTTTCACAAGAAGATTTTTTAAGTTCACTATATAATCTATATAACACACAAACACACACACAGGTGAATCGTTATATGTGAATCGCAGATGCTGCGGTGGCATACAAATTTAGCTACGAACAGTATAGAGCCTGGCAACAGTGAAGAGTGGTTTATACAAATGAATTTTCATATCAGTAATTCTTTTAGTAAGCCTTTAAGAACAGGGTTAATTTGTAATTAAAGTGCCTGCCTTTTAACCAAGAGATTCCAATTTTAGTGATGTAATGGCCTTTTTTTTTAAACCCTTAAACTATATATTGTTGTTTTTTGGTTTCTTTTGTTTTTCTCAGCTTTAAAGTTTGAACAGTGTCAGTCAATTTAAAATTTATGGGATTTCCATATAAAAACACCAACAAGAGGGCCATGATGGCCATGAAATCGCTCACCTGTATATAGGCCCCTGGGCCAAGGCCAATTTTAAACCAGGAGCTTTTATTTGAACAAACTTGGTAGACACTCAGAAGAAGATATTTCATGCTAAGTATCTAATCTAGCTCTTTGGGTTTTTTATAAGAAGATTTTTTAAGTTTTTACTATACACATATAGGAAAATCAATGACCCCCGGGGCGGGGCCAATTTTAACCCAAGGGTCCTTATTTGAACAAACTTGGTAGACACCTATTAGAAGATGTTTCATGCTAAATATCTTAGCTCTAGCTCTTTGGGGTTTTTAAAAGAAGATTCTTTAAGTTTTTACTATGTACATAAAGGGAAAAACAATGACCCCTGGGGCGTGGCCAATCTTTACCCCAGGGCTTTTATTTGAACAAACTTGGTAGACACCCATTAGAAGATGTTTTATGCTTAATATCTAAGCTCTAGGTATTTTCGTTTTTTAAAAGAAGATTTTTTAAGTTTTTACTTTATACAAAAAAGGACAAGAGCCATGTCAACATGGCCATCCCCCGCTGAATGTGTTTGCTCATTGGAAGAATGTATATGTAGTAGAGCAGAATAATTCCATTTTAAGAGGTCTTTTGGTAATGAAAACTGATGGCTGAAGTGATTACAGATTTGAAACCTATGTGAATACTGATGGCTGAAAATAACAAAGGGCAATAACTGAAAAATAATGCAGGGTAGGTTATCATTCTTGTGTGCTGCACCCCTCCTCAGTAAAATCTATCCACCTATGAAGTTTCAAGTTGATACCTCAAATACTTTTTGAGATAAGCTCCAGACAAAATAGTATGAAAAAGAACAAAGGGCAATAACTCAAAAATTATATAGGGAAGAGTTATCATTCTTGTGCACAGCATTCCTCCTCAATAAGATCTATCCACCTATGACATTTCATGTTGACATCTCAAACACTTTTGAGTTATGCTCCACTCAGGTGAAAAATTAAGTATGAAAAATAACAAAGGGCAATAACTCAAAAATTATAAAAGGTAGAGTTATCATTCTTGTGCACTCCACACCTGCTGACTTAGATCTATGCACCTATGAAGTTTCATGTTGATATCTCAAAGGCCTTTTGAGTTATGTGTTGGACAAAAATTAATTTTGAAAAATAACAAAGGGCAATAACTAAAAAATTATGCAGGGTAGAATTATCATTCTTGTGCACTGCACTCCTCCTCAATGAGATCCATCCACCTATGAAGTTTCATGTTGATACCTCAAATACTTTTTGAGATAAGCTCCGGACGAAATAGTTAGAAAAAGAACAAAGGGCAATAACTCAAAAATTATATAGGGAAAAGTTATCATTCTTGTGCACAGCATTCCTCCTCATTAAGATCTATCCACCTATGACATTTCATGTTGATATCTCAAACACATTTTGAGTTATGCTCCACTCAGGTGAAAAATTAAGTATGAAAAATAACAAAGGGCAATAACTCAAAAATTATGAAAGGTAGAGTTATCATTCTTGTGCACTGCACACCTCCTGAGTGAGATCTATGCACCTATGAAGTTTCATGTTGATATCTCAAAGGCTTTTTGAGTTCATCGTCGGATACCCACGATTGATAAACATGTCACATAACATGCAATCATAGATAAATGTTAATGGTTCGGCCGTGGGTATCCGACGATGTTTCGAGTTATGCTCTGGACAAAAATTTATTTTGACAAGAATTTGAAACAGAGTTACCAACGTCCCCGGCCTCGGGAAGTTTTATATGAAGCATAAAATTGTGCTATTTCAAAAGATTGAGGTATGGATCTCAGGACATTCAGTCCAAAATAATGATCAATGCTAGATCTGCAAATGCAACAATAAATTTGTTAAAAAATAAAATGAAACACGTAATTTAAAAATCTATCATGTTAAGCTTTGACCTCTAAGTGTGACCTTGACCTTGGAGGTAGGGGAGCAGGTGTTGTGCATGACATAACGTCTTATTATTGAGACTATTTGTGCCAAGTATTTTCAAAATCCCTTGAACTATGAAGAAGTTATAGATTGGACACAAAATATACCCTATAACAGACTCTGTAAATCTTTGACCTCTAAGTGTGACCTTGACCTTGGAGGTAGGGACACAGGTGTTACGCATGACATATCATCTTATCATTGTGACTATTTGTGCCAAGTATTTTCAAAATCCCTTGATCTATGAAGAAGTTATGGACGGGACACAAAATATACCATATAACAGACTCTGTTAACCTTTGACCTCTAAGTGTGACCTTGACCTTGGAGGTAGGGGTGCAGGTGTTGTACTTGACATATCGTCTTATTATTGTGACTATTTGTGCCAAGTTATTTCAAAATCCCTTGAACTATGAAGAAGTTCTAGATCGGACACAAAATATACCCTATAACAGACTATGTTAATTTTTGACCTCTAAGTGTGACCTTGACCTTGGAGGTAGGGATGCAGGTGTTGCGCATGACACATCGTCTTATTATAGTGACTATTTGTGCCAAGTATTTTCAAAATCCTTTGATCTATGAAAAAGTTATGGACCGGACACAAAATATACCCTATAACAGACTATGTTAATCTTTGACCTCCAAGTGTGACCTTGACCTTGGAGGTAGATGACCAGTTTTTGCGCATGACACATCGTCTGATTATTGTGAATATTTATGGCAAGTATTTACAAAATTCCTTCATAGAGAAGAAAGTTATGGACCAGACACGACATATACCCTCAAATAGACACTGTTGACCTTGAATGAGCAAGTGCAACTTGACCCTGGAGGTAGGGGTCTGGTTGTTGTGCATGACACATCGTCTTATTATAATAAAAATTTGTGCCAAGTTATTTCAAATTCCGTTCATAAATGACGGAGCCTATTTCTATATCCCCCTTTTTTTCTTCGAAAAGGCGGGGGACAAAAAATAACAAAGGGCAATAACTCAAAAATTATGCAAGTAGAGTTATCATTCTTGTGCACTGCACTCCTCCTCAATGAGGTCTATCCACCTATGAAGTTTCAAGTTGATACCTCAAATACTTTTTGAGATATGCTCCGGACCAAAATGTCGGACAGAAGGACGGACGGAGGGAAGGTCGGACGGACGGAGACTATAAAAATCAATGACCACCTGGGGCGGGGCCAATTTTTACCCCAGGGCTTTTATTTGTTCAAACTTGGTAGACACTTACTAGAAGATGTTGCATGCTTAATATCTAAGCTCTATCTATTTGGGTTCTTTAAAAGAAGATTTTTAAAGTTTTTACTACAGTAAAACTTCTATGAGTCCAACTTTGATTAGTTGATTTTCTTGATGTGTCAAAGTAAAATGAAAGTCCTGATTTTTTTCCCTATATATTCCTCATAAAAACCTTTTTATGAGTCGAAATATTATGTGTCAAATTTTTTGATGTGTTGAACTTTTTTAGAGGTCCGTATAGAATAAATCAAGTACAATTCACAACAAATAAGTTGAAGTCCTTCGCTTATTTTGACAACTCCGTTCTCGAGACTTTTTCACACCTTTTCTAGCCGCGAAGATGATTTCCGATCAACTTGTATGACAGGTGTTAATTACATAGCCTTGTGTTCTAACAGCCTTTGTTTGCGTTTAAATGTGTGATAAAGTGTTTTAATTGTAACCATTTATATAGCTGTAGTGGTATTTGAAAGTAAACAATAAGAACTACTTTCATTTGAGAACTTCTTGACCCGGTGTCGCGTGATAATCACACAGGGATATATATATACTATAACCTGGGTAAGTGATCTCCCTTTCGTTTTATTACGCCTTTTGTAACTTGCTTGTATACATAAACGGCTCGATATTTTGTCACCAAATTGAGACCTATTCATGAGTCAAAGTCCCGATGTGTTGGAGTTTCTACGCAAGTCCCTTCATCTTCGACTTACCAAAGTTTTACTGTATATACAGATAAGAAAAATCAATGACCCCTGGCGCGGGGCCAATTTTGACCCCAGGGCATTTATTTGTACAAACTTGGTAGACACTGACTAGATGATGTTTCATGCCAAATATTTTTAAAGTTGACTACCAAAGGAACATTCTTGTGAAGTTTGGATGAAATTGGCTTAGTGGTTTATGAGGAGTAAAAGTTTACGGATGGACAGACGCCCGATGGATGACGGACGAACGTCATCACAAAAGCTCACCATGTCACTTTGTGACAGGTGAGCTAAAACTTGACCTACCATTAGGTATATAGCCACCAGGCTCTTTTATTCCATCAAGTGGTTAAAGGTTAATATGATTAATAAATAAATGGACACACACATGATCTTAAGATACTTAATATAAATTCATTTGTAGATCTCATCTCAATCAAGCTGGCACATAATGATTTTACACCAAAAGGATATTAATCACAAACATTAATTATTTGTCAACTTAGCGCAAAGATTCAAAAGGAATTATCTCTTACTGAACTAAGGTGGTATGATTTTTACCTTGGGATCATGTATAAATGCTCCTCCTTTTGTGGCGCCTGGTGGCATGACACCTGTAGTCATATACTTCAAACACTCAATAATAGTCTGAAATTGAAAACATAAGTCACTAAGCTTTTTTAATTAAATTTACACATTCTTAATAAATCAGTATTTTGAGACTATGAGCCTTAATTTCTAATTTTGGAAGTAAAAAATCTGGTGTAAGGTCAGAGTTTTGGGAAACTGCATGATTTTTCAGAAAATTTCGGAATAGAGGTCTTTCATTGGTTTATACTAGAACTCTGCGAGTTGGATGTGTCGCTTTGTGAACAATATAGTTTAGGAGAAATTGAAATTTGAAAATGAACAAAGGGTAATAACTCAAAAAATAAGAAATGCAGAGCAGTAGTTTCTGTGCACTGCACTTCTTACCAATAAGATCTATCATCCTATTAAGTTTCAAGTCTAAAGCTTTTATAATTTATGAATAATGACCTGGACAAAAATAAATGAAAATGAATATTAACAAAGGGCAATAACTCAAAAAGTAAGAATGCAGAGTACCAGTTCTTGGGCACTGCACTTCTTCTTAATGACATCTATCATCCTATGAAGTTTCATGTCCATAGCTTTTATACTTTAGGAGAAATGGCCCGGACAAAAATAAAGTATGAAAATTAACAAAGGGCAATTACTCGAAAAATAAGAAATGCAGAGTACCAGTTCTTGTGCACTGCACTTCTTCTTAATGAGATCTATCATCCTATGAAGTTTCAAGTCCATAGATTTTATACTTTAGGAGAAATGGCCCGGACAAAAATAAAGTATGAAAATTAACAAAGGGCAAAAACTCCAAAAATAAGATGTGCAGAGTACCGGTTCTTGTGCACTGCACTTCGAGTCATTATAAGGAGCATGCATACCAAGTTTGAAGTCAATCCGACTTATAATGACTGACTCATGCTCCAGACAAGCTTAAGGGGACGCCGACACCAACAACGACGCCGACAAAAGCAACCCCTATATGTCGCCTTTTTCAAGGCGACACAAAAAGGTGAAAAATCACTGGTTATGTTAATATTAGCAACATATTCTTAATACTTAGAAGTGGGGGAAAACATGATCCAAATTTAATAAATTCTATATTTCCCCAGCAAATACTCTGGTATTTTGAAATTAATCCTCTAGCAGCTAAAGGGTTAATTTGATATAATGCAAGCATACAAATTTAATCATAATCAATAGAGACATACAGTTTTCCCTGTCCCATTGGGCCCCAATATCAATGTAAGAGGCTTGTTGAAATGAATAGTTTGTTTTTCCTCAGGACTGAAGCTCCGGATCCCTTGGATCTTCATCTCCTCAATGGTTGACATGTTTGTTTTCTTTAACAATCTGAGATCACCTACACATGGAATTTCCTAAAATAACAGCAAAAAATCAATTAGTAAATATTAAAAAATTTAATGAAATCAATACATGTAGCTTTACTTTTTCTGAGGCTATTATTGAGGCTATTAGTTGTTGTAAATTGTTATGTAAATTGTGTCATGGGTCGATTTATTTGTTATGTTACGCGTTAGGGGTGTGGATCGTCTGATAAGTGGAGATCTGATCCACGATTCAGCATTTGCGATTCACAAATCAAACCATGAATGTTTTATCATCAAGACACCCATAAAAACATGAACATAATTTCTGAAAACATGTTTATTTTTCTTTAAACAATACTAAACATTAAACATACATGCAAATATACACTAGGTTTAAAGGTTGAAAAGGAGTTGCGCCGATATAAAAAATTCCACCAGCAAGTTGGTAATACTTTGGTATTTCAATAAAGAAAGGGGAAAAGGCCGTTTGGGAAACATACCACCGTGAACTGACCGTACTGGTACAACAAATTCATGAGAAGACAAATGTTTCCAAACATTGGAAGTAAATTTTGTTGGTGGAATTTTATAGTGGCGCGACTCATTTTCAGCCATTGTTGCAGACGTCACGTTGACTTAACTTGAGAATTTCGCAAATTTTGGATTATTAAAGATAAAACCTTCTTCGATAGATGTCATGTTATCATAAATCTATATACAGCGACTACTAAAAATATTTATTTATTTTCATTTAAACACATAGTACTCAATAAAGATAAAGTTATTCCTTTTTCGAAACTAATGACTTCCTAGCGAATCATCATGGTATTTGTTTGTTTACTTCCTGTCTTAATTTGGCAAATTGCATTTAAGTAAACGTCGTATAATTCATAGTAAAATGGTATTTTTTGCGACTTTAATAGTGTGAGAAACAGTGAAATTATATAAACAAATAAGATCGCGATCCACGATCTCTGGGTTGACGAATATTCATACTCGATTTTTTATTTTGATTGTGATTATCCGAATAGTCGGATACTCGCCCCAGCCTTATGCCTTCATTTTACAATGCATTGTTCGTTTGTTTGTTTGTTTTGGGTTTTACGTCACATCGACACAGTATAGGTCATATCGCGACGTTCCAGCTTTACTGGTGGAGGAAGACCTCAGGTGCCCTTCCGTGCATTATTTCAGGCACGAACGGGCACCTGAGTAGAACCACCGACGTTCCGTAAGCTAGCTGGATAGCTTCCTCACATGAAAGAATCCAAAGTCCCTGTAGGGATTCGAACCCACAGCGGTGAGGGGCAAGTGATTCGAAGTCAACGACCTTAACCACTCGGCCACGGACGCCCCATGCATTGTTCGTCAGTTGCTGGAAAAGTATACTTAATGTTGGTTGTCATTTGTTTCTGTGGAGTCTGTTATCATATGCTTTATGTCCAAAATTGTTGTACATTGTTTGAAAGGGATTTGAGAGAAAGTTTTACATTGGTTTTAACATTTCCTTCAGGGGTTTCTTCCAAATTCCCACAAATTTTTCTTCTCCAGATCACTTTTTATTTATTCTCTTATGAGTTTAGATATACAATTTATTCTACATGACATTTATTCAATATGGTTACTTGATAGAATTTTCAGTTGGGAACTATGACTTATTAGTAATAGAAAGACCACCGAAACACGAGGCTATCTGATTTGTACGAGGGGGCGTAGCCCCCGCGTATTAATCAGATTGCCGAGTGTTTTGGTGTTCTTTCTCTTTTGTATCATAGTCAAACATAAAAGCATGTTCCCTGTTGTCACAATATGAAACCCCGGCAAAAATGAACCAATGAACGAACATCTGAATATTACATTTCTGTCACTTTCCCTTTCTCTGCCGTCACAATATGTAAACCCCAGCAAAAATGAGCCAATCAATGGGCATGTTCTGGAGTGCGGGTAACTAACCCGCACTCCAGTTAACGCACTGTGCATGTATATGTATGCGATTTAACATTTTCAACAGAAAGGTCTCCAAACTATGATACAATTAAGGGTTAATCAATTTACTAATTTAACTGAAAGTGGCTGGGGTACATGATATTAAGTTTTTATGCAACAATGTCTTAATTTCTACACTAAAACATTATTCACTACAATAAACAATAATTACAATACAATTGGTAGTAAAATTGAAAAAAAAAAAAAAATTCACTTCCTGTTTATTCACTGATAAAGAACATACTTGTTTGAAATCGATTTGAATAAAAAATAACTGAATGTACGCGTGTGGTTGTTCTTTTTGGATTCATGGTAAAATTGAAGAAATAAATCAATTAAAACACTATGAAAACATAAAAATTCGAACTTACAAAATATCTGTTTGTTGTGATATCAAAGATTTTGTTTGCTTTAATTTTTACAAAAGATAAAGTCCACTGCTTGTTTTATGAAGTCTTGAAAAAATTAATTCCTTCTTTAATTTTTACAAAAGATAAAGTCCACTGCTTGTTTTATGAAGTCTTGAAGAAATTTCAAAATAAATCCATTGCAAAAGATGATAAAATGATATCTTTTTCAATCACTTGAATAACATTTTTTGATAAAACATTTGTTTACAAAGTAGTTCTCATTCAAAGTATGGTGTACAAGCTATGCCATAATTAAGTTTGATCAAAGTTAACTCCCTTTTTTAATTTCAATAACTGGCTATATTCTTATTGCCTTGAACACTAATGACTATAAAATCTTAAGAAGTTTAAAATATATATGTAACTTTCATACAGTTAAATAAACAAAATAAATAATATTAGAGTGATTGATATTTTTTACATGTTTAATTAACCTTTAATAAAAATGCTTTTTAAAATTTTCATAAAAATCTTAAAGAAAGTGTTATCCTATGCAAACTGATACTTTAATCAAGACAAGAGTGAAAATTAAAACAAGAGGGCCATCATGGCCCTGAAGTCACTCACCTGTATATAGGCCCCTGGAGCAGAGCCAGTTTAAATCCCAGGGCTTTCATTTGAACAAACTTGGTAGACAACCATTAGAAGATGTTTCATGCTAAACATCTAAGGTCTAGCTAGTTGGGTTTTTCAAAAGAACATTTTTAAAGTTTTTTCTTTAAACGTATAGTTAAAAACAATGACATATCCTTTCATCCATGATAATTGATGAAAGTAAATTTTGCGTTCTGTTCCCGGCTCTGCGTGGAGCGCTTGTCAAGCCGGTACCCAAGCGATGTACATGCTTTCGACTCGAGCGTACAAATTCAAATATTTAAATTGTACATTATATAGAATAAAAAAAACTTGGGAAACAACACACTGTGCATCTTGGTAATAGTTTTATTACAAATAAATGTCTTTTAAACGAGCGCTTTGCAGACAGCTTACACGAGGGACATGAGGATAGAATGCGCGAGAAGATACGAAAATGGTAAATTCAATTTATATTGAACCAGACATTGACATATTATTTTAATGTCTCTGAATAAACTTGGCTCGTATTAAATTATTGCTGACATTAGTTGTCTTTATCGTTAATTATAGACAATGCAAGATCATCAGGCATACTAGGTATTGAATAAGCATATCGTAGGAGAGACCAAATAGAGATATTAATATTATTATACAAACAGGGAACCCTAAATTGTGTAATAATTGGTCCCTAATCAGATGTGAGACACACGGTTTCCTACAAGGTGAGAGAGTAATACCTTACGGTCAGCATAACAACAAACACTGACCGCTACCCTTTGTACAATGTGATTGAGCAAAATTTTAAAGCCCCTCTCAATAAAGCTGGATTTCCCCGTTTACATGTATACAATCGTGTAGATCCCTAAATAAAATATTTTGGCGGGTTATTTTTTAATGCTAGCATTTTTAGCAGCAAACCTGCCCATTGAAAAAAAAACCGGCTTATAACAGTAAATAATCTTGGTCGGATAACAAAGGACTAACTTCATTAATTTTCGTATCTTTTCCGAAATTTGACCACTTTAATCATCCGAAAATGATTTTCCCCCAGTTTTTGCAAGTGGTCATAATCAGCAATTTTTAAAAGACAACACATGTTCTGAAGTTTGTTCAATATTTAAGTTTGTCATGAATGGACTATGCTGGATGTTTAAGCAAATGCCTTTATGCGTTGTCTGCTTTTTGAAGACACTGCTGACGTCATAGCAACGTCATTTGACCAAAACAAGTTTTACTGGAGGTTAAAGAAGATGTGAAAAGAAAGTAAACAAACAAAAGCTGATATTTCAACATATTTATTTCAGTAAACATCAAAACAAGTAACAAATTTATGTACAAGAGTATGAATATATTCTTTAACAAAATGACGTCACGAAGAATACGGACCAATCACAACAGTCAGATCACTTATCATCACTTCATTACAGTAATCAAATAAACTATTTTAATCCTGATAAATGGATAATACTTCACCAAAAGGTGTGAAAATCTGAAGATTTAAATACTTCAAAAGGAAATTCCTTTCAATATTTAGAACAGAAATCAATACTTTTTGTGTTATAATTGTGCCTACATATGGCTATTGCTCCATTCCATACCATCAGAGATGTATATTACAGAAATTGAGGATATTCAAATTTTTTTTTATTATAAATACTGGATTAATTTTCATAGAGTGGTATGAAAATAAATATTTCATGAGTTGTGGTAGCTAAGAGTGAAATATGATAATTTTCATACCACAAAATGAAAATAAAGAAAAAAACCCTCAATATTTCATTTATAATTATATAATAAATGTATATATCATATATTGTTTATGGTCCATCCTCATTGTATACATGCATGTCTATTTGATTAAACCATTCTTAAAAGAAGTTCCGCACCCAAATACATGCATAATATGAACATGTAAATCAAAAATGTAATGGTAAGCTATTTTTTCTCATTCTTTATTAATGAGAACTCCACTATTGGGCTTTAACAAAATATTCTTTCTTGACAATTTTTTACATAGTATATATATTTTTTCTCAAGAGGCTGACAATAAGACATATTAGTAATAACTATATACGGTACGCAGTATTAAAGAAGAAAAAATACATTGGAATATCATCTCATAATTGACATTTAATATTCCTGGTAATCAGGAAATCCTCCCTCTGAGTTTATCAACACCAAGGCAATGTGACTGGCAAATAAGTAATAATTTCAGATGTGAAAGGTGAACATAAAGAGTTGTAAATATTTTTGCAATGAAATAGTAGGTATAATTGTATAATAAATGCTTGTAATCAATGAACAAAATAAATGAAATTTTAGCACCACTAATAAAGAAACATCACTATGAGGCCAAAATATAACAAATTTAATCTGTAGAATAATTTTCATTAACAAATAAACATACATCTAATGCCATGTAATTTTTTTTTTTAATTACTTTCATGTCATATTAATTATTATCTGTGGGTCACTAGATTATTATTTTGCATAGTAAAATATAAAATTGAACACAATTATGGCAAAATGTTTAGGTATTTTGACTTTTACCTGTGCACTCACCATTGACACTTGGATGGGCGTAATGTCACAGCTGACAGACGGTGACGGACAAAACAACAACTTGACCAATGCAACAAAGTTAAACAAGTATTGCCCCCTACAATTATGTGGGGGGGTAAAAAAAATGCAAACAAAGCCCTTATTTCATCAGTAAACATGTAGCAAAACAGTACAACAATTAATTCAGCCATATCTTGCCCTATATTTTTTTTGTTGAAATTTGTTCACTAATCTGGAGGCATGCATCATAAAATGTTTGTATTTGAAAGAAAAACAAGGGCATCTAAATGCTCCCACCCCCACCATCCAAAAAGAAATGCAAATTAATTATAATAGCAACATGAACACATTCAAATGGCATTTTATACACATGTTTACACATACATGCTTGTTGAAAATAAAAATCAACAGTCACATTCAATAAACTTTACAAAGGTCAGTCATAACAATTCTTTTGGGTCCATTTTTTCAATGTTTATTTTCATTTTCTTCAAGGACCTTATCTGCTCAGTTCAGCAACCTCAGCTCTTGTCAGCCTTGAACAACCACTGTAAAAGAAATGTATAAAATTATATAACTCTTTCTCTGTTATTGTAAATGTAAATCCTGACCAGAAAATCACAAACATGAAAACTTTCAATGATTAAAAGTATTCTTTCAGTATTCTTTAAGAGTAATGGGTGGAAATATCTAACCATCTCAGTCCTTGTTTGTATAATAGAACTGTCCACCTTAGAATAAGTTAGTTTTGTTTGTTCGTTTGGGTTTTACGTCACACCAACACAGTATACAGTTGAGTTCACACTAAACTTCCCACCCTTGTGCACTTCTAGTGCACTAGAGCTGAACTAGAAGTGCACACCGTGTGCACTACTAGTGCACTAGACCATATGACCAGGCTTGCCAGGGAAGGTGACAACTAAATGGTTTATTGGATAATTGCATATCAAGTGACAGGGGGCATCCATTGTTAAACTGCTGTAAGAAAAAAAAACTTTGGGAATATATGGCCTACTCATGAATCTAAATAAGTAAATTTTAAAATCAGCTGTTTTAACATTTTAGTAAAGCTTAAAAATTTTTTTTATTTATTGTAACATGTTTTTATTAACCAGTATCTAACTGTAAGTGTAAAATAATACCCCTTAAATTCAAATTTATAGAATTAATAAGGTTAATTTAATGCTCCGTAATGGATAATTAAATAAGTGATTTTAAAGGGTTTTTTTTAATGGCTATGTATTTCAATTTTCTAGTGTACAAATGGGAAATTAAATGTGATAATCCTGGCCTAATTAATTAAGAAATTTGTAACAACATTAACTTTTTTTCATAAGCTCAATCAAATCAAGGAAAGGTTTATATTTAAGCTAAAATATTATTTCTATAATATATGACTTAGAGACAATCCCTCATGTTCAATATTAATAGAGAATATTAATACATATATTTTAAAACAATCAATATACATGTATTGTGATAATTTAGTATTAAAGTGTGTAGGGCTTGCATATGTTTTAAAGATATAAATAATTAAAATATTATCCATAAAATAAATAATTTTGATAACTTTATTCATGATTTCAATATTAAAAATCTACTGTATAAAGGGAATACTTTTATTGAAGAGAAAAATCTCAAGTCATGCTGTGTATTGGTATTTCCTGAGAGGGACTGTTTTCAATATACCACTCTCCTGCTGATAAGAGGGCCTCAGGGTAAATAACAAAGAACAGTCAATTTGGCAGATTTATAAGAATGCATTGAAATTCCCTGGTTTTCTCAAAATGCATGTTAGACATAAGCCTGGGATTCATCAGGCGTTGGCACTCAGTAAATGACCATAATTTTTGTATAATCAAATATAAAAAAAAAACATAAAGGCATAAATGCATAATTATTAAAATATTATCAGAGACATAGATAGATGTTTTCTTTGTCTCTGATATTATTGTCTCTAAAGCGGAATTTTCTATATTTATCCATTTATCCACATTTCTTGCCATTCTGCATAATGATATCACGGATTTATATTACTATATATACTATTAATATAAATCCGTGATAATATATAACTTAAGAGGCAATTCCTCATGTTCAAGATTGAAAGAGAATATTAATTCATTGATTTTAAAACATTTTATAGACTGTGATATTATGTTTTTCAACCATAAAATGCTTGCATACTTTTTAAAGATATACATAATTAAAAATTTTTCATAAAATAAATAAAATTGTTAACTTTATTCAAGATTTCTACATTAAAAATGTAATGTATAAAGGGAATGTTTTTATACAAGAGGAAAGTCTCGAGGCAATTGCTGTGTATTGGTATTTTTTGAGAGCGACTGTTTTCATTACACTGGTCTCCTGCTGATAAGGAGGCCTCAGGGTAAATAACAAAAATGCAAATGAATGCAATATTTATTACAAATTTCCTTTTTTTTCCCAAAATACATGTAAGTCATTGATAAATGACTATACTTTTTGTATAATCAAATGTAATAAACGCACGTTAGATATTATTGTCATTTATTGTCTGAAGTGGAATTTTCTAATCTTATTATAAAAAACTGGTTTAAAACCAATATCAGTGTTAACTATTCTACAAAGACTTTGTATCAATATTTTTTCACATTTCTTGCAATTCTGCATTAAAATTTGCAGCATCTTTGGAAATGTTATTTTTTTCTTTTTTAGGTTTGACAAATTTGCCTTGTCAGTTTTTACCACGGATTTATAAATCCGTGGTTTTTGCGCATTTAGAAGATAATATATTTTAAGGAAAATATTATTTAAATACATGATTATAAAACTTTGCAACTTCATTTTCAAATTAATGCAGATCTGTTTTTTTTTTTTTAAATTTGATATCATACATGAGCAGAAAACAGTTACAGGAGATTAAAGTGTCAAAAGTCATGCTGTGTATAGGTGTTTTGATAAGAGAGCCCCTCAGGGTAAATAACATAAGCCAGATTAGGCGATGTAAATTCTGTACTCTCTGGATGTTGGTGCCAATAAATTTCATTACAAATATAGTACAGAAAGAAAAATGAATATTTTTGCAATTTATAATGAACTCATAAAATTAATCATATTGCATAATAATGTTACAATGCATGAAAAAAATAAAGGAAAAAAGATTGGTGTCGTCTCAAAAAATGGAATTGACAGATTTTCTAATCTTTTTGTTAATATCCAAGTCAGTTTAAGTATACTAGTATCCCACAGGTACATATCAATACTTTATCCACACATATCAATACATACCACCATTATATATAAATATTTATTTTCAGAATAATATATATCATTTATATTAATCTTAGGTAAATCTCAGTTTGAGAAGGTAAGAGAGATCATTAAATGAAATAAAATTGACAAAATTTAGGCCAAATATAAACAGATTAATTCTTTAATGTATTAAAGGCTATTAATGCTGAAAATCATTACCTTTAACTAAAACAACCATAAGTTTAATAAGATCAAAAATAACTAATACTACGGTATAATTCTCCCTCCCTCCCCCAAAAAAGAACTGACTTAATTTTGTTTGATCAGCATTTCAATGTTTCATATTTCATTAACAGATGATAATAAAATAGAATCATATTAAATATCAATTAAGTTTGTTCATTTATGCACTTATCAACATTAAAGTTATAATTATTTATATTTAAATTACTTATTCTAACAATTAAATTTCAAAGTACAAAAACAGTATATAATGACTTTGAAGTTTTTTGTTCTAATATTTTACGCCATATTTTACATAATCCAATAATCACAATTTCAAATTTTTATTGAAAAACTATTAAACAGATACAGTATCTATATATTCTATCTTTTTGTAAAAGTCAAATTGCTATTCAGTGAAATAAAAGGTAACTGCTTAATACATATAATAGGTCTGGTGCACTACAAAGTGCACTTATGAAGTGCACTACTAGTGCACTTTGTAGTGCACTAGTAGTGCACATCTAGTGCACTCCTAGTGCACTTTGTGTAACCTTTAGTGTGAACTCAACTGTAGGTCATTTGGCGACATTCCAGCTATACTGGTGGAGGAATACCTCAGGTGCCCTTCTGAACATCATTTCAGGCATGAACGGGCACCTGAGTAGGGTTACCACTCTTATTCATAAAAACTATTTATAGATCAATAACTTTCCTATTACCCAGCTCAACTAGATATCCCAATCAAATCAACATTGTTTATTAACATTTTAAATTTCAAAGACTATGATACAATGTGAAATGAAGTTTACAAGAAAACAATAATAATAAGGATCAAACAAAATCAATAACTTTAAATACTTACTATTGATTTTTGCTGACTTTGAAGAAATAGTCTACATATTCTGATCTACCCAGTAACTCTACAAAATCTTCATCGTGGGTAATGATTACCAGCTGAAAGTTTCTTTGGTGAATGCGTCCTTTAATGATCCTGGTGGAAGAAATATTCATATATTAACCAATTAGAGTAGCTAATTACAGCATTACTAAAATAAAACTTTTGTATCAAACTTGTCCAGCTTTAAATTGAGAAGAGACATTGTTAAGTTTGTGGGACTTATTATATGTATGAAAATGCTGTGAGTGGCAGAAGTATCAAACCTCGCCAGACTGCACAGTTAGGCAAGATGACCTTTAAGCTGGCCAGAATCTACAACAGCAGGATAGGCCTGTTATTTTTCCAACTAACACTTAAAGGTTTAACATTTATTTGAACTGTTCAGACATGACCGATCCTGGTGGTATAGCTTAATCTATATTGCATCTTACAAGCAGTGAATTTAGACGATCATTAATGAAACATTTGAATCCTCAATCAGTTGCTAAAAAAATTCATTCCTTTCCTGAACAGTGTTTACGCAAACTAAACTGTAAACTATTTTCATGAAAAAGCATTCTATACAAAACCTTTATTCCTATATTACAATGTAGCTTTGGATTAAGCAGAGTTTAAGCAAAAACAAATATAACCTGCATGCCAACACATCCAAATGCTGCTTTTTTAATACATTGATTCAGTCAGGGATAAAATACCCCAAAAGTTTAAAATCCTTGAAAAGAAATTGCGTCAGTAAACAGACTAATTTCCGCGAAATTAAAAAAATATATTTCATGTTCGGTTCCAAGTCAAACAAAATCTGTTTTAAGTTAATTTGGAAGATTTCTAGCTTTACTTGAGGAGTAATATGAAACAGGTCAATCACACCAATATATCAGACACAAGCCGTAACCTGTGTAAAACCATTGACTATTCAGATAAAAAGCTTTATTACTACAACCGACTAAATTACAAGGCCACCCTCACTACTCATGATGACTCCTAAATATTTATACCGGTACTTATATATACATACTCCACTAGTGCACCAGCTAAACTTTCAATATTTTCTCTATCCAGATTGGTCGTAGGTTCATCTAGCGCTAAAATTCCACAGTTCAAACAGAACGTCTCAGCCAAGGCCAAGCGTATTATCAAGGATGCCAGTACCTGAATGATATCACAAATAAGATAGTAAGCATTTCACCACATTATGTAAAAGAAAAGGCATTATTTGTCCTTTGGGTTTAGAGCCATTTCAGTAAAGTTGAGGTGTTAAGGTGTCATCTTTGAAATAGACTCATTGTCATGCAGATATTCCTTAAAATATGCATACACTTCAGCCTCATTAAAACGCTCATGTTGGGGTCCAATGTCTCACCACCGCGTTCTAACGAGGCTCTCATTAGAACGCTCATTGCGAAATTACCGCATTACCCCACCCACCACATATTATATATAACGCTGATTTTTTTTTACTTACTGTTCAATGAATATCGACATTATCTTTTTCTAAAGCCATTCAATGATGTAAACATGTATTATATTCACAATAATACTAATTATATTTAAAAGAAACGAAAAACTTTCGAATCAGGTCGGAAGATATTCGTCTGTGTTGTGGACTTGTCAACATTGTAATATTGCCCTCCCAGGACTAAAGAGAATACTAGCACAACTGACTTCAGTTGAGGAGAAAATTAAAAATATCGAAGAAAGGTTAGATTTGGCAACATCCCCTACTTCTAGGGATAATGAACAGGCTGATAGTAATATTCAAGAGGCAGTGCATGAGGCATTACAGGAAGAGAGAGAAATCCAAAGTAGGAAGCTCAATGTTATCTTTTTAGGTTTGCCAGAAAGTAGTGCTGAAGAACTGAATGAAAAAAAGAGACAGGATAGTGAGAGTATATCAGAAATAGTTAATGATAAATTGAGTTGTAATGTACAGATGGGGGAATGTACTCGTCTTGGCAGAATATTTGAAGGAAGACAGAAAGCGAGGCCGCTACGTTTAACGGTAAAAGATTTTGATACCAAAAGAAGGATTCTTGAAGCGGCACGTAGACTTAAAAATGATGCCAAATACTCAAATATCTATGTAACACCGGATCTAACAAAAAATCAAAGGAAATTGGCCTTTGAATTAAGGCAAGAAAGGCGTAAAAGGGAGAATGAAGGGGAGACTGGCCTTGTAATTCGTAGAGGGAAAATAGTGAAAACAGTGGTAAATAATGGATCGGACCACTCATATACATCATTTCAAGGTAGAGGACGTGGTCATGGTGGTAACTCGTCACGGGGTGGAAACTCTGGGACATCAGTTCAGAATAGTTTCGCGGCGTTAGGAAGGGAAATGGATAGGGAGATCCAGCCATTTCGGCTCTGAAGTGAATAGTGCAGACAGTGACTGTACAAATAGTTTTGTTAACAGTTCAAGTTTCAACAGTTCCATAAGTAGTTTCAACAGTTCCTATAGTTTAAACAGTTTAGAAGAGAGTCCTGATTCTTTAAACTCTTCAAATATGGAGGACAGTTTTGTAAGTTTAAATTACAATGTTCAGGGAGAACAGCATAATGTAAATAAGTTAAAAGTATATTATACAAATGCAGATGGACTATTGAATGAATTAAATGAATTAGTTGTCGTAATATCAATACACGAACCGGACATTATAGTAATTTCTGAAATGTTTCCAAAAAATGGTGATCAAACAAATATACACCCATGTGAATTTAAAATACCAGGTTATAGTACATTTGTTGGGAATATTACAAAAAATTGTAGGGGAGTTGTTATTTATGTAAAAGATGTTATATCGGCTGAGAAGTGTGAAAACTTAAATGAGATGCCTATGAAAGAATCCTCTTGGTGCGAAATAAGAATAAATAAGAAAGAAAAATTGTTGATTGGTGGCATATACAGAAGCCCAAATAGTGACAATGTAAACAATGACTTATTGTTAAATTTATTTACTCATGATTATATAAAGACACATAAAAACTTGGTAATTGTCGGAGATTTTAACTTCCCGGACATAAATTGGGACTCCTGGTCGACAATACATAATGAAAACCATATATCGTATAAATTTATTGAAACATTGAGAGATAATTATTTGTTTCAACATGTATATGAAAATACACGTTATAGAATTGGGTACAATCCTAGTTTGTTAGATTTGTTATTGACTAATTCAGAGGGACTAGTCAACAACGTTAGATACGGTGATAAGTTAGGAGCAAGCGATCATATCAGTATAACATTTGACATTATGTGTAACATTGATTTTGAAGTATCGTTAAAACCTCGAAAAAATTATTTCAAGGGTGACTATAACTTGTGTAGAAAATATTTGAGTGATGTGGACTGGGAAGTTATGCACAACTTTAATGTTTGTGAATGTTGGGAATATTTTTTGAAACAGATTAATTATGTAACAGACAAGTTTATTCCTTTTAAAAAGGTTAGCACCAGGCATAAACCTAGGTGGATGGACAACTACTGTGTAAAAATGGTGAAAAGAAAGTATCATGCTTGGAAAAGGTTTACATACAGTCGTTCATACCAAGCCTATGAAGAATATTGTAAAATTAGAAATAAAGTTTCAAAGGCAGTGAGATACGCAAAGAGGAAACATGAGAAAGGAATAGCAGATAATATTAAGACAAATGTAAAAAACTTCTGGGGTTATGTAAAAGAACAGACTAAATCAAAAACGGGAATTGGAGATTTGAAAGATGTAAATGGAGACATAATAACAGATGATAGTAGCAAAGCTGAAGTTTTAAATGACTTTTTTACATCCGTTTTTACAAAGGAAGGTGATTCAAATATGCCAGTTTTTGAGAGCAGAATTGATTCAAATTGAGTATATTGATATGGTTAATCTAAACTCTGAGAACATTTTGAAACAGTTGAATTCCCTAAATACTTCAAAAGCCGCAGGCGCAGATAATTGTCATCCTAAGTTTTTAAAAGAATGTGCTTATCAACTATACATGCCTCTACACACGTTATTCTCAAAATCATTACAAGAAGGAAATATTCCGAATGATTGGAAACTAGCAAATGTGACTTGTATTTATAAAAAAGGACAAAAATCTGATCCTGGTAACTACCGTCCTGTTTCATTAACTTCTATTGTATGTAAAATGCTGGAGCGAAATGTTAGACAGGGAATTATTGAAAATGCATGATATGTTGTCGGATAGTCAATTTGGATTTAGGGACCATAGAAGCACCATTTTACAGTTATTATCAGTATTGGATGATTGGACTGAAGCTTTGGATGAAAATCTACAAGTTGATTCTGTTTATTTTGATTTTGCTAAGGCATTTGATACGGTTCCCCATAAACGTTTACTTCATAAACTTTCAGCATATGGCATTACAGGGAAATTGCATCAATGGATTCAAAGTTTTCTTTTAGATAGAAAACAGCGTGTTGTAATTAATGGTAATATATCCAAGTGGAGTAATGTTATTTCTGGTGTACCACAAGGATCAGTATTAGGTCCATTATTGTTTGTTATCTTTGTGAATGATATTCCTGAAGCCGTAAAATGTGTTTGTAGACTCTTTGCTGATGATACAAAATTATATCGAATTATGAGAAATATGTCTGATCAACAAGTACTTCAAAATGACATTAATACACTATGTAAATGGAGTGACGACTGGTTACTCAGATTCAACTCTAGCAAATGTAAGATAATGCGGATTGGAAACAGCAATTTTGATACAAAATACAAAATGAAAGACAACACTGGTATTGATGTTGATATTGAAATCATTGACAAGGAAAAAGACCTAGGTATTAATTTTACGTCTAATTTGAAATTCGATGAGCACATCGGTCGCACTGTAAATAAAGTAAACTCACATATCGGGTTGCTGAAAAGAAATTTTGTTCACATGGATAAGAAGCAATTTTTGTTATTGTATAAAGGTCTTGTAAGACCAATCACTGATTATGGAAATATCATTTATTACCCTGTAACAAAGAAAAATAAACAACTAGTGGAAAATACCCAAAGAAGAGCTACAAGAATCATCCCTGAACTAAGAGGACTCACATATGAACAAAGATTAAGGGCTTTGAATTTACCAACTCTTGAATACAGACGTCAACGTGGAGATATGATACAAGTTTTTAAACTTATTCGCAAAATAGACGATTTTGACTATGAAAAGTTATTCAAATTATCTGTTACTAATCATGAAATCCGAGGACATATTTATAAATTAGAAAAGTTAAGACCACTAAAGGCAATAAGACAAAATTCCTTCACTTATAGAGTCGTAAACGAATGGAACCTACTTCCCAGTGAAATAGTTATATCAAAGAATGTAAATGAGTTCAAATCTAAGTTAGATAAACACTGGCAATGGAAGAGATTTAAAATGGACAATATATATTAGATAGACCAATACCGGAGCGGACGACACTGAAAACGGAACTCGAGGGGAATGATAGTCTGTTAGGGGACTAATAAAGTTTCCCAAACATCACAAGGTATCACAAGGTATGAATGTAGTGTAAACACTAACAGCCATTACTGTAATGACGTTTGATTAACTAGGGGACACAACTAAAGCTAAACTGTAATTTACAGTCCAGCTTTAGTTGTGTCCCTTAGTAAATCAGACGCCAATTACTACCTGTCATGGCCGCTCTATTTACAGTGCAGGATTTTAAATTGATTTTGGGCTTGTGGGTTATTTAATTCAGCGAGGTTTACATGTCAAAGATATGTGTGTGAATTTTAGTTTTTTATACTCACCACCGGTTGCCAATGTCACAGTTATGATATGAATTTGAGATTTTGGAAACAATTTGACGACAGGTAAAACAACAAAAGAGCAAATAAACGCTTACCTAGGCATGTTTTTCACACCTTTGGCGCTCATAAATGTCCTAATAACAATTGTTTATTGTACTTGACAGTCAAATTGAGCAAGCGTTATAGCGCGCTATAAATCTAAGTCTACTTAAGAAAAAAAAATTTTTTTTTTGGAAGTTTTTTTTTTTTTTTTTTTTTGGGAGCCAAGGTCTATGAGCGCTCTACTGAGATTAGCGTTATAGTGAAGAGCGAGTTATCGAGGCTACAGTGTACAAATATTACAGGCAAATCAACTTCATTTGATCATTTAATCACTGATATTGCACCAGTCTTACTGAATTTTATTTACATAACATGTAAGCCTTTAGTATGAATTACCCAACAAATAACCTTACATAAAAAGATCATAAAAATTTCATATAATAAAATACTGAAAACTGTGTAATTTCTGTATAACTTTCAGAAAACGTAAAAAATAAATTATAAACTATTGCTAGAAGATCTAATAACTTTTATTTAATTTTAAATAAAGATACATCAGAAATTTCACCTTTTGTCCAGCACTACATCTCCCCCTCATGTCTATAACAGCGTCCCCAGGTTTGATCATCACAACACGGTAGTTATACGTCTTACGTGTCTTCATGGCCGCGGAATCATCCTCATCTGAACGTATCTCTATAGTTTCTATGTCTGTAAACAACAAATAAATAGAGGATATATAAGTATTTTTTTTTTATAAAAACAGGATTTATTTTCATTGAGAGGTATGAAAATGATTATTTCATGAGTGGCGGTCGCCAGATAGCCCTGAAAGCCCTTTTCAGGGCTAGCTCATTTTCATATTGTCTTAAGTTACTTTACATTAAGGTTCTCATTGGCCGCCGTACAGAGACCTATAAATTCATATCTTTGGCTAATACTCCATGTAAATTGCATGGAGGTAAATGATCCCCATGTTATGCCTAAAAAATTACCCTTTTAAGGGCATAATTGGCGACATGTACGGGGTCCGTACTTGACAGAAAACGCTGCTTTTTGTGCCTTTAAAGTAGTGATGTTACGATTGTCGCAAGTCGCCAATAATCAGTTACTGTTATATAAAGCGACAATAATCGATTCACAAAAATTTGTTCCGCGACGTCGTGGAAAATGTTTAAAGTATCAAAGGAAATTAATTCTGACGGTAATTTTCTTTTAGGAACACCTCGCAGATCGCAAAAAATCATCTCAGGGACAATTTGGAGTTGAACAGGATCAATAAGTAATATAATGTGATGTGAATGTTATTATTTGACATCCATTGAAAAATAAAATCTATTTCATAAAATTATGACTATAATGGGTTAAAACTGTGTTGTGAGTGCTAAATGAAGTTCATGTTACTAAATATAATCAAGTGTCTTAGGAAGAAATGTTACTTCCCTATTTCTTTTTAAGGCAACTTTATTCGAAAAATTATGGATTATATCCCGTCTGACTGAACCGATGATCAATTGGAACAAATTTCATCCGATTTCCATCACTACATTAGGCGTATGAACCCTCATTAAACATAGAATATACACACATACATACCCTTTTATGGTAATTTTACAAATGCCTTTTCAAAAGAAAGGACACTGTATGAAATAGGTACCAAATTAACACTTTACCTTGACCCCTGTAGGTCTGCCTCCACAGGTCTCGGATAATTTTGTTGATTTCCGACATCTTCATATTGTGGTAATTCATAATAGCCCTATCAAAATAATAATTCAGACTTATATCAGTGATGAAATTTTACCCATTAAGGGCTAGCAAGAATTTTATTAGAGCTATGCCAATAGTTAAGAGTCTGGAAAAATGGTTCATCTGCATAGTCCGACATTGTTGGCTTCAATGAAAAAAAAAAATCGTATCTCGCAAATAAACCTCTCTGTATCCAAAATAAAATCTTCCAAATTAATTAAATTTCTAATTTTACCTTGTAAGTCTTTAAAAAATATATCAAATGAACAGTACTATGTTGGCTATTTGACTTTTCAGCTTTACTTGTGGAAGACAACCAAATGTTCTGATTGACATACATTTTCTCCTCAACAGCTACTTCCAATCCATCAAATTAAACAATATTGTGAAGCATATTTTCTGTGAAGAGCCTTTTCTATTTTCAGTTACAGTTGTTCTATATTTTAGCCAGGATATTGATTCTTGATTAACATTAATTGGCACCAAGGTGAAATCATTAACATTAATTGGCACCAAGGTGAAATCATTAACATTAATTGGCACCAGGTGAAATCATTAACATTAATTGGCACCAAGGTGAAATCATTAACATTAATTGGCACCAAGGTGAAATCATTAACATTAATTGGCACCAAGGTGAAATCATTAACATTAATTGGCACCAGGTGAAATCATTAACATTAATTGGCACCAAGGTGAAATCATTAACATTAATTGGCACCAAGGTGAAATCATTAACATTAATTGGCACCAAGGTGAAATCATTAACATTTTTGACAGCTAGCTTTATAACACATCACACTTAAAGATTTATATGTCACCAGAAAGTTTTAAGTTTACAATCATGAAACCGCATTCAAAGTTAGTAACTTTTAGCCCTTTGAAAAAAAAGACAGAAATGAAATAAACAACAAGTGAGATAAGTTTTTATTTCAAACATACTTATCTAGTGCATGGTAATATTTCTCTAAATCTCCATTAGCCAGTTCTGTTGTCTGAAATAACATTACAACATCTGACAATTAACCTTGCAAATTTTTTTTTCAGCAACTGCCATGACTTTAAGTCAAACATTACAATCAAACATTTGAGAAGATACACGAATGTTCATACATAAATAAAATTCTTACATTAAAAATCAGAAATTTAAGTTACATTTTAAAAACTTCTTACGATTCATTCTTTAATACAATTTATCGGATGCTACAGAATGGTATGAGCTTAAAAGCATTTCAATCTTAACAAAGACAGAAAAACAAGCTGATATATTGCGCGATCAAAAAGAAACTACTTATCAATAAAATTTATGATTTAAATTTATCAAACAAACTTTTAAGTCTAGAAACATTTACAAAATCTAAATTCATTGTACAAAAGGACGAAACTTGAACTATGTTCTCTTACTCTAAGGTCAATCATTTTGTTACGATATTTCTCCTCTGCTCCTTTATACATGTCTGTTTGTAACTCCTTCTTCACAGCTCTAATCTGGTTCTCCAATTCAGTCTGACGGCCTTCTGCGGTATGCCGCTGAATTAAATGAGGTATTTTTATATTATAGGTGTACTATCACTTTGAAATTCAAATCCTTTCCAGTATAATAAATATTAACCAAATCGTAATATTTGTAAGCAATAAAACGTGAATTTTGTCATTCATGTACTAAAGCATACTATACAATGACTGTGAGTTGATGAAGTAATATCCCTGTCTATGGCTGGCTAATGTGAAATTCTCCGTCAGGTAAATTATCAAAGCTGTCCGCATTCCTTTTTAATTCAAACAAGCCCTGAATAAGCAGATAGACAACACAGAAATGTTTGTTTTGTTTTAGGCAATAGATCCCTTTCTAAGTGTGTAATTTAAGCATGATTTTTCTCTTAAACAACACTGTTTTGGATTAGATGACTGAAGTACTCTATTACTGTAAAGCCATTTACTGTTGGTTACTAGTTATTGACTATAAAATTTGGCCCCAATGCTTTATGATGAAGTTTGATCAATATCAACAGGTCAATTTCACTTTGTATTGAACAGTAATCACAGCATCGGAAATCTGGTAAATTGGTAGTCACTGCCAATTATAAAGTTTGTAATCACATAATTCTGGTATTATATAATGTTGTGAATTTTGTTACTTGAATAATAATAATTTCTGTATCTCGTTATTATAAATATAAACATGTGGATTTTGTTATTCCCATCAAATCATCAACAGCTCGGACTTACCTGTTTTGTTAGATTTTCCATTTCTCGTTGTAGACGTCTACGTTCCCTGTCTAGGTAAGCCACGTCTAAATCTCCAAGTTTACTCTCCAGGTCAACAATCTTTCTACTGATCTTTTCTATCTCTTTCTGTTTATTTCTCAAATTCAGATTATTCTGAAGGTCAAGTTCTCGTACCTTGAAGATATGATATTATTTTTTATACCAAATTTGATTCAGTTTATTTCTTTCTGCTTATTTCTCAAATTCAGATTATTCTGACATCAAGTTCTCGTACCTTGTAGATATATTAAATTTTAATACCAAATTTGATAAAGTTTTTTCCTTGATAAAAGCTTCAGTAATATCAATATAGTTGTTCATGTCTTTTTTTTACAAAAATGTACTTTCACATAGTTTTATGATAAACCTATAAATTTTTAATACAAGAGGGCCATGATGGCCCTGAGGTCGCTCACCTGTATATAGGCCCCCCATCGCCGGGCCAATTTTTACCCAAGGGCTTTTATTTGTTTATTTGAACAGACTTGGTAGACACCCATAAGAAGATGTTTCATGCTAAACATCTAAGTTCTAGCTCATTGGCTTTTTTAAAAGAAGATTTTTAAAGTTTTTACTATACACATATAGTTAAAAACAATGACACCCCTGGGGCAGGGCCAGTTTTGACCCCCGGGCGTTTATTTTAACAAACTTTGTAGATATTTACTTAAAGATGTTTCATGCTTAATATCTAAACTCTAGCTATTTGGGTTTTTCCAAAGAAGATTTTTAAGTTTTTGCTATACACATATAAGGAAAATCAATGACACCCCCCCCCCCCAATTTTGACCCCAGGGCTTTTATTTGAACACACTTGGTAGACACCTATTAGAACATGTTTCATGCTAAATATCTTAGCTCTAGCTCTTTGAGTTCTTTAAAAGAAGATTTTTTAAGTTTTTACTATATGGATATAGGGAAAATCAATGACCCCCTGGGGCGGGGCCAATTTTGACCCCAGGGCTTTTATTTGAACAAACTTGGTAGACACTTGTTAGAAGATGTTTCATGCTAAATATCTTAGCTCTAGCTCTTATGGTTCTTTAAAAGAAGATTTTTTAAGTTTTTACTATATGCATATAGGGAAAATCAATGACCCCCGGGGCGGGGCCAATTTTGACCCCAGGGCTTTAATTTGAACAAACTTGGTAGACACTCACTAGAAGATGTTTCATGCTTAATATCTTAGCTCTAGCTGTTTGGGTTCTTTAAAAGAAGATTTTTTTAGTTTTTACTATATGCATATAGGGAAAATCAATGACCCCCTGGGGCGGGGCCAATTTTGATCCCAGGGCTTTTATTTGAACAAACTTGGTAGACATTCACTAGAAGATGTTTCATGCCAAATATCTAAGCTCTAGCTCTTATGGTTTTTTAAAAGAAGATTTTTTAAGTTTTTACTATATGCATATAGGGAAAATCAATGACCGCCAGGGGCAGGGCCAATTTTGACCCCAGGGCTTTTATTTGAACAAACTTGGTAGACACTCGCTAGAAGATGTTTCATGCCCAATATCTTAGCTCTAGCTCTTTGGGTTCTTTAAAAGAAGATTTTTTAAGTTTTTACTATAGGCATATAGGGAAAATCAATGCCCCTCTGGGGCGGGGCCAATTTTGACCCCAGGGCTTTTATTTGAACAAACTTGGTAGACACTCACTAGAAGATGTTTCATGCCAAATATCTAAGCTCTAGCTCTTATGGTTTTTTAAAAGAAGATATTTAAAGTTTTTTCTTTTGGTTGCCATGGCAACCAGAGGTCTGCATGGAATTAAATTCTTTGAACAATTTTTAAAGGTGACCACCAAAGGAACATTCCTGTGAAGTTTGGATGAAATTGGCTCAGTGGTTTATGAGGAGATGTCATTTAAAGCAAAAGTTTACGGACGGACGGACGCCGGACGGACGGACGCCGGACGAAAAGCGATCACAAAAGCTCACCCTGTCACTTTGTGACAGGTGAGCTAAAAAGAAACATACATATTCATTTTTTTTATTCAATATTAAAGTAATACAAGAACAAGGATAGCATGCTCAACTATTCTCAGTGCTTGAAAGTAATACAAGAGCCTGGATAATATAGAATTTTTTAAGTTAAACTAGAACTGCCACTGTCATGGCGTGAATATCCCCGCATACCACTTTGTCAGAATCAACAATTTAGAGCTCAAGGACAACCTCCCTGCCAAATCTGAGGTTACTAAGCCAGTGCATTGCTTAGTTAGCTTTAAATGTGAAAATGTCAAAATCCATACACTGCGGACAGGTATTCTTAAGCATTTGAGCAGACAAGCTTATTATAGTAAAAATTCCTGTGACCTTGACCTTTGACACATTCACCTTTAAAGCAATAGGGATCATCACCTAGTCATAAACAACCTCAATACCAAATATGAAGACTGTTGACCAAAGCATTCCTTATTATTTGAGCGGAAAAGCTTTTTAGTCAAGGTCCCTGTGACCTTGACCTCTGACCTCGCAATCAATAGGTGTCATCTACTTATCATGACTAACCTCCATGCCAAATATGAAGACTGTGGGTCAAAAGAATCTCAAGTTATTGGGCGGACAAGCTGCTTTTAGTTAAGGCCCCTGTGACCTTGACCTTTGACCTCAAAATCAATAGGGGTCATCTACTAACCATGACTTACCTCCATGCCAAATATGAAGACTGTGGGTCTAAGGAATCTCAAGTAATTGGGCAGACAAGCTTTCTTTAGTCAAGGCCCCTGTGACCTTGACCTTTGACCTCAAAATCAATAGAGGTAATTTACTTATCATAACTAACCTCCATGCCAAATATGAAGACCTTGGGTCATAGGAATCTCAAGTAATTGGGTGGACAAGCTTTTTTTAGTAAAGGCCCCTGTGACCGTGACCTTTGACCTCAAAATAAATAGGGGTCATCTTCAAATCATGACTAACCTCCATGCCATATATGCAGACTGTGGGTCAAAGGAATCTCAAGTTATTGGGCGAACAAGCTTTTTTCAGTCAAGGCCCCTGTGAAATTGACCTTTGACCCAGTGACCTCAAAATCTTAAGGGGTCCTCTACTAATCATGACTAACCTCCATGCCAAATATGAAGACCGTGGGTCAAAGGAATCTCAAGTTATTGGGCGGACAAGCTTTTTTCAGTCAAGGCCCCTGTGACCTTGACCTTTGACCTCAAAATCAATAGGGGTCATCTACTAATCATGACTAACCTCCATGCCAAATATGAAGACTGTGGGTCAAAGGAATCTCAAGTTTTTGGGCGGACAAGCTTTTTTCAGTTAAGGCCCCACGGACCTTGCCCTTTGACCCAGTGACCTCAAAATTAATAGGGATCATCTACTAATCTCCATCGACTAACCTCCATGCTAAATATGAAGACTGTGGGTCAAAGAAATCTTGGCGGACAAGGAAAAAGCGAAGGACGGCCAGACAGGGAGACGTCAGGACGGACAAGCTGATTCCAGTATACCCCCCTTATAACTTTGTTGTGCGGGGGTATAAAAAAGGGGTAATTATTTTGTCAAAATACATGTTTAAGTTATGAACCTTGGCCGCTGACTTTCTTAAATGTTCTCAAATAAAAGCATGAAGTTTCAATGAATTTCCTTGAGCAGTTTTGTAGATACCAACTTGCATACATAAAAACTTAACGGAAGTGTGATGTCGACACAGACTCTAGGGGGAGTATAATTACTTTACCTATCCTTCTAATAGTCAAGGTAAAAACATAATGTCAGGAATTATGATCTGACAGGGCTCTAGCTAGACCAAAATTTTAGGGAGAAGTCACTTCTCCCTCAGCCCACATTAGGGAGAAGTTTCAAGACTTAGGGAGAAGTGGGTATACCAACATTAAATGGACCGCAGTCTACATGTTAACACAAGAAGGGAAGGAATATCCTTTCAAACTAAAGCATAAAATATAAACAAATAAGAATAAACTATTTTTATTTTAGAAATACACATATATATCTATAAACTATCAATATATCATAACATTTTCATAATTACTTTTAAACAAGAACATATATATTTATTAAATACTGAACTAAGTGTTAAAATGAGGTTTTGACAATTTCCCAAATGTTCAAAAACAGTAAAAAAATATTATTATTTACAACATCTTATTTAAAAAAGGTTTAACTGATATCAAGGTGTCAAATGATACAAAAAAATATATACACATATACAACATGTTCTATTTCAGCCTGAAAAATCAAAGTGTCAAATGAGCTTTTCATAATAACTAAAAATAATGTCAAATGATACAAAAAAATATATACACATATATACATTGTATATGCAACATGTTCTATTTCAGCCTGAAAAATCAATGTCAAATGAGCTATTCATAATAACTAAAAAACATATACATATTTACACATCTTCCATAAGAGTCAACAAATTCAGTGTCTATGTTTCTTGTTGAAAAACTTTCATGCATGTACATAACTAGCAGTTTCATACATGTACATATCTAATCATTGTTTATGAAGAGTATAGCTTTCTCACTTTACATGACTTCCATTTTTTAAGGGCACATTGAAAGTCAAAGTCTTTTATGTCTGGTCCATCTTCTGAAATTCTCATTAGATCATCCAAGGTCTTACACTTAATGGATGTTCTGGCCTTTGATTTTATGCGATTTTGGGTACTAAAGCCACGTTCACATTGAACACTTGTCATTGGAATAACTGAACAACATTTCAACAACATGATCAAGTTTGGGAGGTCATTTGTTTTCATCAATAAACACATCACTTCAATTAAGTCACTGTCACTATATGATCCTTTCACCAGACGCTTGTAAGTCTGATACTCAGACCTCACTTCTTTGTTTTGGAGGTGGATGTGGAAGTGATCTGCCAGGGTTTCTATTTCCTGGAGGCCATATTTGGACAAACAGTCAGATTGGACAATGTTTTTAGGGATTAACACTTTCATTGTTTCAAGAATTTCAGTCTCATCAAATCTATCTCTTAAGTTGTCAGTCAGTTTTTGGATATACATGGGTGCCACAGTTTCAATAATGTTCTCCTGTTGGGTATAGTAGTGAAGCACTGGGGAGTAGCCTACATTTTCATCATCTCCTTCATCATCACTTTCATTAGAGAATCCATCAAATTCAATATTTTCCATTATGGCACTATTGACAGACTTACAGTCAGATTCTGATAATGGTCTTTTGTATACATACTTGCCATCTTCCTCAACCACAAACTTAGAGAGCTTTTCAACAAACAGTCCAGGTGCCTCTAGCAAGTCTTGTAAGCTTTCACAAGTGCTGGTAATCATTGGTTTCACTACACTGAAATCAACTGTTTGTGCCTGGAACTTCTTAGATAACCTTGTCATGAAGGGGAGAATGTCCATCATTAGGTGAGTAAAGGCAATAAATTTGTATAGTGAAACTTCCTGTAATAGACCTTTAGCAGACGGCTCATAGATTGCCTCCCTTTCTAGTGCCATACACAGTGCTGGGTAAGAACGGTACATAACCTGAACAGCATGATCTAAACTTAACCACCTCACTGAATGTACTTCCGCAAACTTTATTGATGGTAGATTAAGCAGTGTCTGAATTGTTCTTAAACGGTTTGATCGAAGTGCTGAGTTATGGAAGTATCTAAACACACTGGCAATTGATCTTGAGTAGCTTTCCATGTGTGGCACTAATTTGGCTGCCTGTGACGTGGCCAATGCTGTTCTGTGAGCTGCACAATGGACACCTATTAATGTTGGGGAATGTTCTTTGAGTAATTTCACTACTCCACCTTTTCGGCCTGTCATTACACTAGCACCATCTGTCCCTAGGCCAACTAGTTTTGTAATATCAAGCCCTTTTGACTTGAGTTCCTCTACAACCATAGATACTATGTTCTTAGCACTAGCTGAACCCTCACTGATTTGTTTATTGGACAATAGACAATATTCTAACCCATGTTCTGTTACACACTGTGCGTACATTATTACTCTCTTCAAGTTTCCATTGTCAGTGCTTTCATCTAATGTCACAGAATACACCTCAGACTGCTGTATAGCCTTTATTTTATCATCCAATATTACCTCAGCCAGGGCTGCCTGGAACTCTGACACACTCTGGGAACTAGTGTATTGCACATTACAGTTACTTTTTGATAACTCTACACCAAGAAGGGAAGCATAGTCTACCATGTGTCTCATTTCATCCTTCGGTAATTCTCGTTTTGCTATATGATAGGCTGTTTTCAGGAGATTTAGCGCAATTTCATCATCTTTGTGAAGTTTTGCTTCTAACAGCTTTTGCATTGGTTTTTGAGTTGTCATTGTTGACCGATGGACAGCATTCAAGTGGCTTTGTGCTGAAAATAAAAAAAATAGTTCTAAGACTCACAAGAAATTATCAAGTTGTGAAACAGTCTATCATTACATAAATTTTTTATCAAGCAGTTTCTGATATTCAAAAATGCACAAGTTTCAAGTAGACCCCATTTTTCTATACACAAGAAAGAAGTCAAAGTATACTGTGCCTTTAATTTTCAAAGACACACCAGAAATTACTTAGTTGTAAAATAGACAGTCAATCATGTTTACATAAATTTCATATCAATCAGTTTCTGATATACAGAACTGCACAATTTTCAAGTGGACATTTTTTAACACAAGCAAAAAGTCTATTTATATTCATGTGCCTTTAATTATCAGGTCTTTGAATAATTCAAATAGATTTAACATTTATTACCATTAGTCAGTTTCACCTATAAAAAAATCGCCACAAGTTTGATTAATGATGAAGAAGTACACATTTTTTTTATTATAAAATTATAAGCATCTTGCTTTTGAATTTAATTCACTTATGTGTACTTACAACTAGCATGACGACTGTGATTTGTTGTTTTAGCGGGTACTTCGTGTCCCTTTGCATAAGCATTATCGTGCTTATTTTCCCTGCATAATTTACAATGCCACAGACCGTTCGTATCCTGAACATACCAATCGAAAGATGACTGCCGTAATTCCTTGGTAAATATCTTTTTCTTTGCAGGAGAGTTTGAATCAGAAATTTCTGTTTCTGGAGATTTACGTTTGAACGAACTCGGCTTTTGCGAGTCGCCCTGTAACCAGGATTTTAGCGACATGTTTACAGTTCAAATTTTCACTTGAAAATGATATCGTTTCATTTGAAAATTGATTCGGATGTTTTAAAGTATTTAAAACTAATTGCAATTATCACACAATTTTAATTATGTTGGTTCATTACCGACTTACCTTTATTTCATAACGCACCGCGTGACAAACATTTCCCAGATTGTAAACAAATCTATGCAATCAAACACAATCAAAAACAATTAAACATACCTACCCCGTCTACTCAATATTTACATCGGCGAATAACAAAGGACACATGTCCCAATTGGAGCTGTTTATGATGTCACCTACATGTGTTAATTGTGGTCAATTAGCGATATTTTAATCCGCTATCATGTACGTTTTCGGATCGACAGTTACTGCGAGGTACCAATCAACGCTCGGAGGCGTGGCTTAAATTTTATTGACAGGCGACTTGTGTCACGTAGACATGTTTACAAGCGTCAGCAGACCAAAAAACTCGGCGAAATTTTTTTTCGCTTTGATGTTCACAGTCGGCGAAGTTCAGATGAATCGGGCGACTTAATCGCCTAAATCGCCCAGTTGCTAGAGCCCTGTCTGATTGCCCTTGAGATATATGCAGAGATCACATTTAACATAAGTGATATTAGAAATATTTTCACCTTTTGTGTTGAAAGATCTTTTCTCAATTTATCAATATTGGTAACAATATCCTTCAGCTCCTCTTCGATGGCGGCCATTTTTTTCTCTATTCTCTCCTTGTCAGCCTGGTTCTCTTCCAATTTGCTCGCTTTTCCAGACTGGTTATAACTACAAAATTAACTGTGTGATGAATGTAAGAAACCATTCTGAATAAGGGATATTTCAAATTAAATTTTCTCACTCAATTGCAGAGACTTTATTAAGTACTGGTTGATTATAAAGGGAATAAGGCTCCAACATTTACAATTTTTTGTAAACGTTTACACGATTGCTAAGAACCGAAAGGATACCGTTTAAACAGTGGTACCTCTATGTACTATACACACCATGTATTTGAGTCGCCAAATGATGTCTTTCTTTCTATTTTTTTTATACATGTACAAATAAAGAATGTGCAGGGCTCATCACGATTGAGTCAGCACACATTTTTTGCATTGTAACCCCATTTTTTACCAAAAATGTATTATGTCACGAGCAATTTTGCACCGTAATGCTGTGTGGAGGGTTGTAAACACCTATTTTCCGTTTGTTTTCTTTGGAATAAACCACTAGAATTGATAAAATCCATGATTACAGGCAATGATTAAGAAATTGTGTAAGACAATATGGTCATTTCGATTAAACAGTAAACAATATCGTAAACGTTTATGAATGAAAATCGAAACGAATCCGTTTAAATGTGTAATCGTGGGGGCAATTCACTACAGACTTCTGACCATCTGTAAACAGTCAGGCCAGCCTTAAAATGTATGCAGTTTTACCCAAGAGTGTATACTTATGGCTGCTGAACTTTTTGATTTTTGAATCTGAAATCCGTCAAATTGAAATGGAACAGTTTTAAATCAACAGAAGACAAGCATAATAGCTTCAATTTTTTTTTTTTTTTTTTTTTTGGGGGGGGGAGGGGGGGGGGTTGTTTAACATTGCTTGCACCACCACAATAAAGGTCATATGGCTACTTTCTAGCTTTACTAGTGCAAGAAGATCTCAGGTGCCTCTCCATGCTTTATTTCAGACACAAACAGGCACCTGAGTAAAACTGCTGATATTCTGTAACCTAGCTGGATAGCTTCCTCTCATATAAAAATTCAAAGTCCCTGGAGAGAATGAAACCCACAGCAGTTAGGGGCAAGTGTTTGAAGTCAACAACCATAACCACTCAGCCACAGACACCTCTTAAGTTTCAATGTTATGACAATGTTAAGAAAAAATCTTTTTTTTAACACACATGTAAAAAGTTTCATCAGCTTCAAACCTTTTAATATCCTGATTAATATTCTTCACTTGACTAGCATGGCCTTTCACTATCTCAACCTTAAAATACATAAAATAAAATCTTAACCTTAAAATACCCAATATACAAATTGTAAATTATACATGTTATAGAAATCATTTACTTCTTAAATATAGGATTCAAAAATTTCATTAACAATACAACATGTACAGGAAATATATATCTTTTCATAAAATTCGAATTTCTTTCAAAATAAGGATTTTTCCAAAAGTATGTCTGCATTAGAATGTTATTTGGATTATATACCTTGACAGTCTTATTAAACATTATTTGGGTTGGGTTTTACGTAGCACAAACACAGTAAAGGACATATGGCGACTTTCCAGCTTTACTAGTGCAGGAAGACCTCAGGTGACCTTCTGTGCATTATTTCAGACAAACTGCACAACTACACATGCTGATCAACATTCCAGTAAGGTTTCAGTTACTTTTTGAGCTATGTGCCACACAAAAAGGGGATGGATGGATGTTCTCACAGGACAGTAATTATGTGGTTACTCTATTGTTCTCTCTATTGTTCTTTTTAGCCACACAAAAGTAAATAGCCCCATAAAAGCATTACGGAATGAATGAAATCAAAGAAAAAGAACAGTTACCTATTGTCCCTCTAGCCACATAATTACTGTCCTGTGAGTGCGGAAGGACGGCCGGATGGACAGACTGACAAGGGTAAATCTAAATGCCCCCCCCCCCCCTCCTATAGTGGGGGCACAAAAATACGCCAAAAGTGGCAAATAAGTTGAGCTCACCGCCAGCGGACTCGACATTATAAATAATCAAGAAAAGTCACAATTGATTTTATAAATTTAAAATATTCAAGAGAAACAGACAAACCTCTGCTTTTGCAGTTTCTAACTTTTCCTCTTTCTTTTTTACCAAATCTTCTTTTTCCGTTCTTAATCTGTCCATCTTACTCTGAAATGATGTTTAATGTTTACACATATTATAATTTCTACCCACAAGTAGAGCAGCCAGAAACTTTAAAACCATAATAATCTCCATTTTCATGACTTAATAAGTAACAAGAGACTGTCACAAAACAATTTTACGTGCATGTGAATAAAACTTCAAGTGTTGCAGGATGTATAGAGAAGGCACAGTGAGACAGAAACTAAATCTAACTGTAAGCAAAACAAAGACGACAAACAACTTCACTCAGTTACATAAGAATAAGGGGACATTATGGCCCTCTATTAAACAGAAGAATATAACAAAAGAAATCACCCCATATTCCATTTAAACAGTATGTCTGTACCAACATTTAAGTTTCTGGGCTTTTTCTGTAATCATCAAGTCTCATTTATCCACATAAATCAGTGACATTTTCAGTTGATGTGGTTTCCTCCCTTTTTTTATCTAAGATTATGGATGGAATGAAGCTCATAATCTAAAGGATCTTGGGTAAGACAGATCGATAAAAAAGACTGACTGCAGACAAACTGACTGGCAGACACCACAATGTGATTCCAATAAAGTCTGTGGTAGGGGTAGAACAAAATTTATATATAAGCTAGAAATAAAAACTTACTTGTATGGGTCTCAACTTTTCTGCTGTATCCTGAAAAATATACATATTAATTAAGTAAAGGTTATTACATGTATATATCAGCAATAACAAATATATAAAAGGTCCGAATAGCTTTATTTGGGCTTCACAAGAATATGTTATATGCATATTTGTGACAAAAATCAATTTTTTATGATGTCAAACACACATTAAGCTACACTTTGAAGTTAAAGTTACATTTAATAAATTTCATAAAAAACTAAATAGCGACATTTCATTAATAAATTGGGTTTTATATCGACTCCAGGTGTTATTTTGGTGTCCAAACAACCAAAATTAGTTTTATTAGCATAAAAATAGGTAACCTCATTGTGGCAAATGGGAAGTACAATTTCTGTTTGCATGAGAAACTCCGCCTTCGGATCATCATTACATCAATATTAAATCAACAAACATGACTATAAGTGGCAGTCCTAATTTAACGGTATATTTCCGCATTGTAACGGATGTTTTCATACAAATTTCATCTTTTTACGAGATGATTACTTTCACTGAACCCCACGTTTAGTGCACCGTGAAGCTTAAACGGTTAAAGTGTGTTTGCACAAGAAAATATCACATTTGCTGTGTTCCGGATAGAAACTAATAAATTGTGACGTAGCGCATACACGAGCTCATTATAATCTTATTTGCATGTTAAAATTCGTATACGAACTTTAGTGTTACCGTGGGGTTTCCCGTTTAAAATCCTAATTTATGAACAATATTTGATGAGATTTACAACAAAACTATTAAACAGGTTAATGAAACTGTAGAATGTCTGATTTTTAGGCCGACGGCAAAATATTTTTTACATATTTATTTAATGTAACTTTAAAGCAGGCTATAGAATTTATAATACTAAATTTAATAATTTTCACACAAATAAAGTGTTATCTTCAGAAGTTTTTAGAATCCCCCCCCCCCTCCAAAAAAGCCCCCCAACAACAAACAAGAGGGCCATGATGGCCCAAAGTCGCTCACCTGTATATAGGCCCCTGGAGCGGGGCCAGTTTAAACCCCAGGGCTTTTATTTGAACAAACTTGGTTGTATATGTATGCATGTATAAATATATATATATATATATATATATATATATGTATATGTATATATATATACATATATATATACATATTATGTATATATATATATATATGATATATATATATACATAATATGTATATATATATGTATATATATATATATCTATATATATATATATATATATATACATTTATATAAAACGTAAATGGAGGAATGTGACTGTGTATATATATAGACACCCATGAGAACATGTTTCATGCTAAATATCTTAGCTCTAGCTCTTTCAGTTCTTTAAAAGAAGATTTTTTAAGTTTTTACTATATGCACATAGGGAAAATCAATGACCCCCGGGGGCGGGGCCAATTTTGACCCTAGGGCTTTTATTTGAACAAACTTTGTAGACACTCATTAGAAGATGTTTCGTGCTAAATATCTTAGCTCTAGCTCTTTGGGTTCTTTAAAAGAAGATTTTTAAGTTTTTAACTATATGCATATAGGGAAAATCAAAGACACCCTGGGGCGGGGCCAATTTTGACCCTAAGGCTTTTATTTGAACAAACTTGGTAGACACTCACTAGAAGATGTTTCATGCTTTATATCTAAACACTAGCTATCTGGGTTTTTTCAAAGAAGATTTTTAAGTTTTTTGCTATACACAGTCATATAAGGAAAATCAATGACCCCCGGGCGGGGCCAATTTTGACCCTAGGGCTTTGATTTGAACAAACTTTGTAGACACTCACTAGAAGATGTTTCATGCTTAATAGCTAAACTCCAGCTATTTGGGTTTTTTTTAAAGAAGATTTTTTAAGTTTTTGCTATACACATATAAGGAAAATCAATGACCCCCGGGGCGGAGCCAATTTTGACCCCAGGGCTTTTATTTGAACAAACTTGGTAGACACCCATTAGAACATGTTTCATGCTAAATATCTTAGCTCTAGCTCTTTGAGTTCTTTAAAAGAAGATTTTTTAAGTTTTTACTATATGCATATAGGGAAAATCAATGACCCCCTTGGGCGGGGCCAATTTTGACCCTAGGGCTTTGATTTGAACAAACTTGGTAGGCACTCATTAGAAGAATTTTCATGCCAAATATCTAAGCTTTAGCTCTTACGGTTTTTTAGAAGAAGATTTTTTAAGTTTTTCTTATTGGTTGCCATGGCAACCAGAGTTTTTAATGGAATTTAAATTTTTGAACAACTTTGAAAGGGGTCCACCTAAGGATCATTTCTGTAAAGTTTGGTTGCAATTGGCCATGTAGTTTAGGAGGAGATGTTGTTTGAAAAGTTTGACGCCATTTTTTGAAGGACGCACGACGGACGCAGAGTGATGACAAAAGCTCACCTTTGAGCACTTCGTGCTCAGGTGAGCTAACAAACAAACAACAAAACAAACTAACCAACCTTTATATCCTGTTCATGCATAGTATTCTCTGACTCTAGATTTCCTTTGTCTTCTTCCAGTTTGATTCTCTGTTGTAAGTCACTTTCAATACCAAACTTTTCTTCCTTCAGACTGTTTATGGTAGCTCTCAATATTTGTACCTGTTCCGAGTGGTCCGCCAACTTCTGACGCTTATGATCCAAACTCCTTGTTGATGAATCTCTGAAATTGGAAAATATAGACAAAATCAACATTGTTATATATAGTGTTACTGATTTACAGTTAAAAAGTTTACTGTAATTGTTGGGTCCCATTTAACTTCATGGTATGTTGACTCATATTAAAGGAAGGTAATATAAACAAACACAATATTTTCAAATACTGTAACATTCCTATCAGCAACTGAAAAAAATTCCAGCTGTACTAGAGGATTTAGACCTCAGTTGTGCCTCTGTGCATTATTTCTGGTACAAACAGGCACCTAAGTAGAACCACCAATGTTCTGTAAGCTAGCTGGAAAGCTTCCTTTAGAATACAAAGTCCCTGGTGGGATCCGGACCCAAAGCAGTGAGGGTCAGCTGGTTTGAAATCAACAAGCATAACCACCCAGTCCCTGACGTCCCAACATAAACATCTTTTTTTCACACAGCTAACTAAAAGTCCAACAATCAAGCAATTTGTTGACAAGACAATCTTTTTTTCTCACAAAGTCAACTGAATATTCAACAATCAAGCAATATTGTTGACAAGAAAGTATCAATGTAAATATTTTATGATTAAATACATACACTTTGACCTGCAAATCCTCCTTCTCATCAATAACCATCTGAAGAGTCCTCCCAGAGTCTGAAAATATTGATACAGAAAAGTGTATGTAGTTTATCATAAAAGAATAAATGTTATTCAAATCAAAGGACATCCCTGATATGAAAAGTGTATTGGTGGTTCAAATTTTTATGTACTGTATAAATGGTTAATTTGGTGACGTGGAAATATAGTTTAATTTCCAGAATTTGCGAAAATCGGTAAAATTACCTCTAGAGTAAATATCAACACACCTGTCATTTAATTCTACCCTCACAATTTGCGAATATTTCCACGCGTGAAATGTCTGGAATTCTTAAATCGCTTACTTTTCAGCATGTGGAAATATCCACTTAAACAGTACATCAACTCATACATATAGATCATTTTAAACAGTCATTGAAATTTAAACATTTGTGACAATCAGCCAATAAGCAGAAAATATTGAAATTCTTGAGCGGATTATGTTTAAGAAATGTCTTCCCTCAACATCCACACAACTTTAAAGCTTACTAACCTCCCCCTGAGAGTTTTGCTGCTTGCATTGCAATTTTCTTGTCTAGTTCCGATACATCACCAAAGTATCTGTCCATCATAACGATATCTGGTTGTATTTGTTTAGCCATAGCTTCATCATCCTCTTTTATCTTTAATTCTTCCTCTATCTACAATATGACAAGTCTTTGTTTAAGTGAAGGTTACTCTAATAAAACAGATGTCGAGAACAAATAAGAAGAAATTTTTTCAAATCATGCAAGCATAGTGACCAACGAGCAGAAAGATGTTCTATAGTAGAGACCTATGAGTATCTGATTTTATTCTGAAATCATTACATTGGTGAAAATTATAACATTCATGTCCATTACTTAACAAAGAAACAAGGTTTTCAACCAATATTACATATGTGAAAAAAGATAAAAATAAATAACAAGGGGCCATAAGTTTCCAAAAACTGATTTGAATCACAAATTTCAGATAAAACATGCTAAAGAACTTGATGGCAATCATTCTGTATAGGCATGGTTGAATTACATTGAGAAATGTAGGACATGTGTAGGACATGGGATGAAAGATATTGTTTTTGCCAACCAATGTCCACCTGCAGACATTCATCAATTTAATAACCAGATTTTACTGTTGGGAAAAACAGGTTAACAAATTGTCAAAAGTAAATACAGATAGACATACATTGGTAAGGTCCTCTTTCTGTTTATGTATCTCATCTTGTGTCTTCTTTAAACTTGACTTTAGCTGTGGTATTTCAGACTCTTCTAGTTTCTCCATCTGAAATATGAAACAGTTATTCATATTTAAATACTAATTCATTACTAAACAGTTACAGTGTAGGTAATCAAAATCTAAATACTAACTAAGATTTCCTTGTGTTTTTCATAAAATTATGTTTTCATATGTAAGACAATATTGGCCAATACCACTAGATGTAATTCATACAAATACAACTAATTAGGACTGACTGACTGAATTTCATGCTAAATGACCGCCCATTAAGGCACAATTAGCAGCTTTCTCTGTCAAGTACAGACCCTAGATGCCCTTATACGGTTAATTTTGAGCCAAAAGTAGGTTACTGTATGGCGGCCAATGAGAACATAATGTTAAGAAACCCTAGACAATATGAAAAGGTGGAGGAAGCCCTGTTAAGGGCTGTGTAAACCTGTACAGGAAATCTATGGTATAGGTCAAGCTACTCAGTATTACCGCAAAAAGCATGTATACATACATTGTACCTAAATCTGTATGTACCCTTACAGAACTTGCTAAACTTATTTCTGTCAGAATATCTTTGCAGTTACAAAAACTTGTATCAACAAATACACACAAGTGTATAAACCACGTACATTTTCTCGGAGAGGTTTAAGCTGCATCAGGGCATCATATTTCTCCTGGCATTCATCAATCTCTTCATCAGCTGTCTTTAACTTGCTGGGTACCATCCTTAATTTCTCCTTTAACTGAAATATATAAATCATTGCTGGGTACCATCTTTAACTTCTCCTTTAACTGAAATATATAAATCATTGCTGGGTACCATCCTTAACTTCTCCTTTAACTGAAATATATAAATCATTGCTGGGTACCATCTTTAACTTCTCCTTTAACTGAAATATATATAAATCATTGCTGGGTACTGTACCATCCTGAACTTCTCCTTTAACTATATAATACATAAATGGTATAAATCATAGGAAAATCAATTACCGTATGAATACCTTAAAAGTTAGTTTAACCTAAATCAAGATGGAAATAAGTTCAAGATGGATATGAGTTTGAATTTGATAAAGTTTGGGATATGCAGACATATGATCAAATATGATAACTCTATAATCATTTGATTAATTTACAGAATTTATATTGTATGAATCAAGCAGCACTTCTTAAAACAAATAGTACTGATGTTGGGGTTTAAGGTAAGCATAATGCCAAAATGATGTATTAAACTGAAAGACACCGTTACATGATGTTGGTAGTTTACCCTTCAGATCAGGGCAGTATGCCACATTGAATTTACGAGCGCAGAACTGCTTCATGTCTTTTTTTGAAAATTAATATATAAAAGCTTATAGTGTTTACAAACATTAAATGATTACCATTAAAAAGCCTGAATGAATACAGAGCTAGGACGTAAGTTTTGCTTGAAGGATACCTCAGGTGCCTCTACCTACATTATTTAAGGAACAAGTCTGTCTCCACCTTTCCCCAAAATGGAAACATCAACCTTTCATAAGCTAAAAGGATATCATCTTTACAGGAAAGAATTCAAGAAGGTCCTTAACAGGTGAGTGATAAAATGATCTGAATTCTGTTGATCTGTTGCTATTCCTCAACAACCATTTTACAATGTTGTTCATAGGGTAAAAATGCCATGTTAAGAAATATTTAGTTTTACAAGGCATAAACATGGACAAAGACCTACCTCTAGCACAAGTTCACGGACATCTTGTTGTGTATCAAAGCCTCTGTGACATAATGGACAACATGGATCATCTTTCTCTAAATCTTTCGCATATTTCTTGAAGAAATGTTGAGCACCAAGTAATGACCCACGTTGACTGTAAAATAAGGTGGATGACGGATAAGTTTTGTAACTTTTGTTTAATTTTAGTCACATCAAGTAAGTATATGATAAATTTTCAGTTTTCTTCCAAAATTACCTCTAGCTGCCTCTTTGAACTTAAATGGATAGAAATGCAAGCCTTTCATAAGCTTGCTAAATCACTTTTCCAGATGAAAAAAAATCTGCTAAATCAATGAAAATTTCAAATCCCATAAAAGTGAGAGGTTTTTCTTCTAAAAGTCATTGACCTAATACACTATACATAAAATACTAACGTTTCTGATGTTCAAAATCATATCTAATATCACTGATGATAAAATAAAAGTATCTATAACACAAAAATATCTCTTACACCAATGGATGCTCAAGATAAAAAATTTGACACCGCAGAATACAATTTGCTCTAAGAAAAATCAAATCTAAGCACCTCAGACTTTAACCTAAACAGTAGAGGTCCATTATCAACAACACATGATGATGCTCTTGGAGAAGGGTGACATGAAGGATGCAAGGGTAAAACCAGCCTTTAAAAAGTTAAATCAAACACAAAATTTTTACATAAAAAAAGTTGTGTTGTAGGTTCTGTGGTAAATTTTCCAACTTACTCTCTGACCTTCTCCATTTTTTCCTGAATGGTTGAGAGTCCTTCATCGAAATTCTGACTTCCACACACATTGTATACCCTTTCTTCAAGTCCTAAATATGACAATACTTATTATATACCCATTGATCATAAATATATACAATAATTTAAGTCATATCGCAGTATCTATATTTTCTGGCTTAAGCAACATGTTATCTAAATCAGTTTATAGTAATGTGTTGATACATTAATATATACTCATTAATTTCTTACAAGGTAATAGTAATAGTATAACCTGTAACATGCTGGCATCAAGTAGTTCTACCCATGCAACCAATATAGATCTGTATGAACCTTACACCAAGGTGACAGTACAGACCAGAATATCTTACTAGAGGGTTACTGTTTATAACGTTAATGAAAATTTGCTGAGTTTCCACTACACAGTTACCTGGAAGCTATATATTCCTGTCTGTAATGACAGGCAGTGTTTGATTATTTTTTTATTGCACAGTACATAAAAATTATATTTCAGAAATATTTCAGAAAGAAATAAAGAAAAAAATTTGTTTCAATTTAGCACTTTTTCTTATAGTAGCCTTTGAATTTACAACTTCATTCATAACAGCAGAATTTTTACTAGAATTACCTTTAAGTTCTGCCTCCTTCTTTTTCAGTTGTTCCCTGTAAAACATGGGGTAAAGAAATTTTATAACCTGATACATTCTTCAAATGAAATTATCTTTAATTGAAAGGCAACATAACATATAACTTGAACTTGCATTGCCAGTAAAACAACATCATCATCGATAATGTTCAATAACTAAATTTAATCATTCATAAATTTTCATGGAAACTTAAAACAGGAATTACAAATTTTTACCAAATCTTAAAAACAGGAAGTACAGAATTACCAGTAAATGTTTCAAACAAATAAAGAATTGCAAAATATACGTCAGAATAACCGTAAAACTCACTTACATGCCCATTTTTCTCTCAGTTTCCATTTTTGACATTGTATTTTTTATCTGGTTCATTTTAGCCGAACATTTCTTTACATCCTCATTTTGATTGCTGCAAAAAATAAATCCAATTTTAGAAATGTAGTTTATACTCTATGATTGAGTCAATCGAAACATGGAAAATGTCTATGCCATTTTTTATAACTGCAATTTGTTATTTTTATAATTAAATATTATAATTAATAATATACCATTAATTCAACTTTAATATATGTTTCCTATTTCTTAAACTGTTAACCTGCTGAATTTCTAAAATGGACTTGTCCATCTTTCCTTTTTGGATCGGTCCATTTTCAATTTTGGGGACATCAATATGAAACAGTCTTGAACCTGATCAGACTGCACAGATGTGCATGCCAGCCTGGCTCTATACTGGTGACAAGGACTAATCACTTTAGATTCCAGTAGAATTTAAGGCTTCAACAATATGACATATCAATAACTGTAAAGAAAACAGTTTAAATACCTGATATAATCTTCGAGTTCACCTCGGATATTTTTGCCAGGTGCATGATTTAACAGATACTTCACAGTGTCCTCACGCTTTGCTTTCCTAAAATATTCCAGGTCATTAAAATATATTACTTTATCTTTTTCACTTGTTATTGTTTTAATATTCATACAAATGTAACAATTGGAAAATATCAAGAATTAACTACTATAACAACTTGTAAATGAAAATTTTTCTTTTGATAATCTACAAAAAGTAACACATTGTCATTAATACATTGTACTTTAATTTTATGATTTGTTTATAAATGTTCCATAGCCATTTTAATATGAATTTTGCTTGTTTTACAATCTATATAAACTGTGATATATAAATGAAACATAATTGTAATTTTTCTGAAATAAAAAAGAGCTGTCAGTAGAACAGCATGCTAAACTATTCTCAGTGCTTGATAGTCACACAAGAGCCTAGATAATGTAGAATTTTCAAAAAGGACCATAATTGTCTCAAAATCCATATTAGAGTAAAAGACCTGTCATCTTGTGTGAAGTTTCAACCCATTCCCTTCAGTTGTTTTGGAGATACACAAAAACTCAATTATGATGTTAACAATGATGCCTGAATGAGTAAAATAGCTGTCCCTATTCTTTCAACAGTCAAGCTAAACCTGTTTTCAACTAGATTTCCTATATGACACTTTTACAACAATAGTGAGTGACTTACAATCTTCTAATATTTTCCTCTTTGGAAGCTTTATCTTTCTTCAGCATGTCAAGTTCAGCCTGGGCACTAGACTGTAAATGAAGCCTATTCATCTCGGAACTGAAAATAATCATTTTTATTATATAATCTATAAATAGCTTTGAAATGCCTTTCACTGATTGGCTAACAAGCAACTTTTTGTAAAAAATAACAGGTCAATATCAGAGTATATTCACTGTTTTTTTTCCTAAAAATAGATTTTCAGAGTATATTCACCTGTTTTTCTTCTAAAAATAGATTTTCTGGAAATCCCTAAAAGACGCGAGACTTTGACGTGACGTCACGCCAAGTTTGTTGTTATTATTATTCTAATGAAACGTTGTGTTGGGTGTACATAAGAGTCAAATAAGTCTATTTTAGTGACCGTTTTTCATTTTTAAGAAAAATAGGGAGTAGCATGCCAATGGAAAGGGCCAAATTATGGAAACAGTAGACAAGCTGAAAAACAATGATTTCCGTCGTATGCAATGGCAGATGTTATAAGCCATATAAAAGCTATTTATAGATTATATAATAAAACAGATATGTACTTTTTAGTTGTTGAATATGATGTGATATGTACTGAATGTATTCCATGCAAAAACCAGCATCCAGATGTTTCATTTTATGTCCATGTGAAAAAACTTATAATGTTTGTGTATTTAAGTTTCATTTTCAGGCTAAATCACCTGATACCTACTTAAGTTCACTAATTTTAGCCTCCATTTTAGACTTTTCCTTCGACAATTCTGCTATTTCCTGCTTCAGTTCATCAGTGTTGACAGAAGATTCCTGAGTCTGAAGATCATGTTCCTATAACCATACAATCAGTACAACATTGTAAAAATATATTATTGTAAATACTACAAGGTCAGTATTAAAACACACTTTTAAGCTGTGCTGTCTCTCCACACCCACCAAGCTATTGCAGTAATATTTCCATTAGCATCACTATCAAAGGTCCTGTTATGAAAGTTTTGAATGCATGAAAGTCTGTTTTCATTGAAATGTTGATTTTAACACACATTCTGGTAGTTATTTTGGCATGGTTGTTTGGAAAGAGGCAAAGGTTATATTACAAACAACCGTTTATATACCACCACATTATCTGTTAGAAATATTTATAATGATTTTATAATACAGATAGCATCATATTTTAAAGAAAAGTGTGAGATTTCCTTATGAATTGACAATTCACAATTATCCAATGAAAAGTGACATTACAAACATGCAGTATTATATGCTATGAACATACATGTCTCTTAAGTTCTCTCTTAATCTGATCTAGTCTACCTCCAGAAGCTTCTATGGCACTCAACTTCCTGTTGATTTCTTTTATCTTCTCTCTGTTATCCAGCTGTAAAATATAATCCAACACGATTCATACTAGTGCCTTATCAAATAGATAGGGCAAGTAAGTGCATTATTACCCCATATACGCACAGCATAAAATACAAAAATACATACACATCTTATATGTCAAGAAATTTATACGTATCTTATATTTCAAGAAATTTATACATCAGGAAATTTATTTCTAAGCTTGATGTACATGTAGTTCAACATATTTTTAACAATTCTTTTGTTTTATCAGCATGTTAGAATTGAAAAAGATATTAATATTTCTTGCATTTTAGAAAAATAATGCAGTTTATCGTTCAAATACTTTGTTATTATATCATCTTCGTATTTATATTCCTGTGCATTTGAACTCAAACCGTGCATTATTTTACAATGCACTAAAAATTGATATCTATTTCCTAATAAGATCTCCACGTTACCAACAATCATACAAGATTTGTTGAATTTATTCTGTTTTCATACTTCTGTTCACTTTTAAGTACATAAATTAAGCGGTTATCCAGGTTCATATTATGTTCAAATTTGAGGGATCTAGCTAAGTTGTTAGAGCTAAGGTTGTTTGCCAAAAGACAAACTGACAGACAGAGAAAACAAACCAATTTGCCCCAAATCAAAAGGTGAGAGGCATAAAAATGCCTTTCTGGAGCATGAGAACTGAATAATTTGTCACCTTAGTGCAGTAATGGAATAAGTTCTTCTAAATTTAATACGAGTTAATTGGTTATTGCACTAAGGTGACAATCTATGTTATTCAACTTACCATCATTTCCCTCTTGATTTTATCATTTTGTTCAAGTTTAGTCTTGTTGTCCCTTAGTTCATCAATCTTCTGTTGTATCTCTCCCTCTCTCTCCTCAAAATCTGTCTGTAACAACAATAATGATAACTTAACAACAATAATAATAACTGTCATAAAATCTGTCTTTTGCAGCAATAATAATAAATGTCATATGTTGTGGTTCAGACAGGTCCCCGAGGAACAGATATTCCGATCTGAACCGCAAACATATGTCAGATATTTTTTCTTGCATATTCTACCATATTCCATTATATTTTAAACACTTTACCTTAATAAAACAATTTTCCAAAGAAATTTATGTCATTACACATGTAACTATTTTCTTACAACTGCATATGAAATTACAACTTCATTCATAACAGTAAAATTACGTCATCATAAGCATGCCATTGTTCAGCAAGCGATACATCTGGCACCCCAAATGCCAGATGAAATTTCCGACATGGGTAAAACTAACAGAAATGCCAGTCTGATACTGTATTCCTAGAAATGTTCGCGGATACAATATTTCGCGTTTTTCTCAACGTCGGCATTTTCGCGGAGACAAACTTTCGCGGATATGTAGTAACCGCGAATTCCGCAAATGATAAGTCGCTACGGCCTAAATTACAGTTTTTGGAGGCTACGTTTTTGATGCATGACCTTGCCTGTTGGGTGCTTTTAATTATTTTATTTTTTTGACAAGTCGCGCCTTAAGCGCAACGTTACTCGATACATTTTCATCTATTGACTACTTTCATGTTTCCTTACCTTTTTCATTATGTGATTAAGTAAGATTTAGTCAGACACGTTAGCTTTTATTCTCATTTGAATCATAACTGACTTTTTCTTCAAATTGTCGATACGTAATTTTTACACATTATCGGGCTGTACATCGCTTTTATTATAACAACATAACAGTTGTTTATCAATGTAGCACTTGATCGCTTTGTACTTTTAACAAAGGATTACACCTACTCCAAGCAAATAAAATCCAAGTCATTCAATGTTCACAAACTGTAAATGCGTTTGTCAACGCCGTGACTAACCGTCAATAAGCATGATAATTACTAATAATTGATATTTTCTTTTTCAGCGTGCAAACTAGTATCAATAACATACATAAATTATTCTTTACACATTTCTAAAGCACCTGTGTTTTTGTGTGTTTTTTTTTGTATAAGTAGATTATAATAAATATTCTGCACTTTTTATGTTATATTTGATTGAAGCTAGAAATGTTCGCGGATTTGTTATAAGTGTCATATTCGCGGCTATAAACATTCGCGGAATCATGCCTACCGCGAAAAGCGCTAACTTAAAATGCGCGAAATCTTTTCTAGGAATACAGTATGCAAAAATAATTGTTCTTTGAGTACTAACAAAAATACTGACATGATTAAGCCAATAGTACTAGAGTCAGACATGTCTACATGTCCTTGTTGGCCGGCCAGATGCTATTCTGCTTGTTCATGAACTGATAGTTCCAAATACATTCAACCGCCACAAAATGACTACATATTTATCCCTAGAACATTTTGTCAATGAGCAGATCAATCAACAATAATTCCCTCATTCTTGCATGGAAAAACTATTCTTGCATAGAAATTGTACACAAAGATCTTCATAAATAGAGATGAACACATGCATTAAAACTCATGAAAACTCCCAAAACTGACCTTACTTAAATGTTTACTTTTATGCAAGAATAGAGTTTATGTATTTTTTTATGCAAGAACACTAAGACTTCTTAAATACCTCATGTTGCAGGGCAACCCTTGAAATGTTTCCTCATACTTCTACAGGTGTTAATGCACAAGAAAAGGTGCATTAATCTTTAACTGTTGATAAACTCTTTAATCTCATGCACAAGTGATGATAGACTATTCTTTCATATGCAATATTTTTAAATTGATTAATAGTAGAAAATGTTCAATTAAGAAAGTGTTCATTGCAACGCGCTAAACATATGAAAATCTACATGTATACCTTAATGTATTGAAAGGTATATTATGGTATATTTACCTTTGTCTGTCTAGTTTCTTCTACCATAGTCTCAAGTTTACGTTGCATGTTCTTTAAGAACAATTTGTATTTCTCATCAGTTATGGCCCCTGTCAAACCTGGAAATACAAATTCATTTAAGTTTGTTTATACTTTTAAATAATTTTTAGAAAATAAATCTCATATGCATTTAATGAATGTAAATTAAGTAATATTCTAAGAAAATAATTATGTCAGCTATAGAGTAAGGCAAGCCTTTACATTGATGCAATGCAGTCTGGCCCAGCTGTAATCTGTTGGCCATACTCATTGCATTACTTTATTATTTAAAACCACTGTTACCAATAAGGCTTGTTTTCAAGTCCAAGTCAATGATAACTCATGGGAAAGTGGTCTAATATAGCATAACAGCCTTCAATCTGCTTGTTAAACACAGAGAAACTGCCAAGAAAAGTATTTAGATACAGTTTGCACTTGTCTATTTATATATTTACCATCAAAACTGTATTCATCTGCAAACTGCTTGATCAGAGTATCTCTTTTTGAAACATTTTCTTCTTGTCTCTGAAATTGAAATTAAGTAAATTTAAACAGGAGTTAGTATACATTAGAAAGCAAAGGAAGTTCATTTGTAATATTTTCACACACATGGTAAGATAAAACTGTACACATTGGAAAGGTCATATCAATTGAGATAAAGTACTCCTGCAAATAAGTATGTTTAATTTGCCGACTTTTGAATCACACTGGCATTGTGAAGGTCATATAGCAACTTTACAGCTTTACTGATTGAGGAAAACCTCAGGGTGCCCTTCTTTGCATTATTTCAGGGATGAGTGAACACCTTCTTTAAGTTAACTTGATAGCTTCTGCACATGAAAGATTCCAAAGTAACTGACAAGATTCAAACCTACAACCCTAAGTGGCAAGTTATTATAAGACAGCAACCTTAACCACTTTTCCACCTGAAAATAAGTAGTTCAGTGAACAACAAGAGACAAAGATGACATAAATACAAAACTATACCTCAGCCTCTTGTTCCAGTCTGCCAACTTCTACCAGTATAGCTGACTTCTCTCTGTCTAACTTTTCTGATTGTCTACTTAACTTATTCTGCCTGTCTTCAAACTGAAAAAAAATTCATAGATTCAAGGTTTCTGTACAACTAAGCATTACATTGTAACTGTACAATTAATATAACAAGGTGACTAAATTTTAGCTTTCCGGGTAACTGTTAAATGTGACATTACAAGGTAACTGTACAATTTGACATAACAAGGTAACTGTACAATTTGACATTTCAAGGTAACTGTACAATTTGACATTACAAGATAGCTGTAGTACAATATGACATTACAAGGTAACTGTACAAATTGACATTACAAGGTAATATTACAATTTGACATTACAAGGTAACTGTACAATTTGACATTACAAGATAGCTGTAGTACAATATGACATTACAAGGTAACTTTACAAATTGACATTACAAGGTAATATTACAATTTGACATTACAAGGTAACTGTAAGTACAATTTGACATTACAAGGTAACTGTAAGTACAATTTGACATTACAAGGTAACTGTAGTACAATTTGACATTAAAAGGTAACTGCACAATTTGACATTACAAGTTAACTTCATTATTTGACATTACAAGGAAGCAGTAACTGTACAATTTACTTTTCAGGTCATCTGTTTATTTTCTATACATTTTTCTACTTTCAGATTCTCTCCATTATCATTTACCTGCAAAATGCACACATATATAGATATACTAATCTAATATTTCCACAACAAATCAAAACCATTACTATAACTTTTTCAAAACACTTTTTGACATTATATTCATACCTCCTCTAATGTTCTCTTTCTTTCCTTCAATTTATCTTCAAAATCTGACAGCATACTCTTCAACTCCTCATCAGTTCCTTTATAAACAATTAAAAATATCAAATTAACAATTCATAAACTGAAAGTAAAAAGTTATAATTCACTGACCAAAAGAGGAAAAATCACTGAACAAATGTATGTAATTTTGATTATCTTAAATAATTTATTCCAATAAAAAATAACATTTCACGAAGGACATGGCTATAAATTAAGATTGCTGGTGATTTTTTGCCAATGCAAACCTAAATGACATACGGTCTCTGGTGTTATAGTTGCAAACATAGTGCACTAAACAGCTCATATAGAACTTTCATCAGTACACCTATCAAGACCTGAACAAATGACAGATGTAAACCATATTCATTATCTCTACTACATTTAATACTATTTCTGGGTATTAACCTTGCAGGATAGACATACTCCAGAATTAAGAATATTTGGTCTTTTTCCCAGCTAATCCTCGGGGTACAAACAAACTTTTACAGTTACAGCTTTGAAATTAAGCGAAACAGGCTGACTTATCTATTGTGACCGATAGTGCACTGTGAAGCTATAACGTTAAAAGTTTGTACCCGTAGATTAGCATGGAAAATTTTGCTGAGTTTCGGATTACATTTATTTTTGTACCTGCTGTGCTCTGCAGTGAAATTTTAACATTCAACCCTCAGCCTGCGAGTGGCTACAGAATCTACCAATACAACCAGTGCAGACCAAGATCAGCGGGCACATCCATGCCATTTGATCATGGTCTGCACTATTGCCTAATCAGTCAATGCTTATTTTAAATTTTCCCCTAAAACTGATAAATGGTATTGTCCATATTGAAAGATGGACAAGTCCATTTCAGATATTTAGTGGGAAAAGTTTTAATCATCAATATATCTGTTTCCACTACGAATATGCTGCAGTACGATAGCTGAAATTGGAGTTACTCAAAATGCATGATATGCACAGGCTAGCATTAATATAATATACTGGTGTCATAAGCAAATCAAAATCACTTCTTCTTTATCTTCCTTAATTAAAGGTTTGATAAACAAATTGTTCCCAAAAAATAAATGATTTGATACTAAAAATAGTACACAAATATTTCATTTCTAACACATAATTTAAAACCCTGCTGGACTCGTGTAATAATTTACCTTGGAATTCATTTTCTATCTGGTCCTGTAGTTCCTCCGCATGTTTCTCAATCTGTTTTTTCTCACTGCCATACTGGGCTGTAATTTAACACATATATTGAAGCATATGTAACAGCAAAAAAAACACAACTAAGGATGGAACAATATATTGTTGATCTTTTTGCTGTTATTATTTGGTCATGGCTAGTTTCACATTACAGCATGTGATTGGACTGTTTACTGTATCTGTTGGTATACAGGCTATTTTGAACAGTTCATATCATAATTGTTGGACCAGGGTTCAGTTTTTATTCCATATGATTTAATAGTAAGTAAACTATAATAATCATTAAATACTTACTGATCTTGTTCTGGATTCCAAATATTTCAGCTGACTGTTCATCTATTTTGTTCATCTTTTCCTATAATATATTCTAATACATAAATCAACCACATAGCAATTTTAAGACATAAATCTAACATATGTAACATAATAGAAACATTCTGGGACATGTTATAATTGTCAAAGCAACTAGTGATTAGCACCATTTTATCTTTACATTTAGTAAGGCATATGCTATGCCATTTTACCTTGTTGATCATTGTGAAAGGATATATATTTGTTTGTAGTAATCAGTGTAAATAGGAGAAATATTAGCCAACTGGGGTCAGATTTTAACAATCCTTTTTTATACATGGTTGCTTGCCCCACTATATCATGTCCCAGGTTAAGTTATGTTTTCTTTCTGGCGTGGGTTCGATCCCCAGGAGATGCTTTGGTAGTTTAGTGTGGAGGAAGGTAGTCTAGTACTGGTGTAACTCTCCAGGAACGATGGTTAGGAAACTACCCGCCTATATGACTGATATACTGTTGGGAAAAGGTGTAAAATGAAACGAACAAACAAATAGTTATGTTTTAAAAACTTGCCTTTAATTTCAAAGTAGAGAAATAGCCTACTGCATCATGGCTAACCTTTTAATATCAATAAATAACTCATATACTTCCAGACAACTGGCCAATAACAGTTACAGGTGGTGTTGTTAAAGAATGATGACAATAAAAAGTATTGCACAAAAGCCACTGTACCGAAGATAAATATATATCAAGTAAAAATATTCTGTATACATGTTGGAAGTCTTACCTCAATAGGTTTCAGCTGACTGTTTACTTTGTTCACAGATTCTTTGGAAGCCTCTAGTTTAGCTTCTTGTTCTGCTAAATCACACTCAAGCTATCAAGTAATTAGACTTTAATTAGTCAGTAAATGAAGAAAACAAATTCCAAAATAGCATCTTCTTGCCTATGAATATTAATGTTTAAAATTTCAATGATCTTCCATTGCATAATAAAATGTTTCTTTTGAAGTAAACAACAAACACTTTACAGAACATAATAAGCTATCTAACTATAAAATTCTTTTCATAAACATGAATGGACAATTTTTAAAATAAGAAACCCTAACAATTTGGGTATTAGCAGCAAAATGACTTGACTTAACCAACAGGAAAGAGCCAGACGATTTTGCACTTTCCTATAGTAGAAACTAAGATACTGTTGCCTATATATTATTTCAAAGTTTTGAAATTAAAATCCATTCCATTGACAATGAACAGTTTCAAAATTAAAGTAGGACAAGTCCTAATGAAACACTAAACATAGTGAAGGTTAGCAATATAAATTTTCTTATCACAGTATACAATGTTTTTTTTTCCTCCAGCAAATGGACCTGTCCCAATTGTAAATAATGGCATTTTCTTCCCCAAAAAATCTAAAAAAAGAAATTGCTAGTATACCTGATGAGCTTTCTCTTTATGTTGTTTCAAATACTGAACATCATTTCTGTACATCTTTAACTTATCATCCTAGAAATAACAAATACTGAACATCATTTCTGTACATCTTTAACTTATCCTAGAAATAACAAATACTGAACATCATTTCTGTACATCTTTAACTTATCATCCTAGAAATAACAAATACTGAACATCATTTCTGTACATCTTTAACTTATCATCCTAGAAATAATTGATCTAAATGAAAACAATGTGTTCACAAGCTAATAAAACTTTTTAAACAAAACTAGAAATGTTTCCTTGGGACACAGGTGCCCTCCATATTACATAATTTTTTAAGTCTATGGATGGACAACGACAAGAATGGATAGGGGTAAATCTATATGTCACCCCCCACATCACATCCTCTGTTACAAGTAAATCTTTTTTTTAAACTATAATATATTTTTTTCCTTGTGAAATAAACTTGAGTAAAATGTACAATATTTTTACAAGCGGTAACATTCATCAAGTGTGCAAAGTTACAAAGTCATATGTCAATGAACTTTGAAAATATCTGGACTTTGAAAATATCTGAAGTGTTACGCCAACGCTGACATAAGTGGTTACGCTAACATGGATGCTTGGGGGGGGGGGGACTAGGATAGCTCTCCTTATTCTTTGAGTAGTCGAGCTAAAAATAAAAGCTAATTTCAAAGCATATCCGATAAAGAGAGATATTACATCAATGTATTAATTAAAAGTACCTGTTCTTTCTTAGTTTTCTTAATACTGTCTAAAGCTTTCACATATCTTGTTGAAGCAAATATGGCATCAAACTTTTCTTTCAACTGCTTGCCTTCACTTAATGGCCTATAGAATAATAAATCTATTATTTACAATGTAGATACATGTAGAATTTACCATTCGTATGATCTATCATAAAAACTGCCAAATTTTACATCACTTAGTGATAGTGGCATTTTTGCTTTGCCACTCCAAGCATTATTTCAGACAAAGTATCCAGGCAGACCTAGCAAACAATTGAAGTCAATTCCAATTTTGGTTTTGTTCAGTTTCGACAAAGGTCAGTTATAGCTTTATACCCTTTAAATTTACACAAATTTTAATAACTCTGCAATCTCTCACAATAATAAAGTTCTTTAGGAAATAATTACATATTCAGTACGTGAAAAAAAAACTGTGAAGAACATTAAGTGTGTAAATCTTACAATTCAATGTTCTTTTTTTTAAATAATAACTCCAAACTAAACAACTAGGCATACACTTTTCATTTGTATACATACAATAACAATATCCCATGACTTAGTAATTCATGAACTTTGACCTACCAGTTAGCCTCCTCCTGGTGACAAAATATCACATTCTCCAGAACTGGCTTTGACACTCCAAGGGAGGTAATCATCTGTTTAATAAATCAAATTAATACTATTATTCTTTACTACTTCTTACAATGTAAACACATGGAAAATCTCTCTGAATGCTAAAATAGTGACTGGGATTTTCATTCTCATTAATCATACATGTCCAGGAAGGTACTTAAAGTGCAGGTAAGACAATGTTCTACATGATAAAGCTTCAGACCTTGTCAATAAAAGTGTACTTGTTTGCCAAAGTGTTGGAAAGTTAATCTTCTGGTATAAAAAATTCATTTGACAAATCCAGGTTTTGAAGTTAAAAAATTTATTGCTTACTGGAGTAAAATGGAAAAAGATAACAAGAGGGCCATGATGGCCCTGAGGTCGCTCACCTGTATATAGGCCCGGAGAGGGGCCAGTTTAAACCCCAGGGCTTTTATTTGAACAAACTTGGAAGACACCCATTAGAAAATGTTTCATGATGTTAAGTTTTTACTACACACATATAATGAAAAACAATGACCCCCCCCCCCTTTGGCAGGGCCAATTTTAACCCAAGGGCTTTTATTTGAACAAACTTGGTAGACACCCACAAAAAGATGTTTCCTGCTTAACAATCTAACCTCTAGCTCATTGGGTTTTTTAAAAGAAGATTTTTTAAGTTTTTACTATACACATATAGTTAAAAACAATGACACCTCTGGGGCCCGGCCAGTTTTAACCCAAGGGATTTTATTTGAACAAACTTTGTAGACACTTACTAGAAGATGTTTCATGCTTAATATCTAAACTCTAGCTATTTTGGTTTTTTCAAAGAAGATTTTTAAGTTTTTGCTATACACATATAAGCAAAATCAATGACCCCCGGGACAGGACCAATTTTGACCCCAGGGCTTTTATTTGAACAAACTTTGTAAACACTCACTAGAAGATGTTTCATACTTAATATCTAAACTCTAGCTATTTGGGTTATTTCAAAGAAGATTTTTTAAGTTTTTCCTATACACATATAAGGAAAATCAATGACCCCCAGGGCGGGGCCAATTTTGACCACAGGGCTTTTATTTGAACAAACTTTGTAGACACCCATTAGAACATGTTTCATGCTAAATATCTTAGCTCTAGCTCTTTGGGTTCTTTAAGAGAAAATCTATCAAGTTTTTACTATATGCATATAGGGAAATCAATGACCCCCCAGGGCGGGGCCAATTTTGACCCCAGGGCTTTTATTTGAACAAACTTGGTAGACACTTATTAGAATAAGTTTCATGCTAAATATCTTAGCTCTAGCTCTATGGGTTCTTTAAAAGAAGATTTTTTAAGTTTTTACTATATGCATATAGGGAAAATCAATGACCCCCTGGGGCGGGGCCAATTTTGACCCCAGGGCTTTTATTTGAACAAACTTGGTAGACACTTATTAGAAGATGTTTCATGCTAAATATCTTAGCTCTAGCTCTATGGGTTCTTTAAAAGAAGATTTTTTAAGTTTTTACTATATGCATATAGGGAAAATCAATGACCCCCTGGGGCGGGGCCAATTTTGACCCCAGGGCTTTTATTTGAACAAACTTGGTAGACACTCACTAGAAGATGTTTCATGCCAAATATCTAAGCTCTAGCTCTTTTGGTTTTTTAAAAGAAGATATTTAAAGTTTTTTCTTTCGGTTGCCATGGCAATCAGAGTTCTGCATGGAATTAAATTCTTTGAACAATTTTTAAAGGTGACCACCAAAGGAACATTCCTGTGAAGTTTGGATGAAATTGGCTTAGTGGTTTATGAGGAGATGTCATTTAAAGTAAAAAGTTTACGGACGGACGGCCGGATGGCCGGAGGACGGAGGCCGGACGAAAAGCGATCACAAAAGCTCACCCTGTCACTTTGTGACAGGTGAGCTAAAAAGTACTAATGCATGGGGCCATTTCTAACCTCTGGGAAAAAATATATATTTGTAGAGGACCAACTGACATTGCTCTAAAACAAATATTTTAGTAATGAATCTTGTAGTTTCAGAGGAGAAATTTTAAGCACTTTGCCACCTTTGAGTGACTTTAGGTTGGGGCCATTTTGGAATTATTATTTTAAGACATGAAGAATTTTGATATTTTGATATGTCCCAAAGGCAGGCTGAATTTCAACATTAGGGGCATAATTTTTACAACACATACATTGTAGAAGACCACTAAAAATCACATTTAAAATTAAGCAAGTGTTTTGGAATAAGATGTTGTTGAGAGAAATGAGGGACAAAAAAGGCCATATAATGGACATCATGCAATAGAAAAAGGTCATAAATAAACATATTTTTCCCAGCTAAAAAACAAAATAAAAACAATCACAGACTGAAATGAACAGACAAATTGAAATTATCACCTCTCTGTCAAGATCAGCACATTTAGAGTTGATACTCTGTTTTTCACCAGCAGCATTCAACCTTGTTATCACACCATCCAATGTCTTCATTTCTACCTTCTTTGCCTTAAATATAAATATATTAAACATGTATGAACCATAATGAATTATACCAAAACTTATTTTCAAAAACACCAAACACCTCTTTAAAGATGTGGTGACTTTGTAGCTTTAATGTTGGAGGAAGACCTAGTGTCCCTCTGTGCATTATTTCTGGCATGAACAGGCACCTGAGTAGAACTCCAATCCAATATTCAAGCTAGCTTCCTCACAATAAAGAATCTAAAATCCCTGGTAAGATTCGAACAAAAAGAGCTGAGGGGGCAAGTGGTTTGAAGTCAATAACCTTAACCACTTGGCTATGGACGCTCCCCTGATAAATATTTCCTATTCACTGTTGTGTACAATTCAACCTCAGCAAAACTACCATCTGTAGAACCGTAACATCTTTTATTTAATTAATTTCCACTTTTCTTTTGAGATATATTTCCATTGTACTGTACTTAACATTCAACAGTAAATTTATTCAATCAAGGAGAATCAACTTACCTTTTGTGTAGCTGTTAATGACCTCTGTACAATGACAGGTTTTTGTGATATATCACGGAACTGCAACCTCACTTGACCTCTGACCTCTCTCTCATGTGCAATCTAAACATGATATTGTAAATACGAGGGGTTATCCAAAAATTCGTGGACTTTTTAAATATCTCTTGAACGTCAACGTGTATTGTAATGAAAATTTATCAGCATACATTGTAGAATATTATCAGAAACAATTAATTGTGTCAATAAATAATGATTTTATATTGTTTTTAAATAAGCACATATACGGCTACCGGCGCACGGTAGAAAAGCATAGTAAGTCATCGTATATTTCTCATGTGTCTTCTATGATGTCATTTAAGTAATTCTTTAAAATAATGGACGTCATTTCCGTTTATTTTTGTTGATATCGCTAGAAGCGCCAGACGCCTTTCTTATTTACAACGTGAAAATGACGGAAACGCGGCCATTAGAAAATCGCACGATCATAAACGATCATAAATTTGTGTTGTTATTTGGAAATGATACCTACAAAAACATTTGATAAAAATCAGCAGACGACCTTAGAAAAGAAAATTTCACGGTCATTAATGTTAAAGTGGCATAAAAAATTGTTGATGGACATTACTTTGAGAAGCAGTAACCGTCATTGACTGCGTAACGTTGTAGCACAAATTGTACGTTAATATTATGACGTTGACGTCAATAACTTTTTGGAGTGCGCCGCTGTTGCCGACATGTGTTTATGTAAAATCAAATATTGTTGTAATGTAAGAAGCTACTCACATGAATTTTTCTGTGTTTATTTGTTATTAATTCTTCTAAGCAGTATAAGAATTTCAAATTAATATCTTAAATATATTTCATGCAACAAAGAAAGTCCACAAATTTTTGGATAACCCCTCGTATATATATATTTTTTTTTTTTTGGTTAGATTTGCATCGCAACAAAACAGAACAGGCCATATGCAATTTTCTAGCTTTGCTGGTGAATGTTTATTATTTCAGGCACAAATAGCAACCTGAGTAAGAACCACCAACTTTCCATAAGGTAGCTGGATAGCTTTCTTACTCGAAAGAATCCAAAGTCACTTGCCGGTTTTAAACCTACAGCAGTGAGGGCAAGTGGTTTGAAGACAACATCATTAACCACTTGGCCATTTCAATATCAAAACAACAAAAACTGATCTATCATTAGTTTACAGCCACCTGGCTGTTTACTAGCTTATCTTTTTCGGTTCCAGCAAGTAGTTAAAGGTTAATATGATTAATAGTTCAATGGACACACACATGATCTTAAGATACTTAATATAAAAACACATTTGTAGATCGCTGACATATAATGATTGAACACCAAAAGGATATTAATTACAAACATTAACTATTCATCAACTTAGTGCAGTAATGCATTTACTCTTATTAAAATTCAATAGCAATTATCCTGTTACTGCACTAATGTGATATGATTTTTACCTTGGGATCATGTATAAATGCTCCTCCTTTTGTGGCCCCTGGAGGCATGACTCCTGTAGTCATATACTTCAAACACTCAATAATAGTCTGAAATTGAAAACATAGGTCACTAAGCTTTTCTGATTAAATTTACGCTTATTTAATAAATCAGTATTTTGAGACTATAAGCCTTGCTAATTTTGGAAATAAAAAAGCTGGTTTAAGATCAGAGTTTTGAATAAACTGCATGATTTTTTCAAATTTCAGCTTGAAAGAGGTCTTTAGTTGAAAAATCACTGGTTATGTTAATTAATATTAGCAACAAATACTTAATATTTAGAAGTGGGGGAAAACCTGATCCAAATTTAATAAATTCTATATTTCCCCAGTAAATACTCTGGTATTATGAAGTTAATCCTCTGGCAGTTAAAGGGTTAATTTGATATAAGGCAAGTCATAATCAATAGAGACATACAGTTTTTCCTGTCCCATTGGGCCCCAATATCAATGTAAGAGGCTTGAAGAAATGGATAGTTTGTTTATCTTGTTCCTCAGGACCGAAGCTCCGAATCCCTAGGATGTTCATCTTCTCAATGGTTGACATGTTTGTTTTCTATAACAATCTGAGAACATCTATACATGGAATTTCCTAAAATAATAGCAAAAAATCAATTAGTAAATACATGTATTAACAAAATTTAATGAAATCAATACATGTAACTTTATTATTTTCTGAGGCTATTAGTTGTTGTAAATTGTTATGTAAATTGTGTCATGCGTCGATTTATTTGTTATGTTACTCATTCATTTAGCAATGCACTGTTCGTCAATTAGTCGCAGGAAAAGTATACTTAATGTTCACACATGCGTCAGTTGTCATTTGTTTCCGTGGCGTCTGTTATCACATGCTATTGTATTGTATCGGATGCTTCCTTAACGTGCGCTTATTAGCAGAAATTCACGGAAAAGTTTGAGACAATTCAACTACGTCCGTATCTCATGCAATTTTGTGAACTGTTTTTGTATTGTCCAAAATTGTTGTACGCTGTATGAAAGGGATTCTAGAAAAAGATTTACATTGGTTTTTTTCCTTCAGGGGTTTCTTCCAAATTCCAGCGAACTTTCCTTTGCCAGATCACTTTTTCTTTATTCTCTTACGAGTTTAGATATACAATTTTTTCTACTTACATTAATTCTACAAGGTTACTTGATAGAATTTTCAGTTTGGAACTATTACTTATTATTAAGTTATTTTCAATCTTTATTGAGACGCTGTGGTAAGATTATTTTTGTTTTTCCATTTACTTCAAATAATTCTTATTTGCAACCCTCTGTTGTCATATTTTATGTATGTTTTAATTAACTTGCATTATAATCATGTATTTATGTTTTAAGGCTTTTTCTTTATATCATATTCAATAAATTTGACGAACCTACGATAGGAGTTGGTTATTATTTAGCCCAACAAATTGTGCGCTTTAGGGCTTTTTTTGTATATTCGGTGGTCGCCCTTCGCGACAGACATCTATGAAATATCAGATTATAAAATCGGTCTGTCTTGCCGTCGAAATATTGAGACTAGTTATTATTCTACCCTGTGACATTTGTATATGTATGAAATTACTGAAATAAGATATTGTTTAAACTAATCTACCACAGGCCACCTCTGTAGTATCAGGGTCTTTCAAATAGATTTGAAAGACCCTGGTAGTATTGAACACTTTTGAAACAGAAAGTACATGTCAATGAACATTATGAATGCACCACAAAAAACAGCATGTCACAATTATTCCTATCATATCGAAAAATTGCATAACAATTTGCACAGAAAAGAGTAAAAACAACTTCACCAACAGTCTTTAAACTTTTAATGGAATTTTATTTTGATAAATGACATCGCGAAAACCAACGACAATCAATAGTTTTATGTACAGGGTGAGATACTCAAACTTATTTTTCGGTTTAAAACACTATTCAATCAAAATAAATACATTATTTACAGTTTCACTACCTGTAAAGATATTAACAAGCTCTAACTAACTCAATTTTCTTTTATTATTTTTCTTCAAATCGCGGGGAATGGATAAGTTATTATTTATCTTCATACCTAACATGATTTATGTGTAGAATTTTCTTACATACTTGTCTTATTGATTTCAGTTTCAAAATTAATATTTGTATAATGAATATCTCTAATTTTATCTTCCTAAGCCATTTATCGTAAACTTGGAAATAAGGAATACTTTTTTAAAAACTGCTCCCTTTTGGCGCGTTAATTTGATACGCACTCAATTCATTTCGTAACAATAATTACTTTCATACTCTCTTCAGTTATGACGTGAATAATATAAATAAAGTTAATACAATATGTGACTGATATAATAAAAGCTTTAATTTCCAAAAATTATCAATGTAATTTTAAGTCTGTAGTTTATTAAGTTTAAGGTTGAATTGTCCAAAATTACATGTCACATATTCACACAACCACTGGACAAACCAGATCTCAAATCTGTAAATATGTTGTTAAGGAATTACGGACAGGGCGGACCGTATCAGGGCGGACCGTATGTTTGGACGGGGCGGACCATATTTTGGGACAAAAGAAAAAGCATCGTTCTTTAAAATGACAACAAACATTATTTTTTTTTTAATTTCAAATAAAAAAGAGTAAACCACGCGATTTCTGGCGCTATTTTAACAGCAAAAGAAAAGTAAAAATTGTGAAATACCTTTGTGCGATCTAAAAAAATACATGGTGTAATGACAATAAAATTATTTCTGATGCGCAGTTTGATTTTAAAAAAGGTAGCTCTACTAAGAATGCTGTTTTTATGTTTAACATTCTATAACTGAAAAATATTTGATCCAGAAAAAAGATTGTATTGTGCATTTATTGATTTTAAACGTTGTTTTGATCCTATATACAGGAGTGCACTTTGGTTAAGACGTATATTTAATTTATGCTAGTTTGATAATAAGATGTATGCATGTACAACTCTGTTAAATCCTGTGCGTAAATCCTGTGATAATCATAATAATGATTTTCTTTTTTACATTTCGATTTTAAAGAGGAAATAATTTCCCCAGTTATGTACTGCATTTTCTTTGTTTACTGAAGATCTGGGGCCGTATTCATAAAGAATCTTAAGTTTTAAGGGAAGAAAATCCTTAAGTCCAATAATTTCCCTAAGGTAAAAATTTCCTTAAATATTTCCCTTAAATATCACCTTAGGTGTTTTCTTAGGTAAGAAAAATCTTAAGGGAAAAAAATCCTTAAGTCAAAAATTTCGTTTAAATTTCATCGGTCTTTCCGTGTTAACCGACTGCCAGAGAAAATCCAAGATGGCGGACACTGACTTTGGAAATCGACACAGGGAATTGAAATGTCGCGTGAAAAGGATTTATTAGCGGATATGTTACGGATTATACAACGGTATTTCAGGAAAATGGAGGTTCAACACTAGTGACATGGTTTGGGGCATATGTTCGAGGATCTTATGCTTCAAAAACATGTCGTTTTTGTTGACTTCACATGTTCAACGATAATTTTTTCGGAATTTCCCTCGGCTAAAAATAGAACTGTCAAATTTGACAGTGCTCAGACGGTATCATAGAAGGAATCATGAAATGGCACAGAATTTCAGCGAACAGGATTGCGTTCTGCTGGCCCATTTATTAGGAGAAACTGTAGAGGGCTATGGTACCAGGTAGCAGATACAGAGTTCTGAATCACAAATTTATTGACAGTAAGGATTATTTTTGTAGATGTAATTATCAATAATATATCAACTGGATAAAATCTCTAAAAATCCTGTTGACACTTAATTTGAGTCCTGTTGAGGAGGGTATAAAAATTACCTAAATTGTCCATACTACCATGTGTCTGGACAGATATTACATGGCGTTGATTTAATCCAGATAAAACCTATGGTGTTATAATTTTTTATTTTTAACATGATATACAAAATTTCAGAACCAAATGCTGAATTTTTGGATATTTTATTCAAAATTTATTGTTTACAATACACTGCAAATGATTATACATGTAGCTAGTATTAGTATAAGAGGTCAAGTAATGCACTATTCCAAATTTTCAAAGGCAATATTCTTTGAATGGACATTTAAGTATTACCATTTATATTAGTTGAAATAAATTTAATTGCAAAATTATAGAAGAAACATGCATTTATTGTTGATAAAAAGGCGGCTGACTGATTGACAACCACTAAACAAAGAGGGAAAACTGAATAGGGCACTTTTGGGGCCATCTGGGTTTGATGGTTGTCCGGTTTTGATAGTCCCGGACCGTTACCCTCAATATTCAATACATGCAGTAACAGTTTTCATAATGTTCAATGTAAAAATTCTATTTATAAAAAGTCTGTATGTAAATCAATAAAAGTGTAAAACTAATTCTCAAAAGATAATACCATTCTTTTTTGTTTGATCTTTTCACAAACTTCACCATTGGAATCAGCAAATATTTAGGTTTCTCGTTGTAAGTTTCAATACAAATAACAATTATTTTCTAAGCTTTTATTCTAAAAGTTTAAATTGTGATCACCTGGCACCTAAAGTTACCATGCAGTTTATATAAAAAGATAAAATGAGTTGCGAAATTACTCCAAAGAACACCAAACAAAAAAAAAGCAATAAAGTATTTGCCTTTGAAACTGTCAATGTGTTAATTACACTAATTTTCAGTATTGAAAATATTACTTTTCACAAATAACAGAAAAATAGAAGGGTTGAAACTTTGAAAGCAAATAAAAAGTAAAAACATTTCTTAAATATAACAAAATGACAACAGGTGATATACTTATCCCATATATGAGCCGTGTCATGACAAAACCATCATAATGTGTTTGCGACCAGCATGGATCCAGACCAGCCTGTGCATCCGCGCAGTCTCATCAGGATCAATGCTGTTTGCTTACAGACCCTAAAACAAGTAAAGAAACTGATAGCGAACAGCATGGATCCTGATCAGACTGTGCGGATGCGCAGGCTTGTCTGGATCCATGCTGGTCGCAAACCCATTATGTTTTTTTGTCGTGACACGGCTCATATGTATTTGAACTTATATAGATATAACACTTATTCATATGTCACAGGAATAACAAGTGTTACAAAAAAAAATTTGGTCAGCAATAGAGGACTGTAACTCAAATGCTACAACATGTGTTTGTAGTAACCAGGATCTGTAAAAAAAAATGGGAGAATCTCACTGTCAAACACAGGGCTATCTATTATTATTATTATGGCTACATGCCTGTATGTCTGTATGTATGGTTTACAATTATGACCAAATCATTCAATTCAGAGATTGCATATATTTCACAAAATGTGTAATGTTTTCATGTCTCGGTTCACCTTACTAAATTCTGTATTTAAGTATTACATTTACTAATACTATCAATATTACATAAATTCTGTCAATCAATTTACTGTATTAGTTCTATTTATAGATTTTAAATATAAGAAGCCTAATTTATCTTACATACTGATAAACTTTATAACAAAGCAGTTTATGATAAATTGGCTGAAATAATTTGGAGTATTCAAATAGTAGCTAAAATAAAAAAAATGTTTTATGTCTTAATAGAAGTTATTTCTTCATAATTTCAGTTTCTGTGACCCAGAACTTCTTGAGTTAAAGAAGAAGAAACTTAGAATACAAATTAAATACTATGAATCACTTCTTAACAAAGAAAAATAGTGCATTCTACATGTAAAGCACTGTATATATCCCCTTATTAGATATTTTGAAATTTATAAGGTTAAACAATAAACTTAGAATATTAAAAACACTTCCTGAATTTACAAGATATTAATCTTGTCAAAAATCTAGGTCTGATTTAAGTTAATAAGAAGTATTCTCATATAAAAAAGGAATTCAACTTCTGCAATAGGTTTGCACTGAGAAACACTATTTTGTATCTTGATAATAAATTTTTTTTAAATCTTACCCAGTCAATTTTCAAGGTTGATTTTATAATTTATACAGATGCTGGGGTGGCATAAAAAAGATGTAAGGGCAATGATAGATATTTATTAAGAACTCAAAACTATTAAAATGCAATTTTAATACAGTTTCATTACTTTCTGTTCAATTTATAAATATAAAAGACAGTGGAAAATAGTTAAAATGATTTTTTTAAAAAGCCACTTCCAAGTGTGTAATAAACATCAGAGTCAATTTGTACTAAATTATCAATCAAGCTACTGTTATGACATGATGTCTGTTGACAGTCAAAGATTTCTGTCAACAAAATCTTTTCCCACAGAACAGATTTTAACAATGTTCAACTGAAATGATTCTTATGTGACCCTCTACAAATTTACATAAGATTTTTAAGAAGGGCACAAGTACTAAAATGGATTTATTCTAAAATTGATAGTCTTGTTTTAATAGATTTCAAGCCTGCAAGCTCTTAAACACAATTATTATACGGCCACCACTAAGTGGAGCATTATAATTTGGTCATGGTTCGATGATTTTTGTCAGAGTTATGCCCCCTTTTACTTTTAAAAAAAAGGAAATTTTCAGTTCCCATTCATTATCTCCCCAACGGTTGTAACATGCCTTGAACTTTGTATAAAAATAGTTTGTGTAAACATTGAATAGTTTTAAGGGCTTTGAACTTAAAATGAAAAAAATAATTTGTGCAAACAAATTTGGAACTACATTTAAAATATTAGAACATCTGAAATTTTGGCTGCATGAGGGGGCATCCATGGCATGACGGCACATTTCTAGTTAATGATGATGTTACCCCAAAATTTAATGGGGTCATATATTGAATATGACTGGTCATCTTATGAAATTTTACAGCAAAAGGTTGATCAATACAAAAGTTATTTAGAGGAAACCATTTTACAGTTTTAAGGTAAAAGTTACCTTGACCTTTGGACCCTGTCAACCCATTAATCAACAAGAGCTGTCACAGGAGACACAGCGAAGCTCGACTAATAAAATGCTGGACGCAGTAAGGAGGACAAAAACTATGAAAGAAAAATCAATTATGTATAATTAAGTATTAAGTTATAGTAAAAAATATAACATTTGTTAACATAAAATTCCAAAAGATCAAGGGGAAATAATCTAGAAATAATGTAAATATATTTTGAAGTATGAGGTTGATTCCTTAAGAAATAAAGAAGAAACAGTAAGAAATATTATTTTTTGAGGAAAATTCTAAGTTCAAGGGGAGATAAATCTGAAAAGATTGGTGCTAGAGTTATGACCCTTGTCACATACGATGGGGATGATGATAAGGTACATATATTTGAAGTATGAGGTTGATCCCTTTAGAAATTAAGAAGTATAAGTAAAAAAATAAAATCTTTTAGAAAATTCTAAGTTCAAGGGGAGATAAATCTGAACATATTGGTGCTAGAATTATGAACCTTGTCACATAAGATGTGGTTGATGATAAGGAACATATATTTGAAGTTTGAAGTTGATACCTAAAGAAATGACAAAGTTATAGTGAAAAATATTTTACTGCACCAAAACTTTAATCTAAAATCTGGACGCCGACGCCGGGCGAGTAGGACAGCTCTCCATATACTTCGTATAGTCGAGCTAAAAAAGCGTTTTCCACTTAATATTAGCAATCATTATATGAAATTTGTTGATCATGGGCCAAATGGAACTTAAGTTATACTTAAACAAATTTGCTAATGGAAGAACAGACAGAAGCTAGGGAGTGTAACATAAAATGCCCAAAATTTCTTCATGCCACATTCAGTACCATTTATTTGTTAATGAAAAAACAAAGTGTCAGATGTAACCACTAAAAATGTGATGCATTGAAGATAAATATGGAAACAAATCAGAAGCAATTTAGCTAATATCGGGTACAGCAGCATTAATTTGTTGATGTCAGTTGATAAAATCACTGTTTGGGATATGTTATTTTCTTAACTATATGAAAGTGCATTACTAAAATGAAATTATAAAATTTAAGAAAACATGCTCAGGCTTACTTTTTTATTATATAGAAACATTACTAAATCTTTTATATTGTTACAGACAAATAATTAAATAATCAATGTCGTATATCCAGATAAATTGTCACTTCATTTATATTGATGATTTATATAATATATATATATTATTGTCAAGCTTTACCAAATATATTTAACTTTGACATTATGTATAACATAAGATGTTAGTGATTAGTCATAACATGATCCATGATTTTATAACTGTTCAAATGAATGTGCATCTTCTTTGTCTTGAAGCAGCAAAATGAATATGGCATCCTCTGTCAAACCTGAAATTCAGGAAAATCTAAATCAATTACATGTATAAAGTTTTTTATTTTAAAATTACTGTTGAAAGTTCTGGTATGGCAAGGTTTTAAACAAATTTTGCCTGAAGCAGCCAACTTCATATGAAACTAAAATTATATGTGAAAAAATAACTTTTAATTAAAACTAGTATTTAATAGTTTTTGGTTTTATCAAAATAGTTGGTCAACTTTATATGTCATCTTAATAAGTTAAATGTTAATTTGACAAATATAAAGCAAAGAAGAAATATCTTTACTTAACCAATAACTAGGATATGTTATTAGGGGTGCTAACAAAAGGTTTATAGCTCACATCAGTTAATGCTTGTAAAATCTTAAATATTTAAGTAGAATAGTTTTACTGTTACAACATGTACAATACTTTTACTGTTAGTGTTACACATGTACACTTCAATTTATTATTGTTTAATTTTTCTTGCATAATTTGTAAAACAATATAGTCAAATACATGTGTACATGTAAGTTCTATGTATACTTGTTTATTATGATAGTGTGTATATATGTGATATGTAGGAAAGTACATTTGAGCCGCGTCACGACAAAACCAACATAGTGCGTTTGCGACCAGCATGGATCCAGACCAGCCTGCGCATCTGTGCAGTCTGATCAGGATCCATGCTGTTTGCTTACCAACCCTATTACAAATAGGGAAACTGATAGGGAACAGCATGGATCCTGATCAGACTGCGCGGATGCAAAGGCTGGTCTGGATCCATGTTGGTTGCAAACGCACTATGTTGGTTTTGTCGTGACGCGGCTCATTTCTATTTTCTTCATGAATAAACATATAAAACATTACAAACCAAATTGCTTTTCAATTATACTAACCGGAATTAAACATTTAAGCACTGCAATAGATGAAATATGGGAAGTTTGGCAATACACAATACCTTCCCACCTGAAATGTAAATTTAGGATTTGATAAAAGTATAATGACCAATAAGCAGCACTGAGTTTTTTTCTTTTTGGAATTTCTTGTTCATAAATCCTTCAAAAGAAAGTTTATCTGTGGCAAGGTATAAAAAAATTACCACATGCTATATTTATTATACTAGTATGCTAGAAATAAATTGAAATGAGTTTTACGACCACCAAAATACGGCATCAAATCACTATATTCTTATTATGAATTTTTCAATGCCATAAGTACACAGTTAACTGTTCACATGATATTGAAATGGTAAATAAATGATTCATAAAAGATAATTTAATATAACATTAAATTATGGTTAACAGAATTATTGTTACCTGTAAGATACATATTTAAGCTCTGCTCCCTCTAGAAATTGTTTGGCACATACATGTAGATTTCTACAGCCTTCAAATGTTAGATTGCTAGTTTTTATGCTGTTGTCCTTTCTGCAGAGATCTAGTTAAATGGGTTCTCCAGTTCATTAGACAAAATTTGTCACAAATGCTTGACACAAAATCTGTTAACATTGATTCTTAGCATCAACATGTTGAAGAATAGTTCCATGTATTAATTACTTCTCTTCAGAAAATATCATTCTGCACAATGCTATGTAAAGTTTAAATTAAGTTCCCTTGTTGAATAGGTGTAACTGAAGAATTGTTAAAATTTACAGTGGTTTTTGACTAGTTAAACAATTTCAAATGTTTGTATAGTGTCACCTCTGATCCGACATATTGCTATACTTTTTGGTTTCAATTGTTACAATCTTTCAATGAATGTCAAATTTCGAAACTAGGGATTTCACTCCCAAGACGTTTCACTATTGAGACGTTTCACTCCCAAGACGGTTAACACCTAGACGTTTCACTCCCATTTTGTCAATTGTATGGACGTTTCACTCCCATTTTTTAGATGTTTTTATTAAGAAAATTTATTTTCATTATGAAGGGGAAATTCAATTTAATGATTCATTTTGTTGAATTTGAGAGTATTGTTAAGAAGAATTTATGAATTTGAAGAATGATTATAAAAGTATAATTTTTCTGAAATATAACAGAATGTGCAAATAATTATGATCTATACAGTATAGTATCAGCTCAGAAAAGTGAATTTTGTTGACATAAGTCATAATTATGATGAATTATTAGAAGATTATCATTATAGTCATTTAAATAAGGGTTGAATGATAAGAGGTTTAAATGAAAGAAAAATGTCTGAAATATTGTTTTTATTTTAAGAGTAACGACATGAGAAAATTCCATTTATAATAAATCAAGAAAGATACATATGTAATAGAATAACAAAATGAAAATGTTCATGAACAACAAAGACACATTGTAAGTACCAGTTTGAATATTGAAACCACTACCTGTACAGTATTAGATAATATCAATATATAAAATATATTTATTAGTTTTTTTTGTAAATATATTTATCAATGAAATGCAGAAAATGTGCATAGAATTAATTATTCTTTTAAATTATTTCTTTATCAATTTATTGAACAGTAGCCATTAAACAAACTTAGGTAATTGTGGTGTTAACAGTAATCTCATCACCTAATTAGTTGTATAAACACTAAGACCGTCAATGAGCAGTTTGACATCACTATTAGCATCATCAGTTATTAATTATTTGTTTATTTATTGGACCATTGAAATATTTTTAGACAATGTTCAGCCAATTAAAACCATAGTCATGGAAACAGAAACTCCTCCATAAGTTTTGGTTATAAATTATAACAAAAATAAAATAATATTTTATCAGATAAGCATATTTAATATATTATGTAAGATTATCTACAGATTTTTTTTTACTTACTGATGTAAAAATATACTTAATGCAAAGAAAATCACTTATAAATTATTATCATTAACATCTTTAGAGAATTGCAACTTTCATACAATTATATCCGGTGACAGTCATATATGATATCCTTCCCTAAGTAAGAATAAATATCTGAAAAGATATGAGATCAAAGATCTCTCTAATCAAGTAAAAAAAAAAAAAAAAAAAAAAAAACGTTAACAATTATGATATACAAACTTTCATTTTTCTAGTAAAATTAAGGTCTATTGTAGTAATATCATAAGTATCAAAATCATTTTGGTATAAAATGGGAGTGAAATGTCTTCAAGACGTTTCACTCCCATTTGGGAGTGAAACGTCTTGGTGTGAACCGTCTTGGTGTGAACCGTCTCAATAGTGAAACGTCTGTCTACCATTTCATTTTGTGGGTCCATCTGGACCTATACTTGTACACTTTAGTCAGTATTAGCCTATCTAATTCCTTATAGTACATGTGGAATGGATTTAATTAGTGGATTATAAGTTTTATAACAAACTCCAGATATAATCTATCTATCTATCTCTGAGTACTGCCAACCCCTCTCGCGAGTGTTATAGGCAGGAAATTGTGCGCGTCGGGTAATCTACACCTCCTTGTCCAAAACCATCAAGTGTCCATTTTCACTGCTTGAAATTCAAATTATTTTACATCTGTTTTGATAAGTATATAGCAACCACTTATCTCATAGATTCTATATGTCACACTTTATTCATCACATAATTTAACATATATCCGGATACTGAACATCCGAAAACTGCAACTTTGATATTTGAATATCGTTCACCTTCAGCCACTGGTACATGATAAAATATTTATCGTCTGGTTAAATCTCACATCATCCTTGAAATATTCCTTATTTTATAATCAAACTTAAATGTTTGCTATTCGCGTCTTTACATTTAAATTTAACATTTATTGACGTGAAGATGTCAAGGTAAAATTCATGACTAAAAGTCGGTTTCGTACGTACGGTAAATTCACGGACCCTATATTAACGGGTAAATAAAAAACGGAGCAGTGTACTAGTCATAAAATGATGTGTTTGACAATTCTCCCTACCTTTTAAGAACAATAAAAGGACTTTCAGACACAAATATTGGATAGAGCTAACGCTTGGACGCCATTTTGTTTCCTGTAAATTTTCCCTTAAAAAATTCCTTAAAAGTTAAGGGAGCATAGGAGGTATCTTAAAAGTTAAGGAGAAATTCGACAGAATTTAAGGGAATTTTGACTTAAGATTTTTTATGAATAAGACTTAAGATTTTCCTTAAAACTTAAGGGAAAATTGTATGATTTTAAGGGAAAACTTCAAGTTAAGGGGAAAATTTTCACTTAAGATTCTTTATGAATACGGCCCCTGGAACTTAAATTGCAAAGTAATTTAAATTCTGGTTTAATCCTTCAAGACATTTGACTCATGTAATTTTTGTTCGCTGATAATATGGCATTACTTTCTGAAAAGGCTCTAGATCTTCAGTGTTCATTAAATAAACTTCATGAATATTGTAATACGAGTGCATATGATTTAGAAGTGAATGTAATCAAAACGAAAATAGCAGGGGGAGAGGTGGTTTAAACAGCCACTGCACCATTGATCAGTGATTTTCGAAGAAAAAAGGTGGAGCTATATATTGTCATGACCTTCTTTCATCGGTGTCGGCGTTACTACTTACATGTAGTATACCTTTTCGTTGTGGTCCGTTTTCTCGGAAACTATAAAAGCTACAATGTAATGAATTTAAACATTGAATACATGTTTATAAGCATAATGTAAATAAAACAAAAATAGTAGCTTTTTAAAGGAGAGGTGGTTTAAGAGCACGGGAAACTTGTTATATGGTCAAGAAAATATAGAGATTGTAAATGATTTTAATTGTCTATGTGTCGCATTGAATTATACAGGCAGGCCAACTTTAAATATTCAAACTTTATATGGTAAAGTTTTTGTTTTTTGTTTTTTTAAATGTTCAAAATGATTTAGTGGCAAATTTGACAAAATATGAAACAAAACTAAAAGTAGCATAACAGTTGTGTAACTCTTTTAACCCATCCAAGAGTAAATGGGTAAATGGTGCATTTACAAGTCAAATCAAAATAACTTCAGATTTTGCCAGTGTTGTATTCAATTTTATAGTCTAACTTTCGTGACTCACAGAAAATTCTATAAATATTCATTGGAATATATCGTTAACGTTCAATTGATAATCAGAGTGAGACAGTTTTTTTATATTTTAAGCAGTTGTTACGTTTTATCCTAACAATTTTCATTATCAATTATTGGTCAAAGCCCATTATAATAGTGAATATTTTGAAATATCAACTGGACAACGAAAAAATAAGCATAATGTCACTTTAATTGTTGGTTTTATTTTAATGTATGCAAGTGAAGTATACATTTTTTTTTGTAAATCAATATAATTTGAAAACATTCATATTTGAAATTTTGTTAAACTATCCTTGGTGTTAGAAAATCTACAAATAATGTAGCTGTGTATGATAGAAACAATTATGTTCGGAATGTACAAAATTGGTTAATTAAGATATTTAGTTCAAGTAATATTGTTATGAATCATGTAGGTCTAATAGTATACAAATGGTTGCAAAAGTACGAAGTGTTATAGAAAAATACGGCTTTTTTGGATCAGTTTATTGTTGTTTTTAAACAGAGTACTGACACGATATAGGTTATACTACACCAACATGTTTGTAAGTCATATACTAAGTGCTCAGTTATTATATATTTTCGTCGGTAGTTTATATCTATACTTTACATACAGCACCGGAGGAATAATAATAATAATAATAATAAAGATAATAAGGATAATAATAATAAAGCCACTGCATCATTGATAAGTGATTTTCGAAGAAGAAAAAAGTGGAGCTATTGTCATGACCTTATTTCATTGGTGTTGGCGTTAGTTTACTTTTTCGTTGAAGTCTGTTTTGTGAGAAACTGTAAAAGCTACAATGTATTGAATTTAAACATGGAATACATGTTTATTAGCATGAAAAAAACAAAACAACAACAAACAACAACAAAAAAACAACAACAAAAAACGGCGTCATTTCAAGAGGGCAGATGATCCTAAAATCATTTTTTGCAAAGTTATGCACGTTTTCAACTAAGCTACATTTTTTATTCATTTTTTTGCTGATGTTCATTTCTCGAAAATCGCTCAAAACTGAAATACTTGTAAATCTTAAAATTGAAATGTATTTCTAATAGGCTGGAAACCATACAATTTATGTTTGATAAATTATACGTTTCCTTTTTTGACTTTGAATTTCTTGGCTAACATGTCTATTTCAGTGAATTTCTCAAAACTATCAAAGGTCTTCACTTAGTAAAGCTTGGAGGACTTGTTCATTGTCAAATTTGAAAACCATAAAATTCTATGGAGCAGATCGTCTTTTAAGTCATTTTGCTTAATTATTTCCATTTCCTATATAGAAAATTTGTCTTTTCTATCTCCACTTCTCAGAAAAACAAATTAATAAATTTTAAACTTGAAATCCTGGTATGATGTGTACACTATCAAGAGAGGATAAGTCCGCACTTTCGCAGCATTATACTCACTTTTCTGTTTTCCGTTCATAAAAATTTCCAGCAGCGAGCTGTCCGCGAACTGGATTTTGTTATTTCTTTGACCCTTCCGAGCAACGATATTTAGCAGTGAGGCTCTGTCCGGTGCATTGTGCACAGAGCGGGATGTTGAGACGCATTGCTTGTGAGATGATTTCTTTACAATAATACATAGGAGAGCATGTTTCACAGTGATGATTAAACACATCTCTTATATCTAATAAAAGAGCCATTTTACATAATGCTAGAGTTTTTGTTGCAAAGTGTCCATATACAAGCCCAAAACCCTATGGTAAATTTAGTTCAAATTTTGCATACAAATGTCCTTTCTGGAATGCAACAGAACTATGTTGGTAATCTTTCAGTTCCTGATTGTGCCCTTTCGGGATATATTACCTAAATTAAAGTTTTGATGTATTTTACAACGATATTCGGTGAACTTTTCAAATCTTTTCCTTTCAACTTGAATTTAATTCTAATTTGAATAAAGAATGGACTTATTTTCAAATTCTTACATTTTATTTTTTTATTCACTAGCCGTCGGATGTACATATTTAAAAATACATTGAGTATGTCTTTTTTTCTCAAAAAGGAAATAAGACTATATCAAAGTGTGCGATTTTACTTGTTTACGTGCAAAAGACTTCTTAACAGAGTGGCATAAATGAAATTTATTACATTTCTGTCTGTGAATAAAACTGGTTTTAATTATCTGACGTGTTATTCACTTTCTTTCAACTTCGCTAAAGTTAATCCCCGTTCCCTTATACAGAGAAATCTTAGTCCGAAACGTGATAAATTATACTGTAAAAGTGACCGAACGGCAAAAACATGGCGTAAATCACTAAAGCCACAAAGCTACCCATTAGGTAATCTTTGTAAAGACTAATTGTTAGATATATATCTCTTGAATAAGGGCCCTTATCTATATACCGATATGGAATGAAATTGGGGCAAAGCAAACTTGAAGAGCTGTTTCATAAATCACGCATAAAAACCGCACGATTCTTTTCATCATTTCATACCTTATTAACCCTTATATCTAAAATCATGCCTGGGGGTATATCCAACTAATGATTTAACCCAGATTATATTCTGTCATGCTAAATAAGTTAATTTCTTGTCTGTTTATGTATCTCATGGCACTTTGATGATGAAGTCATTTTTACAGACCTTGGCTAGAAAGTAGACCTTGACACTTGCTTTGGAAAGCCCCACTAAGGTTAAATAAAAAAAACCCTAAAAACCATAAAATTTGAAATTCATATGAATATCAACTGATCGAGGCACTTAAAGCGTGAAAAAAAAATATAATAAGGAATTATACTCAGTATCAAATTAAAAAAAATATATATACTAATTCTAAGCCTGATTTAAAACCGTTTATAATTCCACATATACATCCGATTGTATTGTGAAACATGTGTACATGTGAAATATGTTCCCCACATTTTTTGATACAGTCTCCAATTGAATATACATGATTTTGACAGAATTACTTCTCCTATTTGGAAAAAAGGGATTTAATAAATTATTTTAAATCATTTGAAAGACGGTCCATTATATATTTTTGCACGATAAAGTATAACTTTGATACCATCCTTTCTTGTTGCTATGGAAACTAAATAAATGTCACATCATTTTAATTGTCTGAATGCTTCACCCTTAACTTGCAGGAACCCGAAGGTGATTAGCTTCTACTACCATTATAGAGGCGGCCCAGCCTGCACGTTTTTACTCCATCAACATGTTGGCCTACAATTATAGAGGCGGCCCAGCCTGCACGTTTATACTGCATCAACATGATGGCCTACAATTATAGAGGCGGCCCAGCCTGCACGTTTATACTGCATCAACATGTTGGCCTCTCAATGTTTGTATTTTGTTACTGCAAAACCTTAAACTTTGATTCCATCGATGTTCAAAGGTGTGAAATTTTAAAGGTTATAGGTTGAAACAATTAAATTACTAAATAAGTTCAGATCGAAGATTCAACACATTTCTGTGTTGTGTAGACCCACTGGGCAAGTGGGTGTATAATTTTTCTTCTGTGTAACTTCTCAAATCGTATTTGATTCTTGCTATTATATAGGCATGTATAAGCTAGGGTTTTATATTATTCAATGAATGTATGACCGGATGACCGCTGTCTAAAGTAATATCAATTTCTTTCATGTACTAGAATAGATCATTAAAGGTGGTCTATAGGACTTAAATGACCAAAAACAGACATGTTCCAGAACACAGGTGTCTTTTTATTATGGTAACCTTTAGCGACAATGGTCACAATATAGAAATAATGTTAATTTAATTCAAAACTGTAAATACAATATTGGTGTTGGCTTGACCCGGTAAACCTCATTTATAATAGCACATCCTTAGACTGTCATCTCTCACCCCAAAATAAACTTTATTATTGCCATGTCAAAATCCCTGCATGATATATATGCCACTGATATGAAAATAAGACGTATGAAAGTGAATTTTCGATACACTAGACAAGATAAGACACTTTAGCGGAAGAAAATATATATCTTTTTCTGCGTTCGATTTGTTGAGATTCTGAGCACTTTAACTACAAATCTTTTCAATTTGTGGCCCACACAGGAAGGATACAATGGTTCGTGCTAAACAACTCTAAAAAGCTAAGCATGCAAACAAATGATTTGTGAATCCTGGGATTTGTTATTTCATTCTTTACATCGAGTAAAGTTGTAGATGTCATAGTAAAAAGTACATTCTTTATATACATACAATTATGTTTTTAGAAACCGGAAGTACAAAATGCATACCTGTAGACAATATTGGCGGATTTGGTTATAACTGTTTGACATTGGACATCCTTAAATTCATGATGATTGTCATACATATATTTCAATCATAATATTATCGAAACATAATTTACTTCCCACTGATGTTAAATAAATACATTTTAAATATTACACCCTCTGTCTCTGTTTTCATCAATATGGTCACGTGGTAGAATCATTTTCAATCCCTTTTAACTTCGAGGCGATTATGAAACATCGACGAGGTGTCCTAAATTATTTAACTATTTGAGCTGTTTATAATAAGCGCTTTTGACTTAATCTTAGGAAATAGAAATGAAATGTCTTAGAAACACCAGCAAATTCAATTATGTCAATGTATACGTATAGGGAATTTAGATATCAATTCAGGCAGTAACTTTTAACGATCCAAGTTCTCGTTCTGGAAAAAAAATGAACTCAACAGTTTGTACGGTTTGGAATGGCAAAGAAGCATCTTTGTTTTGTTATGTGGCATTCATACAATTGTAGGGCTGACACGTTAATAAAATAACAGAATACATAATATGCAAAAACAATTTTATTAAAACAACAACCAAAACAAAAAACAAATGATATAATTTACAAACATTACATATCATATGTATAATAATTTCACAATTAATTTAAAATAAATACTTAAATAGCATTATGCAATAATGATCACACTTCAGATCATATAAGAAATTTCAAAAGCTTTATTATAATTACATAAAGAAAGTCTGTATCTTTACCGTTAGCAGACATACTTGCACGTTTTATATTATTCAGAATGTACTTATTTCAAATTAGTTCCCTCGGAACAAAAATTAATAAAAGAAAATCTGATATTGACACTTTAACAAAACTTAATTCATTTTGGTACTGTAAACAAAACTTTATTTTTGGTACTGTAACAAAACTTTATTTTTGGCACTGTAACAAAAAATTATTCGACAATGAGCCAGTTACATATACACAGTATTTATATTTTTTTAAATAAAAATAGCTACAAACATTTCGAAATTTAACCATTTTCATGGAAACATATTGCCTGAATAAAACAATAATTGGCTTTTAAGACAAACAAAACATAAATAATACTGTTTGAAAAAAAAAAATATCCAGAGAGTCTCTGAGAATAGAAAAGTGACATCAATGTACAAAAGAGAAACAAACGCACTTCTGCATGATAGGAAATAATTAAAACATATTCATATAAGATTGAAATAGATCAAACGAATATGCTTCTACAAAACAAAACTTAAATATCAGATACACTTAAGACTTTAACAATTTATCTTATAGAAATAATGTATCATTTTTCGAACCCGTCTAGTAAATAATCAGTTATCAATAAAGTCTTTAAAGGGACTATATTGTGTGCCGCTCATTTTCAGTATTTGATCATATAATCCACACAACTAAAATGCATAGTTTTAAATCCAAACACAGACAGCAAAATAACTGTAAGTAAATGGACACTAGTTAAAATAATTACAACACTGCATTTATAAAAGTATTATTTCTCATAACTATAATATATAATATAAAGTGCGTTTTAATTGCGATATTGAAAAAAAGTAAACTGTCCCGACACTTCTCGTTAATCACAAAATGACTGACTGTTGCTTGAATTTAAAACTAAATTTTTAATTCTTCACAAAAAATCGTATCTATTTAAGATAACTTTCAAAGCTTACTGCAAATACTTTATCTTGAATTTCTACTTTATTGAAGTGATTATACCCCCTATGTAAACGAATTAAACAATGATATAATCATCAGCTCTTGAACCTAAAGCCGACCTGTAAGAAATTATTTTTCAAATAAACATAACGGCTGATTAAAAGAGTCAAAAACAAATATTAATAGGCAATTAAATATTTTCATTTGATAAATTTACGAAAATGAAACAAGTTAAATAGCTGATCAAGATATTTAGCAGTTTAAAATAAGTTAAAAATTTACACAGATTTGGTCATTTAAGGCCATTGGAAAAGTTTCAAGGCTTTTTTGTTTTAAACGAGGCTTTAGAATTTTTACCGCTCATACACCAAATCTTTTGAAATAGAGTCTATAAACACTACACTTTCCAGTTTATAAATAAATATAGGTAAAATAAAAGTTAAAAAAGTCACAAAAATATCATGACACTTTAAAATGGGTATATGTCACCATTAAAAAGCCAGACCGGCCTGTACGTCTGTGCAACTTTTTTTTGACAAAATCTATCTACATTTTTGTAGTTAAATACTTAATTTTCTAATCTTTGATGAAATAAATACTCTTGCCCTTTAGAAATAATTATATATTAATACGTATATAATATATACATGTATATATAATCATATTTATTTATATGATATTATTACCGCTGATTGATAAAAACCCCACTCAAACCACATTATGTCGTGGCATCATTCCACTTCAACGACACATACCTGGATTTTTAATTTGTTTAACATCTTGTCAAGAAGACGATCTATTATGGTAAAAATGATTTTGTTTGAATAGGATGGATAGTTATCAAAAGCATCTATTACTAAAGTAAAAAACAAACATTTTGCAATCATTTATGACTGCTTCGTTCAGTTCCGGTATAGATAGTTGATGTAAACGATTCTTTACTCTAGCGGTGTCCACAAAAAATGAGCAATATATATGTCTTCATTAATGTAAAAGTTCAAACGTTCGCTTTCATCTTTTGGTCTTTCCTCACAGCGTAAATCGTTAATCCAATTTTCGCTTCTTCATATCATTCACATAGAAGATATTTTTCTCGTGCCCTGTCTCACCGTATTTTTTTTATAAATCAAAATCGTCTTCAAATGGTGAAATCTTGTTTTTCTCATTGTTTTGTTTTTTCTTACAAAACATTACGATGATGCAGATAATTCCTACAATTGTACCTCCTCCGGCAGCCGATGCCGCCATAAGACCATAATTTATAGGATTCTCTTTAATCACCGTTTCGCCACTACCACGACCACCACCATCACTACTAACGTCACCGTTACCGCCCTCGCCGCTCTCTGACTTTGTGTTTGTTTCTACCTTTTTGGTATGAGGGTAATCTATTGAATCAATAGGTCCTAGTAAATCGATGTTTATCGTAGTTTTTGGTGGTTTCGCGCTCTGTTGCTGGTTAGGGTTTAAGCCCGGTTGCGTTGCACCGGCGGCCGGTTTTTGCGTTAAAGCGGACGATAAAGGTATAGAAGTTGACTTCACGGCGGCTTGAGGTTTTGTTGATTTTACAGCGACAGTTGACGGTGTTGTGGTTGTTGTTGTCGTTGTAGTAGTAGAAGTAGTAGTTGAGGTACTTGTTGTTGATGTTGAAGTCGTGGTAACAATCACGTGTACATTGACCTTCAGATCTCCATGCGCGGTAGCATTGTATGCCGACATCGTCCAGTCACCATCATCTTCTAAAGCAACGCTAGAGATAGTTAGCGTCCCGTTTTCATTTATTTCGTATTTTCCACTCGATGTATTTCTGCCATCAATTACATGACCGTCGGGCCGGATGAATTTTACCTCTGGAATAGGATCACCTTCGTATTCACAATGTATTGTAAGTCTGTGATTTACGTCCAGCGAATACTTTGGCTGATCGCATCTAACGACTTTTGGTGGAATACAAACAAAATTCTCTTCAGGAACATTGACAAAAGAGTGAAATCTGAGTTTCTGAGGTCCATTACATATGATTTCACTAGTGTCGGTACGACTAGAAACGAATTTGTCTGGAAGTTCCCTTAGCCAAAGCAATTGACAGTTACATTGCCACGGATTTTCAGAAAAATGGACAGTGTCCATATTCTTTAACACTGGTTTCAGCTCAACTGGAAGTCCAATAAGTTGATTCCCATTAAGATCTAAAGTTTTTAGAGATTTCAGCGGTGCAAAAACATCTTGATGTATCTTCTTTATCCCGTTTATATATAGTTTTAAAATTTTCAGTTGCGTCACAGTTGTGAATAAATCTGAATCTAATGTTTGAAGATTCATGTTTCCAAGATTGAGCTCTTCTAATCCTGACACGTGCGTAAAAACTGATTTGTCTAATTTACAATTCGTATTCCCAGAAAGATCAAGCGTTCTTAACTTAGGAAGTCCTTTAAAAGAGTCTGCTGTGATGCTTTTGATCTCGTTATCTGCCAAACTTAAATCGTGCAGGTTTTGTAACAACGAGAAAGCTTCATCTTGAACTGACTGTACACCACTGAAAGTGATCATCAGAGTGAACAAGGATTTTGTAGATTGAAAATCTGTTTTACTTATAGTCGAAATTGAATTCTTTTGAGAATCAGATCCTGATATTGAAAGATATTCCGTTGAAGCGTCTAGTCCCGTTGGGAACGAAGTGAAACCCGATTCACATTTAGAAGCCTTTCCTCTGCACCTACAGTTTGTCGGGCAGGACATCACGCTCGTTTTTTCGACCGATCCAATCAATATCACAACAAATATAGTTAAAATTAGAAAATTCTTCATCTTTAGGTACATGATTGTCAACATTTAGCTCACTTTATTTAAGTCTCTTTACGTTTCTCCTGTATAGTTATTTATTTTACAGCCTTCCCTTTGCCGTTTTCTTCTCCGTTTTGTTTTATTGGCTGCAAATAAATATTTGCTCGATAAGCATAAAAAGATTTCTAACAATCTTTAGAGGTCTATGCAAGTAATTCCTTTCAAAAAGTGTTCGTCTTAAAATGAAACCCGAATTCAATCTTTCGTAATTTATGGAAACCTGAGAATTATTAGCACAAAAGTGGCAGGATTTACAGCTTTTATCTGTAATCGGTATAAAATGTTTCTTAAATCAAAATCACCGCCTGTGATTTTATATCAAATGTTCATAAATAACCCCGCCTTGTGATGTCAATCATTACCAATAAACCAATGCAGTTGAATACATTTCAATATGATATTGGTCAACGTAAATTTAGATAAGGCTAAATTGTAAACACATATTGTAAGCATTACGTTATCGAAATAAAAAGAATCCAAAAACAAATAGATTTGAATTTGATTAAAATTGAAATTTGACTAGACTAGTAAATAAGGATAACAGCATAAAAATAAACAAACATGATTTTCGTCAGAGAATTAATTAGCAGCGCTTTTTATGTCAAGATGTCGACAGAAGAATAATGATAATAATGTTCCCCATCGGAAATTCGTATTTTTTTCTGAATATTGTTTTCATTTTAGTAAATTTCGAAAGTGGTTCAAACAGAAATCAAACAAACTCATCGCATTTTGTATACTTTATTTTGAAACTTTCCTTAAACTTTATTTATTTATTGACGTGTGTTTGTCAAAAAAAGTTTATATTGTCATCAACTTCTTATGCAAATCATTTGAAATTTAAACGGAAGTGAATTATATATCTGATTTACTATGGTTTTCTAATACGTGTATTTTTTTATATTTTTTTAAGCCTTTTTTGCAGAAACACTTCTTCTTTTTACTTACAAGAAAAATAAAAGTATTATTTATAATAATCGATGATGAATATGTTTGTTAATTTACCATATTATCAGTCTTAAAGTTTCGTATGGCCAATAGTTTTGAAGTCATCATTACTAACGAATAAATATGCATTATTATATACATTAATTATGTTTCTTGTCTTAAGGCAAGAAATATGGAAATATTCTATATGTATTAATATATATTTTGTTTATTTGCGTGGTAAATGTACGTTATTTCGCATAGGTTTAAAACTTTAAACATATATCATGTACATGATTTGGTTAACGTTTAAGTCAAATGGTATGCAAATACCAAGAAAGTCAAACGCATAATTTATGTATTTATATTGGGACAGTTTGGCGTTACGACATTCTCCGATATTGTCTTGTTATGTTAAGTAATTCGTATGTATGTTTTGTGTGTCGACATTTGCACTTTCGTTTTCTTGTATTGTGCTATTATCATGCCATCATGGTCTTATAAGCCTTATTTGATTATGGGTATTGTACCGCCAAAATGTTACTTGGCGATGAACATGTATATGTTTTTGCCAATAAATTATTTGACTTGACTTGACTTGGCTTGTATTGAATAAGATATATCTATATATCAATGATTAAAGAAAGAAATCGTACAAAAGTTAGCGATAGCCAGTTGTAGAAAAGTTGTGTGTTCAGTATCTCGTAAATGCTCAAATATAATGAAACAAGTTTTATCGATATGATGTCTTTTCTAAAGCGTATCAAATGGCATTAATTGGCATGTTATTTGTTTTAATAGTATGTCGTATTTTTGCCATACAACAAAAATATACAAACATGCATGCAGGGTCTTTCAAATAGAAAGACCCTGATGCATGTAAGCATGTATTTATGTTACTCGTAATATAGTGCTTTTCTTTTAGTTCAAAGTATTCATAAAAATGAAACTATTAGTTATGGTAATCCAAAAGTGAAAACAAGGACATATCATAATAATTAACCATTATGTTTATTTTGTTGTGAATTCAAATCAAATTAGCGTTTTACAGCCTTTGCTGGATGCAGCACCTTTGTCCATTGGCTGCATTAAAATATCAAACGTCTTTTTCAAAACACAGAATCTGTTACATTGTTATATTTGAAAAAATACAATATAACCGTTTTAGATTCATTTAACCGGAAGACTTAAAGATATCGTAAGAAATTCATATATAGGATTATATAATATTGACTCCAAGACTTTTTGTGTCACAAGCGTGGCATTGATTTATATCATTTTTACATTGTTTAAGAGGGTCTTGCTTATCCAAATAATGTTGCCAGTTGATATTATTGATTCCCTCTTCTGTTGTGTCATTTACATTCATAGAAATGTCTTTGCCTTATAATATAATATATTCTATCATAATGTTATTTTAAACGTATTTAAAGTTCAGGAGGATTCGAAAAAGTAATTGCATACCAGTTTAAAATGATCTAATTTACAGCTTAATAAGTCAAATGTCATGTCATTTGACCGCACAATTGCATAAATCATTTATTTTCATTTTTTAGTATATAATAAAAATGTGAAAAGATATCTTGAAATCGCAGCGCGTTATTATAAATGGTTCATAATGGTTCATACGTAAACGAAATGTTATTACTGTCGGAGAAAGTATAAAATTATATCCAGGATACGTATAGATTACGTATCTAGGCTCCGGAAAGATTTCACGAAGGCGGATGATATGTTAAATGTGATAATAAGTGACTTAACTGAATAAACAGACACTTTATCTCATTCCAAACGGTTTTAAAACACTGTTGACAGATCAATTGATGTATTTGAAAAATAAAAAAAAGTTTACCATCTTTTACATTTTGAAAAGATCATAAAAAACAACATATAGTTATTATACATATCAAGATTGAGATTTTTTAGCATTTATTGGAAGATTTTTAAACGTCTTTTTACCCAATTGTAATTTTAAATTTTTACTTTACCACTATTAACGTTTTAGACCCAGTGTGTGGTCTAACGAGTCCTGGGAGATACCATTGATTTTACATGTACTTTTGGTAATATTTTCATTTATTTTTCTGGCATAAAAATTGTATCCTACCTTTTGATAGCTTGTATGTTATATGCAGGCTTCATCATTCTTCATCCCTTTTTAAAATTAATTTCAAATTGTTTTCTCGTTTAGGACACATATTTTATCAACTTCGAGAGGATGTTTTAAAATAAAAATGTTCACCATTTTTAAATTTAAATGTTAAATTCTGCTGAAGACCGCCTTCAGGGTCCGTATGTGGAAAGTGCAAGCAACCACATGTTAAGTTAAGCTTTTATATGTACATATACTTTGAAATACTTTATATATCACCGGGAATCAATAACATAAAATTGGTATTTATTTAAAAAATATTTTAGCAATATTTTTTCTTTTAATCAGTAAGTACTAGTATCACTGTAGCAGAAGGAGACTGTCAAACCTTTAAGTACTTTTGACATATTTGAATATTATAAATTGTCAGTGCATGTACTAATCAAGAAATGTCTTTCGACAAAATGTCGTGCACCGATAAAAACACAGACTTTTTATCTTATTTTGTACCTTTATGATGAATGTATAAGACGTGACTCTTGTAGTATTTTCTTGAAATAACAAAATATAGCCGCAACTAGATTTTATTTGATTGGTCACAATCTTTCATTCCGAATTAGTCAAATGGGCTTTTTATTACCTCACACATTCGGACAAAAAAAAACTTATTTTAAGCTCCCTTACTGATTGAACTCAAAAAACGTTGACAATGCTAGATTATTCATAATTCCCTTTAATAACAGGACAAATAGAAGGTTTTTTTAAACAAAAAAAATCAAACTTTAAATTCCTGAGTTTACAGAAAGCAATCGTTTGGTTAACCACGACTCATTTATCAATCATTCGTCCACGCACAGCTTCATAGTCTTAGCGTGGGGGCTTCTGAATTATCGCCCAATTAATGACCAATTTGACCAAAACTGAAACATAAATTCAAATTATATGGTCATATATTTCACAAGATACATAAGAACGGTCGTTTTCATATCTGATATCTGTCAAAGCTTTGAAGTGTCTGTGATAGCACACTTCAAAGCCGGCTTACACTTGCCAATTTCTGGCCTGTATGCCCTTCTGGCTTTTTTCTCTGAGAAATAAATGAAGTCCGTTTTTGTTTACTGTATTATATGTTGACATTCTACAAACATCTTGCGTCACATTGGCGTCTGTTGATAACAAGTGGACTGTCAAAATATTTGGCGGAAAGGCTTAAATGCTCAGATAAATTATTTCGCTTTTCTTGTTTTTTCAATTAATATTGATGGAAGCGTTAATCGTTTATTTTTATGTAAACAGGTACATTCTTTTATTTATCAGAATACGGTATGTTGCAATTAAGTAAGAATCATGAGTAAATAAAGAAGTGGGCCATTTTTTATGAAAAGCGAATAATTCAAACCAAATTGTAAAGATGATTCGTTAAATCTTCCAAAATGGATAAGATTGCGTAATGATTGATTTGACTTTGCATGCTTCAGTATATGGTACGATAAATGATAGTTTTCATAATCTGTGCCTGATTGAAAATTTCTGGATTACTCTTTTAAAAGCAAATGCTTTATACATATATATGATACATGGCATAAGCTGACATATAACAGTAACTTATATAATAATGACTTGTAATGGATATTTGTTTAATAAATCCTCAAATGTGAAAGATATAATATATTTCACTAAATAATGTAATGTAATTCATTACTCAAGCATTACTTTAGCATTTTTATGAAGCATTCATGTAACTATTGCCTGGACTATAGACAAAATGAGCACATATGTAAGCTTATCTATGACTGATCTTTTCCGCATCCATTTTAATTCAAAAACCCCCTATAAATTAGGAAGAGATTAGTGCGCTTTACTGTGTAATACGTTATTTGTCACGTATTTGTAACTCTGAAGCTAAAGTGGGTCTTACATTTGGCATGCTCACGGAAAACCACACTCAAACGCAGCTGGTTACTGGAGCTAAATAAATTGTATAAATTAAAGGAACTCCACTGAGACCCAGAAGCCTAAAAACATAAAATATTATTCCTTGCAAACATCAGAGGAGGCACTTAAACACTAAAAATATGCAAAAAACAACAACAAAACAACAACAAAAAAACAAAAACAAAAAAGAAACATTTAATTAAGAAATTTACTCAGAAATAAATTGAAAATCGTATCGTGCTATTCTTAGCCGATTTGAGTGATAAGCGTTTTTTAATTTTGGTTCATTGTTCACATTTCGAATGATTATTCTGGAAAAACGAAGTGAGCGAATGATCTGAAACTTT